CATGGAAAATTTCAATTTATCATTCATATACTGTAGGCCTACGTTGTTGTATGCGAGTCTTATGCCAATTAAAGGGGAAATAATAGTGAAATTTGCTCACTGCATTAGTCCAAAGTTGTAACTGATTTCCGGTAATATAATTCTGAATATTCCCTTTAAGATACCAAAATCCAGCCGACCCCTCCCTGATGTACGATTTTTTCTTTGGTCTTCATGCACATAAAAACAAGATTATTACCTTCAATTATTATCATAAATTATAAGCTTATTTTCCTTTTTTTCTTCGTATATTTCTTTTCTTCATTTAAATTTCTTTTCCTAAGGCTTACATCTTATCACTGAGACTTCGATTTATTAAAAAGCAATTCAAAGTCGAAATGTATTAATGAATTACTTGAAGGCTTTTTCCATCACCAGCGGTTGAGCCTACATCACTTGCATAATTTGTATGAAATAATGCGTGAAGTCTTGCATCTCTTAACCCGACATGACAGAAAGCGGTCGCGTTAGCAGGCAAGGTCATACGGGGAGGTTCGGTGGAAGGATGCCCTGTCATCCGGTCTATTCTTCACGTGTAATTATTCGAACATGAGACTTGGTATTCTCACCTACTCCCACACAGTCAACTTAACCTTGGGTGCTTGATGAAAAAAAAAATGCCTCTCTACCGTGTGAGTCAAAAAAAAAAGTTTACACCTAGAAAATTGCTAATTATTTTTAAAATAATATCTATGAACAGTAAATTATTATACATCTTATGAAAGAGTGTTTTATCCCAAATCATTTGGTATCATTTTTGTGTGGTCTGTGTTCACGCTTGAAGGAACAGGAGGCATTGTTTGCGAGAGTGCAAAAATCGACTTGCGCCAAAGTGATGCCTACAGCATGTATTATGTTGGGATTAGCGGAGTGAGAGAATGAAATGAATGTATCAAATGAAATGCATTGCATATGCTTTTTGTAGAAGCAAAGTCACACACGCACACTGACACGCGCACACATATTTGATATTCGATATTTGATATGTGTGGCATAATTAATTTTGTAAGGAATGTTATTTGGACCTGCAAAAACCGATTTAATACCCAAAGCCCAAATGTTTTATTTAAACATCACATAAGCAACTTTGGCGCAAGTCGATTTCTGCACTCTCGCAAACAATGCCTCCTGTTCATCCAAGCGTGAACACATACCACACAAAAATGATACCAAATGATTTGGGATAAAACACCCCTTTTATAAGCTGTATAACAATTTACTGTTCATAGATGATTTTCAAAATAATTAGCAGTTTTCTTAGTGTAAACTTTTTTGGACTCACATCGTATAGCCTCCCTATAGTGGGCTAGTAGGCCTACCCCGGTCACACTAATGGGACCGGCACCATACCGACAACAGACCGACAACAAAAGGAAAACGAGCCGACAATAGACCGACAACAGACCGGTACTAGACCGGCAACAAACCGGCACCAGACCGACAACAGAAGGACAACAGACCGACAACAGACCGACAACAGACCGACATCAGACCGTCAACAGACCAACAACAGACCGTCAACAAAAGGAAAACGAGCCGACAACAGACCGACAACAGACCGGTACTAGACCGGCAACAAACCGGCACCAGACCGACAACAGAAGGACAACAAACCGGCACCAGACCGACAACAGAAGGACAACGAGCCGACAGCAGGCCGACAACAGACCGATAATGAGACCGGTACTAGAGCGGCAACAGACCGGCACCAGACCGACAACAGAAGGACAACTGACCAATAACAGACCGGCACAAGAACGGCAACAGACCGGCAACAGACTGACAACAAACTGACAACAGACCGACAACAGACCGACAACAGACCGACAACAGACCGGCAACAGACCGGCAACAGACCGACAACAGACCGACAACAGACCGACAACAGACCGGCAACAGACCGGCAACAGACCGGCAACAGACCGGCAACAGACCGGCAACAGACCGACAACAGACCGACAACAGACCGACAACAGACTGACAACAGACCAAACAAAATATCCCATTAATGGCCAAGTATCGGTCGGTTTTGGAGTCGTGACGAGTCGGTTGGGCGGTGTGCATGACTGTGCTATTAAAGTGATACATTCGAGACAAAAGCACCATCAAAAAAATTAAATGCTGATAATTATATCACGCATCGCTTGTCTCGTTGTCGTGGCAACCGAGTTGGAGAATCTGAGTATAATTACTCGTATGATTGTATGATGATTCTGTTTTTCTTTAATACATACTAAAGAGAATCAGTGCCTTCATAAAAGATACGTGGGTGGAAATGCCACGATGCGTTTTTTATTTCGTTTTTATTGTTATATATTTTGAGAGATAGCCGAGAGAGAGAGGAAGGGTAATTATATCGCTTTGTTTGCTTAAGTTGGGGCTATCTAGCTATTTAGTGACGCTCATCGATGTACTTGATGTTTGAACTACCTTGAGTATTTTTTAATACTTTATCCGAAATGGATCAAAGTATGTCCGTGCATTGTTGATTGTTAATTAGTCATTTTTATTTCATGTCCATGGGCTATTCTTACAAGGGTCCAGTGAGGCGGCTAATGCAAGGAGGCATTGAGACCACGGCGCCAAAATCATACAAATAGCGGGACGTCATACCGGGTCCACGGAATATTGAGTTATAAATTTATGAAGTCAACTAATACTCTCTTCAATACTGTAAATTTTAGTGAAAGAAAATATTGATCATGCCTCTCCTTTTATATTGTTCTTTCAGCGGCATGCTATTTAATCCTCAAGGCAATTATTGCTTGGTGTATTTAAACCGGCTGCAAAGCACTGCAGGGAACGGGATGGCATTGATTTTGTATTTCTCATATTGTTGTTGATTGGACTTAAAGGCATTTCAGTCATAAGTGACTATTTTATGCCTTATGTGCCCCAAGCGGGCCCTAAAGTCTGGCGTGGAGAAGGGCAAACTGGTGCAGACGAAGATATTTGGTATTTTATTGGTTGAGCAGTTGGTAGGAGTCGATTCCAATAATTTATTTCATTTCGCATAGTCAAAAACAAAAAAAACGGGAAAAGAGAGAGAGAGAGAGAGAGAAATAGACTAATAATGATAGACTGAGAGAACCATAATAGAGAGAGAGAGAGAGAGAGAGAGAGAGAGAGAGAGAGTGATAGAGAGAGAGAGAGATAGTGATAGAGAGAGAGAGAGAGAGAGAGAGAGAGAGGAGGGAGGGGTGAAATAATCACAACCGAAGCCGCTTCCACCCTCTTTCCTCCATCTCCAATTGGGCATCTCTCTCTCTTTCTCTCTCTTTCTGGCCTCCCCCTCTCTATCTCTCTGTATTTTATGTCCCCCATTTGGCCCCTCTCTCTCTCTCTCTCTCTCTCTCTCTCTCTCTCTCTCTCTCTCACGCTCTCTCTTTCTCTTTCTGCCCTCCCCCTCTCTACCTCTCTCTTATTTTTTAAAAATCTTTCTCGTTGGATTTTTTATCTTTCTTTTAACCTCTTTATCCTCCTCAGTCTTGAACTTCCTCCCTTCCATGAATACGTCACCTTTGGGGTATTTGTATTGAGCGATTGCTGGTGATATCTGTGCTATTAATCGATCCGTTAGGTGCTTTTATTTTGGTAATTTGTTGAGTTTGTCTCACCGGTAAACTCTTCGTGTGTTTTGACGTGATGTTGCATATCTTATTGTGTTATGTTTATACCTCTGTTTACCCATTAAGTTTTGAATCGGTTTTGCCTCCTTGAAAAAGGCACCTTACGATGTCTATCTCTTTCTACCTTCTCAAGACATTTTATTTTTTGGTCTTTTCCTCATACGAGGCATTCTACTCTAAATCATTTTAACCACATTGCATTTAAAGTTTGATTACAATATATATACAAAAGCAACAGACTGATAAAATAAAATTGGAAAGAGACGGAAGGGAAAGATCAAGGCATGAATAAAAAGGCTTAACCAAGGGTACGTTTATGCTCAGTTTTGAAGGCAGAATGAGCGATTTGAAACGCTCATCGTAATCGCAGTTCCACGGTGTACTGTTTATGCTCACTTCTGAGCCAGAATCATACCTGGAGGAGCCAGAGAAGTTGTCTGCAGCTTGATTCGCACACCTTCACTGCGCTTTTGAAAGTCATCCAAATTGAATGACTATTGAAGGATTTACTTCTAAACTGATGGAGCATAATATTATAAACCTTATAAATTGCATACTGTACGTAAACAAGTAGTACATTCATGTGCAAAGGCTCTGCGTCAATAATGTTAAAACCAATTATTATGAGTTTCTCCTAACACAATATCTTTTTGGAACAAATTCATTACTAGGCGGTGAAATTTTTCCCAAAAAAGTGGACGACATCTAAGCAAAATGTGTATAAACGATTCTGGTTCGTTATAATATGTACAAGGCATATCGGATATGATTTTCCACTTATAAAGATTAAAACTTTATGAAGCCATTTGAAATTAAATTGTCTTACTTTCACGGTTGTCTTTGATCTGTTTTAATTTAAAAATCTAAAACATGCCTCCACTCAAAATTATGTTATATGGTTTGCCGTTAATAGGCCTTTGCACATCCCATCATATTTGAATTGGTTTGTGTTTTATACTTGCTATTTTCTCTTTTAATGTATGTTATTTTCATTGTGATTGTTCTTTTTGTTCAAATGTAAAAAATAAATTGAATTGAATTGAATTAAAACTACCTTAGGTTGATTGTTGTATGGGGGGGGGGGGTAGGGGCAGTGACCCTGTTTTACCCTACGGTCCATCTCACCCCGAATAGACACACATGTGTCCAAGAGAAGTACCATGAAGTACCCCGGCGTAGTGCAAATACAGTTCATGTATAATGAAATTTAAGACGAATATAAATGTTGACAGCGATTTCATTTCATAATCATTATGGCTTTCATCACAGTGTAGGCGTAACATCTGACCAGGACTTTAGTTGAATGGTGACCAAATCTCATCTCCTCTGATAATGGATAACCTGCGAGCTGTGAGATCTAAACTGCTTACCAGCCTAGCTTCGACTGGTCTAATTCGACATCCTGGGAATGGAGAGGATATTGAGCTTTGTCCCAAGGACCAAATTGTTACTCGCAAGTATGTATCTTCATTCATCCCGCAATACGTTCAAGAAAATGAAAGTCAGAAAACAGAAATACACAGAAAATGTACTAGAATAATCTTGAAAAGAGTTGAAATATGTCCATAAATGATGAGATAACTTAAAACCTTATAAAGAATAGTGTCTACAAAAAAAACATGAATATGAGAATAACTAGCTAGCCTATTCGTCTGTAAAAGATGGGGAAAAGAATTAAGGATGGAAAATGTCAAAATTTCGTTTTAACATGTTAAACTAATGTGAGGGTAATTGTAATTTTGTGTTTATAATGTCGCCATTTGGCCATTGATTCCTTCTGTCTTCCTTTCTACATCATTAGATATACGAATGATCTGACGTCACCTGATGATACCCCGGATGCTGAGACACCGAGCGGCTCTGCTTCTCACACCCTATCTAATGGAAGTGTGCTAGGAGAGAGCACGGAATCAGATCATCCTCGTCAAATAGACGAAGATTCGGGTAAACTATATTTTATCTCGGGTGTTATTACCTCCTTTATTTATATATTTTTATGCCTCCGCCACCGAAGGTGGTGCCGGAGGCATCATGTTTTCGGGTTGTCCGTCCGTACGTCCGTACGTCCGTCCGTACGTCCGTACGTCCGTCCGTACGTCCGTACGTCCGTCCCGTTTGACCGTTATCACAATATCTCAAGAACCATTTAAGATTTAAACTTAAGACTCGGGAATAGTATTTATCACCATAGGAAGACAATCTGATTAGATTTTGGAGTACGTAGGTCAAAGGTCACAGGTCACAGAGGTCAACTTATGAAATTCCTTGTATTGAGTTTGTTAGCGCGATATCTCAAGAACCATTTGAGATTTAAACTTCAAACTTAAGGATAGTATGTATCACCATAGGAAGACGATCTGATTAGATTTTGGAGCACGTATGTCAAAGGTCAAGGGTCACAGAGGTCAACTTATGAAATTCCATACATTGAGATTGTTATCATGATATCTCAAGAACCACTGGAGATTTAAACTTCAAACTTAGTGATAGTGTGTATCACTATAGGAAAACAATCTGATTACATTTTGGAGCACGTAGGCCAAAGGTCAAGGGTCATAGAGGTCAACTTATGAAATTCCATACATTGAGATTGTTATCATGATATCTCTAGAACCACTGGAGATGTAAAAACTTCAAACTTAAGGATAGTATGTATCACCATAGGAAGACGATCTGATTAGATTTTGGAGCACGTAGGTCAAAGGTCAAGGGTCACAGAGGTCAACTTATGAAATTCCATACATTGAGATTGTTATCATAATATCTCAAGAACCACTGGAGATTTAAACTTCAAACTTAATGATAGTGTGTATCACCATAGGAAGACAATCTGATTAGATTTTGGAGCACGTAGGTCAAAGGTCAAGGGTCACAGAGGTCAACTTATGAAATTCCATACATTGAGATCGTTATCGCGATATCTCAAGAACCACTGGAGAATTTTCACTTCAAACTTAATGATAGTATGTATCACCATATCATAATATCTCAAGAACCACTAGAGATTTAAACTTCAAACTTAATGATAGTGTGTATCACCATAGGAAGACAATCTGATTAGATTTTGGAGCACGTAGGTCAAAGGTCAAGGGTCACAGAGGTCAACTTATGAAATTCCATACATTGAGATTGTTATCATGATATCTCAAGAACCACTGGAGATTTAAACTCCAAACTTGTTTAAATTGCTGTATGGCGGAGGCATCATTTTCGACTGCGCGCAGTCAAAATTCCATCTAGTTTTAATTGTTTTCCTTTACAGAAGACCCCCTTCCCCCTTTAAATTTCCTTTCAAGTTTATAATCGTTCAAGCGAATCACTTCGTATTTTCGTCGTTAAACTTAATGTGCGACAAACAACAAAATTAAAACAGGTCCATGATTAAAATAGGAAAGGTATCGGGTCAAATGTCTGAAATTGCGAAAATCCGCAATGTCTGGGAAGCGTAGTGTATATTTATGTGTATTGCCTGCTTATATTTTTCTTTTCATCGAGGGAGGGGGAGAGGGTCACTTCACTTCCTCGATCAGCCTTTAATCTACTGAAAATTATACCGAACGTTTCATTTTGTCATTTGAGATGTTTAATTAACCTTTGAACAATACCATACTACAGTAAAATATACGTGTAATGCAATCCAATCTTTTAAAACAAAATATGTCAGATTTCTCTTGTTGTGGATGCCAATCATTCCGATTATCCTTTTATTACCGACCCCATCTACGGCGGATCCGGTATATCATTTAGAAAACACCAATACCATACCTGTTGCGATTCAGACCCAACGAAAAATAACTTTATTTCTTCTGTGATAGTGAGATTAATACTTGTTAATCGTGATCAGTGGTTCACCCATTATACTCTGGAAGAGGAGTGGGAGGGGGCACACATTCGAAATGTATCTGACATGCAAAATGAAAAAGAGGAAAGAAAGAAGTTCATCGGCCCAATATTTTGGTCGTTTTATCATCGTTGGTGCTGATGACCAAACAATTGTCCATAAAATAATTCCTTCCTACACATATGAGTTAGCTATAAAATTGTCTGTCTGAACTTTTCCTTATCAATCTATGTATCTGAGCAGAGACGGGCAAGAGCAGCGCCTTGCAGGCTTGCTGGAATGTGAGTAACTGTATGCAAGGTATCGGCATCCTCAGCCTGCCATACACAGTCAAGGAAGGGGGCGTGGCAGCTCTGGTCGCCATTGTAGTTGTACTCATCCTCGGTAACTATACCAGCAAGGTGAGATAAGGGAATTCCCCCGAATGACTTTTTCGTCCTGATGACGTCATGCTTCACAATCGGACGTGATTGCTGTCATATCGGTATTGCATGGGAAATTGAAGGAAAATATACGCTTAGACACATTTTGAAGGCTATACTGTCTTCATAATATAACACGTTACCAACTGAAATTTACCAGGACTCAATATCTGTTTACACACATAAAGGTAATAACAAGAATTATAGATGATTCGTCGTAATTAATTGATATGGATTGAATGGGATAAAAATGTCCCTTTGCCACGTTTCACCCGCCCTGTTTATATGCCGTGTAATGGAAGTGAATAAACAAAATCATTAATTTCACAGTCAGTCCCCTCTTCAGTCTGAACTACATTCCGCTGCTCCTGAGCAGTGCCATTGGTTCAGATTTCCCCATTTATGTTCTTATTTACTGACAACTGAAAAAGGGGACATGTTTGGCATTTCTGTTTTTCAGATCTTAGTTTACTGTAAATATGACGACGATGATGATGATGATGATGATGACAACGAATCACCGATAATCGACACAAATAGAAAAGCTGCGCTTGCATCTGATCGTCCGACGATTGTTCGAGAGACATACGCCGACATCGCTGATGCTTGCTTCAAACACGGTGGTCATGTGATCAATGTCGTACAGATCATTGATATGGTGGCAGTGGCAGCGCTGTACCTTCAGATGTCAGGTGCTCTACTAGTAGATACCTTCCCGCAAGCTGGTTTAAACCGGTTTACCTGGACAGCTATAACAGTCGTTGTGCTCCTTCCGACTGTACTCTTCAAAAACCTCACGAAGATATCGTGGCTGAGCCTTGTGGCTTTGATCGCACTTGCCGTGATGTACTGTAGCGTGGTGTGGTACAGCTTCGGTCGTAGCATCCGATGGAAGATGGAGAGCATCCCGTTGTTTTCGATCGAACCCGTCGCCATCAGCGTCGCCATGATTGCTCTCAATTTCGGAGCACAGTTCTTGATGCCAGGAGTGGAAGGCAGTATGCGGAAACCTTCACGCTTTAACATGATGCTCGACTACTCCTACATCGCCACAGGGTTCATCAACGTCGCTTACGCCCTCTTCGCATTCTTGACCTTCGAGGAAGACACACAGGAATTTATCACCTACAACATGCCTCGAGGACCGCTCCAAGCTGCAGTTAGTTGTCTCTTCGTCATCAAGTCCATCCTGACCTACCCGCTGATGATTTTCCTCATCGTGAGTAGCATCGACTCTATGAAACTGTCGATCTTACCGCGTTGCTACCCAGATATTGATGAACGCTGTCCACCTATTTGGGCCATCATTTTCAGGGTTCTCTTAGTAGGTCTGTCCTTCCTGATGGCTGTAGCCATTCCTCATTTCTCTCTGCTAATGGGTGTCTCTGGAAGTCTTACCGCCCCATGGCTCGACTATATCTTCCCATGTCTTTTCTATTTAAAACTGAGAAAGAGGAGTATAAGAATGTTGGAGAAGGCATATCTTTGGTTTATCATCATGCTTAGTGGGTTAGCGGGTGTTGTAGGACTGTTTTATTCGTGCCGGGCAATGATTCGAGCATTGGTAGGAGATATCAATGATGAGTGGTGATATCAGCTCACCAATTCATCCTTTGTTCTTGGTGATTTAAGATTACCTAATTCCCTGGTTACACCAACGAGACCGGTACCATACTGACTAATTAAAGGCCGAACAATAAAAGATTACCCAACACGGCTAAAAATCTGTCGGTCTAGAGTCGTTTTGGAGTCTGCCTGGCGGTGTGATTTGGGCATAAACCTATTGGAGCATATTTTCTCTTTCTTTCTTATTTTTTTTTTTTAGTAAACCACACAAATACAAGCTCTGCTTTTTAGCGGATTTCTCAATTTCCTTTAAAATTCGACTTGATTGATGATAATTTTATGCTTAAATAATCTTCTATCCTAAAATGCTTCGATTACTACATTTAATATTGTATAATTATAAATAAGTTTCATTTTCTATTTGATATTGCACATGTCAATTGATTTTGATGTTATGTAAGCATCCACTTCCCAAGCATCGTACCTAGGTTAACAACTTACTGTTGAGAAATCTCGGGCAATGAGGAAATTTGAATGCACAGTCGAAAAAGAGCAGTACACTTTGCAACTTTTCACTTGTGACCTTGCCCCTTATTTTGATCTATTGCATATTCCTTGACTGAACATTTATAACAAATGGGGTGTCATTTTAAAGAAGAATAAAAACAATTTTTACTGATCCTAAACAAAACGATGATTATGCCATGACAAGAGATATATATATATAATTATAATCAATCAAATCTAGTTTCTAAACTTTTTGGGGGGTTAATAAAGCGTCGGTTGAGAGCCTGAAAGGCGTTAACTCATATCCTATTTGTCTCCGTCCCCCTCTTTTCTAGCATTTGATAATAATTCTTGCCAACGAAACATTCAGTTCATTTCACCATGTATTTTTGTTTCACATTCTACAAATTCAGCCTGTTATTCGTGAAAAAAAAAAATCTCCTGTACAAAAGTAGTAAGAAATAAGAGAAAAGAACTATATAGATATCATTATGGAAGACTCGCGAATTTCACATAATATATGTTGAAATAAAAATATATAATATATTGAGAGAGAGAGAGAGAGAAAGAGAGAGAGAGATCATAAGTATGATAACGTTAAATATATATTTATTTTTAAAGATACATCTAAGTATACAGGTTGTGACAGTTCAATGTGTGAAGTCATTATCTTCAGCATGTAGAGTACGTGAACCCTATACCACGGGTCCTTGATTCAAACCACGGGACCACGCGGCTAAGTCCATTAAGCGGGGACAGATGTAACCTGATGGTCCTAAGTGGAACAAAAATGTTATGATACAAGTTTACACTGTGTTATTACATAAGTAATTGTTTTTCTTCACATTAATTGACACATTTAAGTATATACCTCTCTCTGCTCTTGTCTCACAATACCTCATGTTTACCTTCGTTGTCTAGTGGACACGTCACCGGACTGTGGATCACACGGTTCGCGGTTCGCGAATGTCCTTTGACAAGACGGTAATCTGCATTAGTGCCAGACCCCACTCGGGTGTTCAATGGGTACCCGGTAGGATGCGAACGTCATTGTAGCGGATTGCTGGGATTTTAGAAATCCTAATAACTTGATATTCGAATAGTTCATTATTGCAATAACATGTCTTGTATACAATTTCAATAAGCTAAGTTCATTCGCAATAATATATATAAGATTAATCCCATATTTAAGGCTTACATCCCAGCAATCGGGATTATTGCAATAGCCAGTGAAACATGGAGTATAAGGCGAAATCTCCCCAACTGAACTTATGATAATTATGTTGAAAAAGAAAGTTTTACAATATTATAAAGATGAGTAATATGTTGTACGTCTGTCTGGAATGGAAAGACATTTTGCTGTAAAGCGGCGGTTGCTACTTATTGTTGTTTGTATAGAAAGATCATTTTTAATGTGTTCAAACCGGGACATAATTGATTTGTTTATTTGTGTGAAGATTATTAATAAATAGCCTGTGGAGGGGTCAAAATCGAAGATTTTTTTGAAATTGCACCTCATAGGATATTCTCAATATTATCAATGAAACGAACCGATTATGATATTACTCATTTCCAATGTGAGATATGGCCCTAGTTTCACTTATTTGAAATATGTTGGTTGTGGCTCTTAGGTTTATAATTGAAATAAATAAAAAAAATAAGTTAATAAAGCCGCACTTTGAAGTATTTTTGGATTGAATAAAATTGGTTACGTATTAATAAGAAACTAAAATTTTCCCCAAGGGATATTTGTGGCATGAATTCCTTAGTCTTTGTTTGCGAATTTGTGGAGGTATACTATATACTATATATCTGTGACTGTAGTTTTTATGTTACATGTTATTGGATAATGAATGATTGAAGGATTGACTGAATATTGATTGAAAAATCAATTGAATGATCGATATGTTAATTATTTGATTGGTTAATTAGATTATTACTTATATCGAAAGCCATGGAATAATTGGTTGATCAGTGAATTGATCGTTTGATTGATTGATCTGCTTAGTATGTATGTGATTGGTTAACTATTTATTTAAACCGTTGGAGGATGATTGCTTGATTGATTGGTTGAATGGCTGGTTAATAGATTATTTGAGTGATTGATCCGCTTATTATGTGATTGGTTGATCAATACATTACTTAAAACATTGAATGATTAGGTGGTTGAATGATTAATGGTTGGTTTGGTATTAGGCCAAAAAAAGATGTTGTATTACCCTTTAGGTGACAAAACATGGGTCGGTCGGTCGGAAATCCTTCTTCTTCTTTTTTTTTACTCCCTCTTTGGGCTGATATTTCTCAGTTTTTATTGCTTTTAAAAAAAAAAAAATCTAAAAAATGGTAACAAAAAAAAACTTTTTTCAAAAAGCCGACCGTAAGTTTCAAGATTTTGGGGTCGGTCGCAAAGGTCAATACAACATCTTTTTTTTAGGCCTTATTGACATGATAGGATCTTTTTGTGAGCGTCACCTATAACACATTTACCCTCAGGTCTCTTCTCCGGCCATTACACCCAAGGATCTCCCTCTGGACCTGCTCTCTTTACATGCAATTCGAAGGATGTGTCTCCTCTCTTGAACAGTACACACACAGGACCTATCCGATAGATTTATCAGATTTACAATGATCCTACCGATGAAACATCAGTCGAGTGGTTATAAAAAATGAAAAGAAGGAGAAAGCAAGAAAAGAGAAAAAGGGGAAAGGACAATTCAATTCAAGGCATTCTATTCACTCATTGTAGCCAAAGGCTAAATTACAAATGAATTTACAGAATGTAAAACATTAAAAATATCATACAAATTAAGAAGAATCATACACGATATTCTACAAATACATATAAATACAAATGAAAGGAACTATACATGTATAATGAAAACATCTAAATATTGCTTCTAAACAAAAACAATTTTGAAATTAAAATATAAACATTGTCCACTTTTCATCAAAATTTAAAAGTTATATAAAGTAACTTAAATTGAATCTGATGGTAAAAATTAAATATAAATGGTTGCTTTCATTAAGCTTAATTAAAGGAGTCTAGAAGTGTAACAGAAAGGACAACAAAAGGAGACAGCTGGACTACATCCCGCGCCCTCTCTTGTAAAATTTGCATTTCATTTTATGAGTAAGACCCGACTGGTGCCCTCAATCCTTTCAGCGCCCCCCCCCCCACCCCCACTGGATTAACGCTACGCCACTGTTCTAATCCGATGTCTACTGATTAAATCATCAAAATGTCAGATAATCTTATCCTCACTGGACAAAGCTAGTTTCTTCCACTGATTTTCTTTAAGTACAGCTCCGATGAGATTAATAGCAATATAGCGTGTGAATAATTGTTTGTTTTAATGCTTTTGTGACAACACGATGTCATCCGTGAGAGAGTTCCGGGTGGAAAGTGAAAGTACATGTACCTTTAAATCTTATGTCTACTTAGATTCTTAGAAAGAGATTAATTTCTGTTACAGAAAGATACAGTAAATAAGAAAGCATGATTATCTAATATAGTTGTATGTATTCCGGAGAAGTATGTAGCCAGGTGATCTAACTCATTTCGCCTGTTTCCAGAACATATTTCATACAATAATGATTCAATTTCAATTTATTTATTCAACCATAAAAAGATACATATACAATAATAATTCATGAAAATATAAAAACATGGGGTTAGGAGCCTCTGAAGAAGTTTGAAAACAAACTTGTGATTGGGGCACCAACCATGGCACATATATCGAGAAAATTAACAAAAACAACATTAACGGGAAAACAAATATATACAAGAAAAAATATATAGAGACCTACATGTATATGAGGATAAGACATTTACAGCAAAGCACCAGCAAAGGACGAACACAGGACACGACGTCAAGCGACACTGTGTCACTTTATCCGCCCCCCGCTGGTGCTTTGCAGTATTACAAATCATTTATATACAAGATTTTTTTTTTTAATTAAAAAAAATGATCTAATATTATTTTGTCTTAATTTGCTTTGTCTATCATCCATGTCAACGAATCGTAATTTTGACCAATTTTCATATAGTCTAAACATGTTTGAGGTCTATTACTACAATGACGCCTTTGCTAGGATTTTTCATTGAATTAAATCGATTATTGATAATTGCAATAAAATTTGAATATCTTGCAGACACGTCTTTATTGACATTTAAGGTACGTTTAATATGCATTAACATAGCAATGACGTAATCGCTAAGTAGATGATACTATTTCCAATTCAGCACTAGAGCATAATTAAAAATACTGTCTACCACTACATCTACCATAATAACAACAACAACAGCAACAACTATAATACTGTACTACAAATACTATATACGTCTAATACCACTACAACAACTACTACTACTACTACTATTACTACTACTACTACTACTACTACTACTACTACTATTACTACTCAGTTGCGGATCCCGCCGGCGGCAAGGTGGGGGGGGGGGGCAATTTGTGAGGAAATATTTAGCAGCGACTCAGTTAGCCGGTGAATAAGCGTAGGGGGGGGGGGGTAAGAGCACATTCTTTTGGGGGGTCCAATTTGTGACGAAATATTTAGCAGCTAATCATCCAGCCGGTAAATAAGCGGGGGGGGGGGGGGTAGGCAGGGAAAGAAACAGCAATTTTTTTTTTGCTAGAGGGGGCGGGCCCGTTGCCCACCTTCCGTGGATCTGCTTCTACTAATATTGCTGCTGCTACTACTACTACTACTTCTACTACTACTACTACTACTACTACTACTACTACTACTACTTACTACTACTATACATACCACTACTACAACTAATACAACTACTACAACTACTACCACTACCAATGTACTATACTAGCACTGCTGCTACTTTTTAGAAACTATATTTTAAAGGATAAAAAGAAAAAAACACTGACGACTTTTTAAAAACTAGCTGGTAAACCATCTACCATGCCATACTTCCGTATTAAGTTCCTGAATCTTTCAGTGTACTCCAACCGGTAAGAGGAGATTGTATTACAGTACATCTGCGTAGCCTACTAAAAGTAGATATAATACATGACATATATATATATCACTTAAATGTTCTATACGTACTGTATTCTATATTGGTGTTTCGAACCGTGTACATAATGGAACACTTTAGTTAATTTCATATCTGGTTTGATGAAGCAAATAACTAATGCGAAATTGTCATGGAAGAGTAACATTCTGTGAAATTGATTCGGAATAAAGGAAGGTATTGGTGAAAATAAAGTGATCATCGTGTCATAGAGTTGCCTATACTGTGGACTTTGAGGAAATGAATGATCGGCACCAGTGATGTGACCTGCCCACAGCATGGATGAAGCAAAAGTTAAAAAGCGGTAAGATATACTTCATTGAAATTGAAACATTAAACACTAATTGCTATTGGACGAAAATAATAGATATTATAGCAGGAAGATCAATAGTCAATGCAAAATTAGATGGAGTATGAGACGAAATCTTCCCAATTGAACTTGTATTTGGATTCGGTGTTAAAGGGTGTTAAATAGTTATAGTAGAAGTAAAATTTATTATTTTAGACAATTATTTTTTAGAAAAATGCAGTTAAGCAGATGTTTTTAGAACGCTGACGGAAATCCTTTTTCGTTCTAGGAGGGGTAGTGTTGACGATCGCAGATGTTTCCTATTCTATATACTATAGAACTATTTTGTCAATGATTTCTTCTTTGATGTATTGTTGTTATATGGATATAAATGTCTGTATATTTGTATTATGTTTATGTTAAATGTATAAAAAAATTATTGGATCAATAAAAACTTATCAAATATAAATATTTATAAAAATAAAATGAAGGACAACAAAAGAGGGAAGAGAAAAAGAGAGGAGGAGAAAAATAAAGGAAGAGTGGAGGAACAGAGAAAAAAAATAGAATTTAGATTCAAACCATTATCGAAGTTTTGGTAGGACCAAAATAGGTTTCCTTATTTAAAAAAATACCTATCTTAGTTTAGCAAGATACAATTCGAAGCTGCAGTACTTAATATGAGGAAGATTAAAAACTGATTGAAATAATAATGATCTATTTCTCATTCTGTCCTTCACGTTGTGTTTCTTTCTTTCCAGTTAATTTCATTATTCCCATACCGCATAATTATGAGTAATGTTTACGTGCAGATTTTGTTTAAAAAATATACCGTCAGATTTATAATTGCATACAGGAGGCGGAGTGCGATTACATAATTATGTCTTCACTAATCAATAAGCTGGTTGCTTGTACCACATGTAGAATTCAAGCACCATTTGATTTCATATTGTGACATATGCCAAAAGGCACTTAATCTACTTTGGCATTGGTACAGAATGGTAAAGCATGAGCTTTGAAGCTCTAGTCTTCTTTCAAGTGGATTTGATTTATCATTACTCCCATTGTAATATGGTGTGCTCCCCCGCTCTGAATACAAGTGTGTTGCATTTGGGGTCAAGACTACTTTAACTAACATTTCACTAGTTCGCTCTATCAATGGGATAGTTAACATACTCCAGAATCAGTGCATCTCAATTTCATGACAGTTAATGAAAATCAACTCGACATGTAATGAGGCTAGAACTTTAAACCTAACGTTATACGTGTTTTGCATAATCATGGTATTAGAAAAGTGACGTATAACTAAGAATAACCTTGCATTATGTTTGTCATATTGATGCAATTGCTATATTTTATCCTCCTCTAACCCTATGAAGCAAACGGAAAACACAAGGTTATCGATCATTACCGGTGTGACCCTATATCCGCTTTTATTTAATTCCGGTACAACGTACACATTAACATGACGTAATGGATTGAAACACCCTCAACTGTCTGTCTTTTGGATTTTATAGCGATACATTTACATGATGAACGATGTCAGACATTAGCATTAAACATTTTGTTTATAAGCTGAAATTGTAATTTCGTTTGTAGCATTAAAGGTACTATGTCCCATTTGCAGGCCAAAAAATGAAAAAGTTAAATTCCAACTGCATTTGAAAGATAATACTAATTTAGAACTTCCCTAAAAAAGGTGGGGCTTGAAAATGTCTTCAAGTGGGAAAATAACGACTATTAGTTGTCAGATCGACTTTAGGGCTATAGAGCCCAAAAGTAATAGTCTTGATTTTCAGACAATTGTACCGAATGGTCATACGTTTTATGCTGCGCAAAGATTCAATCAGTTTAATCTTGGCCATCACAAGAAGTGGGTTATTGACGTAGACAAATACTCATTTACCCTTTACAACTCTTTTCATGTATGTTATTACCAAAGAAGGAAAAAAGCCAGTCAGTCACTCAATAGTGTCTGACAGTGAAGTCTAGCAAGTAAACGGGTTTCCTTGCATAATTTGAATATGAGGACACTGCTAACGTTTAAATTTCACAGATATGACATACATGACATATTCATAATTCCTGCAAAGTTCTACAGAATTTGAGGTTGGCTGCAAAAGGGACATAGTACCTTTAACTAATATAAATACCCTTTTTATTTTCTTACCTTTTAAATTTACCTTTCAGATTTACATCTTTTATTTACCTTTTTCATTATAGTCCTCATGACAACGTATAACAGTTAAAAATTAAATTATTCATACCCCTTGTAAACTTGATGTGTTTTTTTCCCCGTGACTCAAAAATGAAAGGAAGACAGGTTGAAGCCTTTCTTGAATAGTTTTAGTTTCAGACGCAAGATTTAATATGTCGCATTTTCAAAGAGCATAAATTGGGACAAATCGAGTTTTCACATACATACATACTCATATACAAAATTAGGTATGGATATGAATAATTTAGCATTTAACCATATTTTATTTGTAATCGTGTAACATGTTTTTTTTCCTCCTAGAACTACCTGTTATAATTGATGTATATCCTCGTTATACATCTGTTTCATAGCCAACTCGTTCATTATAATCTCTTTACTTCCTATTCTGAAGAAAACCATGTGAAAGTGAATAATGTAACTGGATACATTTCTACGGAAAGTGTGTTCAACAACAAAGACGGAAACAGATAGAGAGCCTGAAGGCGCCTATAAAAAAAAAGGGGGGTGGGGGGGGGGGTGGGTTACTGTTTGAAAATGGCGGAATTCCTCGCTTATTCAGTAGACCGTGACTTACAGCGGCTATTTTTTCTTCAATATGGGGGGGGGGGGGGTCGCCTTACAGCCCAGCGTATACCCCAATAAATTAAAGGCAGAAGCAAAAATGAAGCAAAAAATGAAGCAAAAAATGAACTCTTGCAGAGTGTTGTCAACATGGGGGGGGGGGGGGGGGGGACCACACCACAACTCGGTCAGAGGAGAATATTCATCCCCCCTTATCAATATCTGGATCAACTACGGATTAGTTGATCCACTCCCTGATTTATGAGGAAAAGTCCAGCGCAACTTTATCTATTATACACATTAATACTGTCGCAAAGACTACCAAAAAAAATCAATTTAAAGGGCCACTCTAACCCAACTAACAAAGCCTTTCAAAACATGACTACACCTCTAATTATTAATATTCCAGCCTCTGTTTTTTTCAATAAATCTCTAAATTGACCAAAAAATTATAATAACCATCCATTTCTCACAGATCTCACGCTTCGGTGCTGGGCTATACGCCCCTCGAAAAAGGGTAATACGGTCACGTGGCTTGATGACGCATTGCCGGCATGTCCGATTTGTCCTATAACTAAGGATCTTACAATCTCATTGTAATCATAAATGAAACGTACTTGGATTATCAAGTGCATATTATTTGTCGGATAAATCTCTTTTTTTCTCTCCAATTAATATCATAGTTTACCTTTTCAAAGACATTTTAATGCCTAAATCACCCTCCTTTTCACCGGAGAGGCTCCTGCAGTGACGTCATAAATAGTTGCGCAATACAGCTCCGAAACTGGGCTTTTTCTGAGCGTTCTGAGTCGTCATTTTTAAAGCTAGATTCTAAATATTGATGATTTCTAAGAAAAATCATTGTCATGTTCGGAATATCCGTCAATTATTATTCTACATGCCTTTTTAATGTTTTATCCCGTTTTGGTTAGAGTGGCCCTTTAAGGCACTTTCAATAGACTTATCCACCACCCATAGAAATATGTGGACAATACAGTAACGTTACATAATTTAATCCCAACAGGATGTTTATGCATTTGCATGGTATTCAAAAAGGTTATTAAAATTGCACATGAGTTAATATTTTTCTCGAAAATCTCTGGGTTCACTTGCATAGATACAAGTCATGTAACTTGGTATTTTACATCATACTGTGCATTTTTTTTGTTCACAACACAAGACCAGTTGTTGCTAAGGTGTTAGTTAAGATGTTCATAAACAACTAGTCAGACTGGATTTTGAATAGTTATAGCTTGCAGCCTTTCACGACTTGCCAAATCTTGAAAAAATCACGGTCATCTTTTCGAAAGATGATCAGGAATTACCGGCAAGAAATTTGGAAAATATGCGATGTTGAAGTGTGCCTCTGTCTTGTTAAAGCATGAACGAGGCCCTTTAAATATGTTATTAGTCGATGAGCAGGAACACCATTGAAGTTTATCCCATGGACAGTGACATAAACGGATATGAAAAGAATGTACGGTAACAAAATCAGAAAAGAAAAACAATATGTGGACTAGCCGGAAGTGATATCCGGTGGATTTGAGTCAACGAGTTTTATAAATAATATACTAGAACTGCCAAGACTGATTGTCATTGACCCGAATTCCTGAAGGTGACTTAAACATAGATCATAACCTCAATATTAAACTCAGGCACACAGCCAAGAACGATACCAAACTAGCAACACATATAATATGGAGCAAAAATTTACATTGACTAGAATGGCAAAGATTCGGTCGGTTTTGAGTTGGTTTGGCGGATTGACCGGGTAATAAACCACCGGTTTTCTGTGGTCGGTTTAAAGGGTCAAAGGTATCAAGAGGGACTTTTAGATTTGCGTGGACTCAGGCGCGTACGCAGGATTTTTTCAAGGGGGGGGGGGGGGTTAACATTTATAAATCGGTCTGAAAATTTCGCCACGACTCAGCCAGCCGCTGAATAAGCGGGGGGGGGGGGGGGGGGGGGGGGGTCACTTTAAGTAAGAGGTCACTTTTTTTTTTTTTTTGGTCTCGAAATTTGGAAATTTAACATTTTGCTCAGTTGGGGGGGGTAAGGTCACCTATGTTATGTCGGCCGTGGGCATAATTATTTTTTTTTTATTATTTTTTTAAAATAAAAAAACAAAAAACAAAAAAAACAAAAAAAAAAACACAAAAGGGGGGTTTTAGGTTTGTTTAGGGGGGTTTACATACATAAAATTACCGAAGGGGAGGTTAGTTTTGAAGATTTTTTAAATTTTTGAAATAACCGGGTCTGGAGTAAAGACTGCGCGCTATACCCATGCTTTATTACAGGGTTTTAGTTTAGAACAAATACGACAAAATATCACTTCAAAATTATTACATTTGTGGGTAAAGTCATTATTACATTTGTGGGTGATTCAAAATTATTACATTTGTGGGTAAAGTGGTTATTACATTATTTTGTAGGTGAAATTATTACATTTGTGGGTAAAGTGTTATTACATTTGTGGGTGTTATTACATTTGTGGGTAAAGTGTTATTACATTTGTGGGCGCTATTACATTTGTGGGTGTAACAGGGGGTGGGGAGGGGCACAAGCCCCGTGCCTTTTCCCAGTATATGTGAGCGCAAACTTCTTGCTTGCCGAAATATTGAACAAAAATGAACCAACCCCCTTTTTTATATAAATTTTACTATGTAGCTAAAAGTTCATTTGATGACTGGCGGCTTTGAAAATTGTTCTTTTTAAATTGGGTGGGAGATAATGCAGGGGACAAAACCCAAATGAGCGATATATAATAATAATAATAATAAATTTAATTTATATAGCGCTAAATACAAATGTCTCTACTGAAAAGAAAAGAAAAGAAAAGAAAAGAAAAGAAAAGAAAAAAAGAAGAGATGAGAACTGTTGAAACGGATTGTATGCATGAATTCCTGCTTCACTGGATTAAGTTTTTGATCATTATCTTGATGAATTCATGGTGGCATTGTGCTATTGTCAACGGATATCGATGATTTCAACCTATGTTTGTGTTGCTAGGCAACCTTTACTTCTTGTAATAAATCATACCCATGCGAAGATGCCAAGGCATTATGATAAACGCACAAGGGTTAGTGATTAACATAATTATCTATGATTTATACAGCGCCTTTCCATTTCAGAAACTGATCATATACAGTCAAAACCTCTCTAAAAAGGCCACTCAAGTAAAACCGAAAAAGTACAACTGTAGACAGATGGCCTTTCGTGACAAATTTTACAGCACACATTTTCCTTCTTACTGGGGACACAATTCATGGTAATGACTTATTTCGTTGCTTTAGAGAAGAAGGTGGACCACGAACCTTGATACAAAATTAACCTAAAATTTTCTTCCGATTTATGTCTTTCGCTGATCGAAATGCTTAAAATTGAGAGCTATATATAGGCCTACAATCCGAGAGAAAAAAAGCATGCTCTGCCATAGCCTTTATAGTCTGCAGGCACAGACTCTAACTTGAAACTTTGCCACAATTTCGTTGGCTGTGTGACACTAATAGGGGAAAGAACATTGCAGTAAGAAGAGTTTTCTTTGACCTAGTATAATGACTGTGTTCCCCAACACCAAGTATTATGTTTTGTTTTATAAAAGAAAAAAATAAAACACAATTATTCTGTTCACACCTTGGACTGTTTGTCGATTTCTGTTCATTGGTAATAATATTGAATAAATTGTTAAGTAGATATCAAACAAAAAACACCTCCTCGTTCAATGAAGCATAAAGACACATTTCGTGCGATGAGATGGTAAATGGAGTCAGTATGAAAAAATATACTTTACACTGGGTCCTGAAAGATAACATGTAGGTCCGTATAGAAAACACAATCGCAATACTTTCAAAAGGTCAACCCAAGAGCAAGTCAATACATTGTAGTATTCTCATGACAACTCATCTAGGGAATATGTTATATGTCAGAGTAGGGTCCGGACATTTAAAAAGCTGATGGATAAGGCAAATGAAATTACCATAGGCCTAGGTTGATTTTTCGAAAGTCTTTGTGATCGTCCTAATGATATTCCTTTATCCTTAATCTCCTTTGCTTCCATTGATCCTCTAGCTCGAGTTACGTGAAAGGTCTGGTCAGTCTTACCACGCCCCTGAGTGACCTCGAGCTCCTAAAGCTGTCCGAGGAGATCAGCCCAATGACTGGCGAAAGCTCTGCTTCCGACTAGGCATCGATGAACCGACTGTAGCCCGAGCCGAGCGGGAGAATCAGACCAATCTTGCTGAAGGAATCCACAAGACACTGGTACAATGGAGGAAAGGACAGCTGGAGAACGAGGAGAGGGCGGTGTTGCTGGAAGCCCTTATCTCTTGTGGACTGCGACGCCTTGAAGATAGACTTACAAGAGGTATAGACATTATTTTCTACTACCTGAGGATATAGATGATCTACAATCCCTTCCTCTGTTTTCAAATCGTCTAAATTATCACTGACTGTACAAATTACACTCTCTCCCATGCTTCCACTTCAAAACGTCTCTCTCTCTCACACATACAAACACACACTTTCTCCACTCTGAACCTGTTCACATACAAGGCACTGTCTTCACACCTTTACTTTATAATGCAAGATGTTTATGTTCTCTATATAGCTTTGGATAATCCTGACAGATCTAAAAACTAATGTCGCAGGAAGCACTATTATTAGAATACTATGGTTACGAGGCAGTAAACAAATTCGTATTAACTCATGTCACAATACAGTTCAAATTCAACTGAAATATTTGAGTAAGATAACAATTAGGATATTTCCAAAAGATCTGTAGAACCATTGACATTCAAGAGATTATTTGTAATATTTTGGCCCTTGTAATATAGATGAAAATGACAATGCCAGCCCTCTATCGGTGCAAATTGTGAGGCTATCAGGTTCAGATGATCTCAAGCGTATTACCGAGTTCCTTCTTTTCTTCTATTAAAGGTTTTCCAAAGCGCATTGGAAGTGTAAAGACTGCCCAGGGTCCCTTCTGCACCGCCCTCAACGTGGATCAATGCCGCAAGGAACTCATGAACAACTACCGGACATCACTTTGTATGATCCAGCTAGTTCCTTGGGATCCCAACTCCCATGTCAACATGAGCAGCATTTTCACCAATGTCTGTCTCATCACGGAAGATACCTCTACAGCCGATAAGCAATGGGTCATGTTGCCTGGATCCTACAATGATATCCTGAAGGTTAAGGTCAACAACGCTAAGCCACTACGGATCCTCATCGAGGGTAAGGCTGGGAGTGGGAAGACCACTCTGATGTCTAAGTTAGCTTATGATTGGATGGAACAATCGAAGGATTCACCTCTCAAAGATGTCCCACTCGTCATCTGCCTTCAGCTCCGTCATCTCAACCAGGACGACGACTTCGGCGAGGCTGTAGTTGAGTACCTGCTTCCTGAAGATACTCTCATCACCCCACAGCAGATAGAAGAGTACGCCCAGGCCAACCCAGAGAAGGTCGTGATCCTCCTTGACGGATATGACGAGTTCATGTCGGACATCCATGGTATCAAGGGCCTAGGAAACATCCTCAGAATCATCGAGAACAAGCGACTGACCGGATGTCGTGTCATTGTGACATCCAGACCATGGAAGGCTACAGACTTCAAAGACCACCATCTTGCCAAGCACTATGCCCACATGACTGTTGAAGGATTCTCAGAAGAGAGCTCGAAGGTATTCATCCACAAGTACTTCCAAGACAACCTTGAGCTTTCGGACAGCCTTCTGGCTTATCTGAAGGATAACCCTGCTATCCAGACAGTTACACCCTTCCCTCTGTTCTGTGCGATGCTCTGTCAGGTATGGAAAGAAGAGAGTGATGTACACAGAGAGGCAATGAAAGCCATCGTCACCCTAAGCAAGCTCTTTGATCATATCTTGAGATATCTCTGGGCCCACCACGACCAGAAGCAGCTCACTGGAACCAGGAAGGGAAAGGAATTGTCGAAGAGAGTGACTCTGACCCGGAAGAGGAAAACATCCGCTCGCTTGAAGATGGACATAGGCGTTTGTCTCAAACGTCTTGGGAAGATCGCACTAGAGGGTCTCATCAGCCCTGACAAGAAGCTCCAATTCAGTGAGGTGGACTTCAAGAAATGCTCCGACGTCCTTCAAGTGGCATGCTCTGTTGGACTTCTAATCCGTCAGAAGGGTAAGATAACAACTTCCCGGAGGTTGTCGAGACAAGAGTCAATCCCCAATCATGGAATCACCTTCTTTCACAAGTTGGCCCAAGAAAAGTGTGCAGGAATCTACCTGTCTTCTATGTGCACAAAGCAACCGAAGAAATTTGTGCAAACCCTCAAAGATGTCTACCTCTTGACTAGAGCAGACGAGTTCCGGTATGTTTTGCAATTTGCCTGCGCCGAGGACCTGTACACAGCGAAGAAGATACTCAGACACATGCCGAACATTACGCCTTATCAAAAGTTAGCATTGGAATGTAACTTTGAGAGTCAATCCAAGACCAAGTCCAACAAGAGACTATCCAAGTTCTTTGTGAGTCAACGACTGTTCATGACTGGGAGACCATCTACCTACTCATTCAACGCCCTTGAATACTATCTAAGCAACAGTGAGATCCTCAGTCCTGATGATGTATCCACCAGCTTCCTTTACTTAGCTACTGATGGCGTGGGTCCAGCCCAGCTCGACAAGCTTACCAACGTTTTGAATCAACCTCAACTGCAGTTCATGATCCAGTTCAACATGGATCAGTCACGCATCCAAGGGCCTGACGTCAAAGCCTTCATCGAATCACTCTCCCAGAAAGAGTACATTGGCGTCCTTGTGATGTCGTCAAGCGTTGCTGGTGAACAGTTTGTGGAAAGTCTTCTAGAAATCCAGAAAGATGGCCTTGAAGCAATGGTCATGATGTACCTACCAATGCTCGATGCCAGGTGGGCCACCGATATCCTGAGGAAACTCCCTTCCATATGCCCGAGGATCGGAGCACTTGAAGCTACCTTCACGACTGATGAGACTGAAGAAGAGAAAGATAACTCAGATGAAGGTACTGAAACCGAGATCTTCCCTGATGACACTGGGGAAGCATCCTCAAAATCGAAGGTAAGCGGAAACGATGAAAGCTGTCCATTTTCTGAACTCAATACACTGTCGATTAAGGGATGTGTTCTCTGTCAGAAGGGGTCTGTGCAGCTGGCAACGACCTTGTCTCTTGCGGAAAATCTGGAGAAACTTCACCTGACAAAGCCATCCTTGCACGGTTCGTTCTACTCCAATCTGGCTACCCTCAACAGTCTTCGTGAATTCTCTGTCAAGGATTACACGTACGGGCTGTTCCATCTCGACGAGTTCCTAGAGAAGTGCCCAATCTTGGAAGACGTTTACGTTGCAGCCGTTGAGAGCCAGACTCACAGTGTGAATGGTGTCATGAAGTCTCTTACCAATGCAGTAGCTCACACTCCTATGCTGAGGAGCATCACTCTCTGGTTTCCTGGTGAAGGTAGTTTTCGAGAAGGTAGGATAGAGGATGTAGTCTTCGAGGATTTCTGTGACGCCATCCTGAGAAACACTCACCTCTCCAAGCTTCTCCTCTGGCATGTCCCTCTTGGGACTCAGCTGGTAATCAAGCTACTGGAAGTTTGCAAGCAGCACAGGAATCTGATTACTATCAGGTAATGAAAGCAATACCTTCTTTGTCTTATAACTAACGAGAGTGCATTCATTTAATTGCCTAAAGTTAACAAAAATAATAACGAGTACCGTGATGGCGGGGGGGGGGGGGGGGGAGGGGGTGGTGAAATGACAAACGAGTGCGGTACTGTTCACAGCCATTTCTGAGAAGTAATGAATGTTTTTGTGTTCTTTATGCCGTTGTCGTTGTTTAAATATTAATGGAGTTATAATACAAATTAAAACTTTACATTATCATGATTAGAATAAAAGATCAAGTTAATAACACTGAAGATAGTTACCCTTTTAGGGCTGGCTACATTTCTTCGACTCGCAAAGTCGAACTCTCTTGATGCAAAGTAGTATCCACCTTAATATTTTTTTAGATGACATTTTAAATGATACTAAAATTCTCATGCCTTCATTGTCATAATAAGCCTTCGTGCTCTTTTTGATTAATTTGAGTAATATAGGTTCCAATCGATTGATAAATGTCCGCCAGTTAATTAACGAGATGTTCTTGTAAAAATTTGCATTTCTGTAATTGTGTTTTGTCCCTTTTTGTAATTTCAATCATTAAGAGACTGTAATGTTTTGAGGTAGGGCAGAACCTAAGTAACACTATGTTCTTGTTACATCTAACTGTTAAACTTTGGTTTTAACAGACTTAGCCGATGCTACTCACTGGACTGTGATCGAATTGGTGAGCTATGTAGTGAACTGCATGACATCGGCCGACGAGTTTACGTTGCTCATGGGGTAAGCTGAAAACTGCCAAATCTTTCTACTTTGAATAATTTACCCAGGATAGCCTCATCAGTATTCAAACTGTTCTCCCCGAGTGCCCTGCAACCATGCTATTATGATAAGGCGATCAAGCAATAAAGGAATGTTTCCCTACCGAGTACCCATTCACTACACCTGGGTGGAGAGTGGCAGGGGTAGATTAATGGTGCCGCAGTCGGACTCGAACCACGGACCGTCTAATTCACAGTCCGGAGACATGTTCACTAGACCACGATACCACAAACCAATGAAATATGTTGGAGTCGGCACGTTCTAATAAATCAGGAGTCAAGTATACCTGGCATTTTCCATCATGAAACAGTATTGTCGGACTCTCAAAGTTTTGTAGTTAAATTTTACGGAAAATATGCTACATGTTTTAAGCAATATCTGCCTGCGCATTTTCCATTTATATTATTGTCATTTTTTCAACACACATTTTGAAAGACAAATGAACAGGCCGGACAAAGTCATTTCAAATTAATGTTTGAAATCATGCAACTGTATTGTCGAGGCACACATACATGTTATATACTTGTAACATTGCAATACGTTACAACAATGCCATTAATGACACGAAACAATCTTGAAATTTACTCTTTTTACATCATATAACAAGGACCTAGACGTTTCGTTGTTTAAACAAAAAATAATGCCCGATTTTGAACAATATGATGCATGCGAATTCGTTCATTCCATCCGCTCTCGTTGATGCTGTTTATGCACATATTATTGTACCCAGCCTGACGGCTTCATACGATAAATGCATACAGCCTCAACTCTATTGCAGATATAGGCCTATCGAATAGTAAATTCATTCGCATGCATCATGAATTGTATAAAATCGTTTTTAATTGGATAGTCTATCCCGATTTTTTGTTTTCGGGAGGGGGGTTTTAGCCACAAATGAAATAAGTCTTGTCTCTGATTAAATATTTCTTGACTGTTTTTCATGTATCTTTACAGCACTAGACGAGCCACTAGAGAGGTCTATCCTACATAGCAACGCACACTGATGAATTAAACTCCGGGAATGGACCTCAACAAGCCAAGAATGTTCATGATACAATTTAGACTCGTATTCAATCTAGTTTATTCTACACAATTATTATGCCTATCTTTTAAAGATATTCGTAGTTGAAGAGATGGAGAGAGAAAAAGAGAGAGAAAGGGGGAATAAAAGAGAGGGGAGAAGATGGAGGACGGTAGGGGGTCAAGGAGTAAAAAGTGAAAAGAAAGGAAAGAGAGAGGGGTGAGAGAGAGAGAGAGAGAGAGAGAGAGAGAGAGAGAGAGAAGGGGGAGGAGGAGCGAGAGGGGAGAGAGAGAGAGAGAGAGAGAGAGAGAGAGAGAGAGAGAGAAAGAGAGAAGGGGGAGGAGGAGCGAGAGGGGAGATAGAGAGAAAGAGACGGGAGAGATAGAGAGAGAGAGAGAGAGAGAGAGAGAGAGGGGGTGAGATTAAATCCATCCTCTCCATTTTTCGTAGTCTTGAGAGGAGGACGTTATTGCCCTCCTTACAATACAGTATGCAAATATAATGTTTTACCACATTTTCTCTGTCGAAGATATATATAAATATACAAATTATGCAATCATACAATTCTGTTAATAGGCTAATATATATTTCAATTCTTTTGTATTGACATTGTAATTTCGTACCCATTTCCATTGTAATCATTTCAATATATTGTTTAACTTTGTGTTATGTGCTGTATACTTCTCGGTCAGAAGAGGTAGTATAGACGACATGAGTATAGAAGATTAATGAAATATTGCTTGTAGACTTCTTCAAATTGCTGTTTTAAATCGACAGTCCGAATACATAACATATGGGTGTAGTAGTAGTAGGTAGTAGTAGTATAGTAAAGCTGACATCTTGTCATGGACCTCGTGAACATTGAACAACATCCCATGAATTTCATTTCTGTCTATAGGGATTTAAAAATGAGAACATAATAATAATCTCTAACGCAATTTTTCAAAGTTTGCTCTTCTCTTGCATCATATATAGAGGCTTTCGAATTTTCCAAAGGGGAGGGGTCGTCAAGGGGCAGAGCCCCGGACACTCTCTTGTTCTAACAATTCAGAACCTTCAAGATAGCTGTCTTGAGCGATATAAACTTACTCTGTGCCTTAATTTTTTCCCTCTGTTCTATCGGTTTATTTTGTTGAAAATCAATTCCCATTCGCCCACTCTCTCTCAAGGACAATTTTATGGAACAAAGCCGCTTTGTTCCAACCCACCGCTGCGGTGGGTTGGGGTTTCGAACCCATCCAATACGTTGCCGACCCGTTACTCAGGGTAGCGATTTCTTTTTCATTCCTTTTTTATTTTAATCTCTCTCTCCTCTTCCATTTTCTTCACTTTAACCTCCCTTCCTCTTGATCCGTCGCTCTCTCTTCCCCCTTTGGAGACGTGTATTTACAGTGTTTAATTATACACACCAGCGCTTAAAACTGGTGAAAGAAATTTTCAGCATGACCCAAATCAAATTGTGTTGTGGAACATTAACTGCATCATATATAGAGGATGTATATAAAACAAATCGTTAATTGGAAAGAGGACAACAACAAAATCATAATATAAATAGAGAAAGTGTACTTGTATTTTTATGGCTTTTGGTGTTGTAAAATTGATGAGACTAATGTAATCATGTAGTATATTCTTTTATATACGATATTGGCTGTAAATCCTGTAAATACACAAAATGTTTCTATCGACTTTTCACGATGTTTTTCTCATCGAAGTTCTCCTTCATAGACAGAGACAAAGAGAGAGAGAGCGAGAGCAAAAGAACGAGAGAGAGCAAGAGAAAGAGAGATGGTGGGTGAAAGAGAGAGAATAGAGAAGAGGGAGATGAGAGGTAAGAGAGTGAAGGGAGGTGGGATGGAGAAGAGAGAGAGAGAGAGAGAGAGAGAGAGAAAGGGAGGGAGAGATAGAGCTCGGTCAAGAGAGAGAGAGAGAGCGTGAAGGAGAGAAAGAGGGAAGGGGGGACGAGAGGTAGGATGGAGAAGGGACATAGATAGCAAGAGAGAGAGAGGGAGAGAGAGAGAGAGAGAGAGGGGGGAGGGAGGGAGAGAGAGGAGGGAGAGAGATGGAGGGATAGAGAGGAAGGGAAAGAGATATATATATATAAAGCTCGGTCAAAAGAGAGAGAGAGAGAGAGAGAGCGTGAAGGAGAGAAAGAGAGAAGAGGGGGCGAGAGGTAAGAGTGGGGGATGGAGAAGGGACATAGATAGCGAGAGAGAAAGAGAGAGATGAGAGGGAGAGAGACAGACAGAGAGGGATGAATAGAGAGAGAGAAAGAGAGAGAGAGAGAGAGAGAGGGGGGGGGGGGGGGATAGAGATGATTGTGATGAAGTCGTTGACAATTGCGGTCCGCCATGAGCTAAATGGCTTTTAATTTGTAAAACCGAGGTTCGTGGTGAGTAATGCTAAATGCAGAATACCAAATACATTGTAGGCCTACATGCAACTTGAACTGAGGTAAATAAAATCACACGAGTCAAGCGACTTGCGAATCAATAGTTGATTAATTGTTACTCATTTGTGCGTTGTATTTAATCCAGTGAATCTCATTCAAAAACAAAATCATTGATATACATGTACTTCAAGCTAAGTAAACTTGCAGGACCATGAACGTGAATGTCGTGCATGAACACTTTTAAAGGCAGGGTATTCTACTGACACTACTTCAGATTTAGGTATACTGCCATCTGCTGCTCACAATGTCCCAATGTGTCGACAGCCATGTCCCACAATGCCTCACTAACTACACGACGGGTCGTGAGATGCATGGGACAGAAACCGGAAATCGCGCTATTATGCCTTCACCGAAGGTAGCAATGTCGGTAAAATACCCTGCCTTTAATAGTAATGCCTTTGCACTATATCCTCAAAAATATTTTGTTGTCAAGATTGGACAATCTATACCCATTTCTAATTTGTTCAATAATCTTCAAACATGCGGAGAACAGAACATTATTTTTTTTCTCTCTCTCTAAGCACACCCATATGAGGTAGAACAAAAAAACTTAGAAAGATTTTGTCCCATACTAGTTATCATTAAATAATAGTTTTTGAATCTAGACGTACGAGAGTTGTACATGTAGAGGTATACTGCTATAAAACGATTAAGGACCGACCTTTCAGAAAGTATCTCATTCTGTGTTTAACATTTTAGATATAAATCCAATCTATTTCATTTTCCCCACTGAATTTATCAATCAAAATGGACAGGATTCATCGATTCAAATTTAATAGAAAATCTGTAAGTCTTTTTTTTTTGGCATCATTTGCAAATTTAAAGAGAAGGGTCAACCATCAAGTTTGCAGACAATTCAGACACATCTCTGCACTCACTGGGAAACATTAACAAAGGCATCAGAATGGTTTAAGATATTGAATTCCCTTCTTCCTGCACAGCATACACACTATACATGCAATCGCAAGAAAAAGACATTTATTTTGTCTATTTACATGATAAATAGTTAAGAGTACAGCTCTGTATATCATTCATATACCCTGTGTCGACAAACACTGCACAATCAATTATCACAATCATCATTATTACAGCTATATACATTTAAATCAGCTATTTATTTTTCTTAAAGCTTATCTGCCGTAGTTTACAGGAGGGATTAAACCGCTCTACAAGGTCACTGGACAGGTGGCTATCTCATCAACGCAGCTCTCACTTAACATAAGAAAAAGAGGATCATGGGGGACCAATGGTCACCGATTAGGTATTGTTTGTTATATAGAGGGCGCAAGTAGCTACCAGAAGTGCAGTGGGCCTTTAAAGTATGTATATGTCTAATGAGAAGTGCTTGTACATGTATTAGATAAGAACAAATAAAGAAAAATAAAGAAAAAAAAGAAAAATTACACTTTTGGTCAAGTTGAAACTTGAATCCTATTGATGTTTCAAGAATATCATTTTAAGAATTACTCCAAATCAAATTCATATCCTACTACTTTATAATATGCAAACTTCATTAGGATAAAAATTTTAACCTTTAAAGTTATAGATGTTTACACATATGAAATATCTTTATCTGGTTTGGATTGCTTCTTATAAGAAGTGCTTCAAACATTTGTCTATTTCAGCTACAATCTAGTCAGCCTATTTTCTATTCTATAATATTCTAGCAATTTCAAATCGGGTGACCCTTAATAAAAAATAAAGCCATGCTCTGTTTATATAAACATTCAATGACTTAGGCACGATGGCTCAGTGATAGGGCAGCGGTCTCTTAACCGGGAGGTCCAGGGTTTGAACCAAGTTGATGCACTAGGGCCCTTTGGTAAGGCATTAATCCTCATTACCAAGTCCTTTGGAGAGGACTTGAAGCTGTCAGTTCCCTGGTTGCTTACTGATCAGGATACACATGCTTTCTTAGCAGTCAGATGAAACAAACAACAACAAACAACTAACCACCCAACCTTTAACAATTTAGTGATTGAGCAAGACTTAACCGTTTAACTACAATCTAGTCTCAAAAGAACAGGAGACATTTATAAGCCAACCCTTTGAAGAATATACTAGAAACCTCAAAAACTATCCTGTACAACATTTTCACGAGACATGATAGCTGTTCTTACATTTCAAGTGAATTTAGACGGATAAGTAAACCAGTTTAAATAGGATTCTCAACAATACCTTCAGAAAATAAGTTAGTTTTTACAAATATGGGAAGATTGTTTAAAAAGCTACATAAGTTTAGAGGGCAGCTGCAGAATAAATACATGTATTTCAAAGTCAGCCAAAATTGAAAATAGCACTACTCTAAAATCAGAAAACCAAAGCGCATACATTAAAAAGAAAATAAGCCTTAAGGTGAAATATGAGCAAAAAACAAATGAACAAAATATTTCTACGACATAGGAAACATCTAAACACAAAAAATAAAACGCATTCTTGAGAATTTCATGAAAGAAGATATTTCAGAATTCAACCACTTTTACCTTCTCATAAAGAGATTGTTTCATCATGAAAATGAAAATACTTGTCCTCTACATAAATAAAGACAAGAAATACGCCTTTGACAGCAATAAAAATTGACATAAGAAATCTTTGGAAAAGACATCTTACTTATAAACCTACATAAATTGCTTTGTATTACATTCTTCCTATCTCTGTCGCTTTCTTTTCTATGTCAACAATTTCAATCTGATATCCGTAGAAATATACACACACACCTTCATGAAATAATCATTATGAAAACAAAAGTTTACATCAGTAAGCGATAAAAAAAAAAAATAAATAAATGTAAAGCTTGTGATGTTCCTATGTACAAAATATACATGTACATGAAAATTATACAATTTCATATTCCTCAATATTTCCTCTTTCATTCTATTTTTCTCACCCCACCCTTATGCAGTCCCTCCCTCACACACACACACACACACACTCTCTCTCTCTCTCCTCTCTCTCTCTCCTCTCTCTCTTCTCCTCAGCTCTCCTCTCTCTCTCTCTCTCTCTCTTTCAGTCCTTATCATTGACATCTATTTTATTTTTCAAAATTCTATGATTATCAATTTTCTGTACATTTTGTGTAAAAAAATCTTATTTACTACCACTACTCTATGGTTTGTGTAAGGCCCTTGTAGACTGGAAGCATGGCATGAAAAGCTTTTGATAAACTTTCCCTAAATCATATACTTTAGGGACAAAACACAGTTGATAATTTTATCCAAAGCTGCTGTAAATTCTCAGAATTCCTTGAAAACAGTTCTAATAACATTGCAGCATGAAAAGAGCCATTTACAACATCACCAGGACATGTACATTGTAGAACACCCCTTGCAGACAGTTCAGTATTAATAACATGCACTTTGGATCATTTTGAACCAGAGCATACTTACTCTCAGAATCTCAACAGGCTAAATAGCAGTCACGTAAATGTTTATGTAAGGCCGCAGTGGAGAGGGAGATCCTATGAGAAACTTGCAAATCTTTTCATTGAATGACGGAAGTTCCCCATCTTCATGATTGCTGTAACATGTTTAAAAACCAATGGTCTCACATCATGCACATACCCTTCAAAGATGTGAAGAAATGTGCATTTTAGGGACAATATTTTGAGACTTTTCAGTCAAAAAGCTGGATAACCTTGTGCAATAGTGAGTATAATTGAGGCATCTCAGTGACTAGTCTGTTTAATATGACGTCACTTAAATCTGCCCGTGAAATTTTACATACGGAAGACAATTCAAGCAAATTGTAACATGACGCATGCACGCTCTCCTTTGCCACTGCTTTAAAGTGACAGTTCTGTATCACACCCAGTGCTAAAGATATAGATACACATATCGGACTCTCCAATAGTCTGATTGCAATGGACATGATATCCTACACATAAATACATGATATGGGACCACATGTCCATGGTGACAATGCATCCTGTAGCCGACGTATAAATACATGATATGGGACCACATGTCCATGGTGACAATGCATCCTGTAGCCGATGTATAAATACATGATATGGGACCACACGTCCATTGTGACTATGCATCCTGTTGTGACTGTCTCATTCTGACTTAGCTAGGGGCTGTGGTGATACGATGAATAATAATTTCTGGAAAAATAGTGTTGTTTTCTCGATGGCATTATTGAATGCGGGAGGTTTGTTCTTCCACCAGACTCCTACGAGGTAGACGGGTATTCCGGACGCCGCGGCGACGAGTCCAAGACCGCAATCCACCGGCGATGCATACAGGGCCATTCCAAGCACGAAGAGTACCCCAATCATGTAGATGAATGGTACAACAATAGGAACCTGGACAAGATGACAAGCAGAGATATCAGAAATTATTTTTTGGAAGTTATAGATCGCTTTTTGCACTGGATACAAAGCGCTTTGAGATGCCATCTATAAGTCAGTGCTAAGAGTCGATATATTTACAATTACCAAGCAGTGACAGTGAGTTCAATGAAGGCATATGGTTCCAGAATAGATAAGCCTTCAAACTCTATAAGTGTTCTACTGTTGGTGATGATTTCAGAAGAGGTGGGAGCATGTTCCAGAGTTTGAAAGCAGTAGAGGAGAAAACTGCATCACCAGCTAGTTTAAACCAACAACAATTAGAAGAAACATACCTGACTGTTACTTACTACTTCTCCCTTCTTTTGTACGTATGAACTCTGTGATATTATTTTTTTTTTTCTTCAAATTTGGCAAAAGTAGATTAATTAATGGCTTGCCAAAGGATGTTCGTGCCGAGCTGAGATTCAAACTCTCAACCTTGGATTGAGAGTCATGTGAATGAGCCACTATAACAATGACTCTTCCTTATAATAATAATAGGCATTTCTATAGCTCCGTCTATCTAGAAATTCTATTCTGAGGCGCATTTATTATTACCCCGATCTAGCATTTCAAGGAATTGATTCCTGCCATGAGAAAAAGCAACGAGCAAGACAGACCATGGCGTTACCTTGAAGGGCGTGGCAGGTCTGGGTGTTTCCACCGGTAGTACGGGATGATGGCTACAGCCAGGAAGTTCATGATCCACTCAATGAAAGCAACAAAGTTGAGCAGGAGAAAGATGTTGTTATTCAGCACCATCAAAATGGTGATGGGGAGCTACGGAGAGAAAAAGAAAAGCAAGAAATGTGAGAGACTGACTGATGATTTATTTTAATTTAATTGTATCTCCCCAAATTAAGAGTATCTTCAAATTAATTGTATGTCCTTCAAATTAATTGTATGTCCTGCAATCTATTGCAACGTATAAAAATATATAGTAACTTAACTATAGGAACACGAACGGGAACAAACGCGCAGTTTCATGTTTAGAGTAACTCGAATGTCCATGGAGGCCGATAATTATACATAGAGCAATGTAGAAAAGAACGTATACTTTGTAAGTATCCATCAGTGCGTATCAAGACTATTCATTGTATGTAGATGAATGTCACACCACGGATAGGCAAATCAGTCACACACGAACGACGTTCACACATCCATGCAGTATAGTACATGTGTAACAGCCCAGTGTAAAATGGCTTTACTTGCATGTACTGTGTACACATCCGTTGAATCAAAATTTAGAAAAACAGTTTCCAGTATCTAATATATAAATACATCACCTCAAAATGTCATGCAGTGTCACAAGTAATAAGATGACAGTTGATCAACAATAAAGCAGCATACACTCAGATTATCAGTAAAACACGGTAAAATTCAGAGCAAAAACAGAGACGGCTGCCTGCTAGGCGCATTCAGTCATTCAATGCATGGTAAGGTCCAATCACTGGTAGTGGCAGCAAGGATGGAATTACTATAGACTTATACAATTGATTGGGGATTTATGTTACAGGGCAGAGGTTTCATTAGTTTAGTGAGTACTATGTTGACCAATGTTTCACAGATAAAACAAGTGAAACTGTATAATGCATTTGTAATTTAGTCAGTGTTTTAATAGTAACTATATCAGGGGCGTACGCAGGGGGGGGGGGGGTTTTGGGGGTTCAAACTCCCCCCTTTGATATTTTTATGTGTGTAAACCCCCCTAAAAAAAAAACTAAAACCCCCCCTTTGTTTTTTTTTGTTTTTTTGTTTTTTGTTTTTTTTAAATTTAAAAAAAAAAAAAAAAAAAAAAAAAAAAAAAATTATGCAAAAAAAAAAAAAAAAAAAAAATAAGTAAATTAACCAAAAAAACAACGAAAAAAAGAAAAAAAATCAATTGAGACGATTAAACAAAAGACAAAAAAAAAAAGTGTCCGCTTACCCCCCCCCCCCCCCCCCCCCCCCCCCCCCCACTGAGCGACTTTTCGGTGGCTGAGTCGTTGCGATTTTTTTTTGTACTACAAACAAAAACAAAAAAAGTGTCCGCTTACCCCCCCCCCCCCCCCCCCCCCCCCAGTGAGCGACTTTTCGGCCGGCGCGATTTTCAAATTTTCGGGAGCAAAATATTTTGGGCCAGATTTTAAAACCCCCCCCCCTTGCAATTATGTCACTACTGGAGAGCTCAGTGAACACGCAGGTGCCAGTGATTGACATGTAAACAAAAACGGAAGTGCTTGTTTGCCGATGTTGCTGGTGGTTACGATGAACAGGATAGCTTCAGGGGCTATTAAAGTGCTGCAGCTGGTATAATTTTCAACTCACATGTATTTCCAATGGATTTTATCTACTATCACAAATTATGTCCTGCATCAAAAATTTATTGGCTTTTGATTTGAAGAGAAAAAAAGAAAAACAATTATTAAAAAAAAAAAAAAAAATTGATGCAGGATATAAAACAAATATACCATGCCTTCTTTTCGAGGTACTGGTTAAAACTATGGGCCTCGGTGACTCCAATAGTAACATGTGCTATTGGAGTCACCTCTTGCACATACTTTCAAACAGTTTTAAACATTTGTATACTTTACAAACTTCAGATTAAAGATGTTTCAACTCACTGTAAAGATGGCGGCAGGCAGAGGGGTCTTCTTACGTACATGAATCATGGACATAACCTTTGGCATCAGACCTTCACGTCCAGCTACGTACAGTACCCTAAGATAACATCAACACAAAACACATCAGAATATCTATACAGCCAACATTGTAAATTAGGAATAGATACTTTAATTGATAAAAAGTTGCTCATTTGAAGAGATTTCATTTCACAATTGGCTTGTACATTTTCATTTGATGATCATGTTTGTGAACTTGTTTGAACTTTGAATCTGAAATGCAGTGTCACTGCGAGTATTCTGAACCAAACAGAAAAAATAGCGGGTATCATAACATCTGTTTGGAGCCAGAAGGAGGTTAACTCGTATAACTGAACACATAGATAATGCCCTTTAGGCTCTGATATCATGGTCACTTAATCTATGACGGGTTTCTGGAAACTTACCTGGAGCTGCCAAAGAGGGACCCATTGACGGTTCCAGTGCAAGAAAGGGCCACAAATATTGACATGATCCATGCAAAAACGGGAAACAATCGCTTAGCGAAATCCTGCAAATGGAGAGAAAACACAATATTCCTTCAAAGAACTCTCACAACATGGAGTAAAAATAGGCCTAGACAATATTGGTATAAAAGTGCTTGTACAGGTATATTCATATTTGTTATTGACCGAGGATATGACTCATACACTGAAGAAGAGAGCTAAATCACGTTCACCCAATTCCATTTTAACTCACTTTAATATCAAATTACTGATAATATCACATAACTAAATAGATGAGAAAGGTGATGATCTCAGCATTCTCCTGTTCTTTGCAGTTTCATAAAGCACAAAAAGCAACCTATTTATTCTTTTATGTCCTTCTATCCTATCAAATATAATAAATTACCTCTAAAAGAGATTAGCTTTAACTCAGTAAACCTATACCACCTTATTTTTTGATGAGAGTGTTATATTGACTTTTGCCAGTGTGATTTCATTTTTTTAAAGTCATTGAAGTCTCTAAATTGGCAACACAGTGAAATTCATAATCACTTTTTTTTCATATACAAATTGGCAATTTCTTTTGTGTTTTTGTAATTTTTATCCACACTAATTCAACTAATATTCATTTTTATTTCTCAAATCTATGAAAGACTGACAACAAAAACATATAATTGTTGCCAATTTGAGGACATAAAGCTGATTCATTTAGATCTTTACAGAACCCTGAACTGCCATTGGGTTAATAATATTAATAATAATATATCCGTGGATGACTGGATACCCACCACTGCTACTGCGTTAGAGTGGATGATCTCAACGGAACTAAGGACGGTCAGATAACTGACATTGGTCAAGAGATAGATGGACGTCACCAGGATCATAGAGATGATGACAGCTAGAGGAATATTCCTGGGATAGAAACAAAACAAAAACACTCTTGAAAACTCCTGAATCCTGATCTGCAGATTGAGTAACTCAAAGGATAAGGGAGGCCATACTTATATGCACTGAATGCGAGACATCCATGAACAGAGACTTAGGCCAATATACACTTTCTTCAACGATCTCATTTTGCCAGATCATCATGCTGCAGGAGCAACAGCGCCAGCCACGACACAGCGCCACGCACACGAGCACAGATCTTAAAGCCCCACTGCACTACTTGTAGCTCCTTGCGCCCTCTAGATAGCAAACAATGCCTAATGGGTGACCATTGGTCCCCCATGATCATCTTTTCTTATGTTAATTGAGAGCTGATTTGATGAGATAACCACCAGTCAGTGACCTTGCAGGGTGGTCTAATCCCCCCTGTAAACTAGTACAGATGGGCTTTAAGCAGCTTGCAGCACAGTAAGTGAAAGCTCACTCACTGAAACATGATATTTGCAGGATGCATGTTGGAGCATACAAAGAGTGTATGAATTCCTTTCTTAATAGCATTTTCGTTAAGAATATATAATTTGCTATTGAGTCAATGGATATATCCTGGATAGCTGAGCCACTTATAATGAATCTTCTTGTCTGAAGTTGCTGAAATTCCTACACCCGCTGCTTTAAATCTGCTCAAGACCTTTATGTCATAATATTTAAGGTTAAATTGAAATGCCAGGGGAACAGAACAAAACAAACAAAGAAACACTTACCTGGCAGGTCGCTGTACTTCCTCTGTAATGAACATAAGATATTGCCTGGAAAAAGAAAAAAGGTTTCCAATTTTAGTTCCACATCAATATTGTACCCTTATTGAATGCTATCAGCTCACATTATTTTCCCCTTTTAACTTCGACCCCTTATACCTAAATTCAGATCAAGTCATCTCCCTGTGCAAATGCAATTCAGTCACTAAGGTGAGTATATATACCTTATATGGTAACCGGTATAACATACATTATTATGATATCTGGACTGAAAAATTGATAGTAAGCAAATAACTACCGTATGTGAAGGTGATGGGACAAACTATCACTTCCGAGGCGATCTGGATGTAGCTAGCTTTCCGAAGCGAAGCTGAGGAAAGATAGCGTTAACATTCAGATCGCCGAGGAAGTAATAGTTTGCCATCGCCTGAAACCAAAAGGTGATTTTTTGCTTTATATTCCACATCGGAGATATTTCACTTCTTCCTTACTTTTGAGCAGCAAGTTATCAATTAACAGCCAGCAAACGGTGTACGAAACGTACAGTGTATGTAGTATGGTGGTGTGACCATAGTTCGTGCATGACCAAAGTTTGCAAAGTATGCAATTAAAGTGCGTTGCACTGTGTAGATAGTAATTCTATCTTCAGTGAAAGTGCGTCGCACTGTGTAGATAGTACTACTATCTACACATTGCAACAAACTTTTCTTCTCCATCAATGATGGGCGAACTATCTTTCATCACATGATTTACTTTTGACCAATCGTAGAGCAAGATTGTTAGTATGTGGAATATATTTTCATATAAATTGACAAATGTGACCTTTGAACATTGACCTAATTACCACAGTCACTATAACCTCCATTCAAATTTGAGTAGTGCTGTTTAAGTTATCAATATCAAGTTCTTGCTTTATAAAGTTCTTGATATATTGCCAAACAACATAAATATACAAATGATTTATCTGACTGGTATATGTTCCTGAACCTTGAGACTTTGTGAATTTAAAAAAAAAAAAGGTTAATAAAGGAAGAAGAATATTATTTTGTTTTAAATTTATAAAAAAAAATATTCACCACAGACACCAAGAAAGCTTGCCTCCATTACTACCATGCCGGTTTCAAAGACATAACTAAATCAATAAAAACACTTCCTATTCTTTAAATAAAATTGAGGTAAGAAAAATAAAACGGTCAGTGGTTTAAAAAAAAGAGGAACCACAAAAGGTTTTGGAACCCCCAGCCCAAAAATGAAGAAAAATAAATTAAAGTTATGAAATAATAATGATGGATTAGAATAAAAACAATAATAATAATAATAAAAATAACAAAAACAACAAAAATAATAATAATGATACTAATAACAATCATTTGACATACCATCCTGAAAAAGCAAAGATGCCTGCATTGAGAGCCAACGGGAAGCTCGTCGGGTTGTTATAACCTGTGAAGGCGTTGGCAAAATGCTCAGTTTTTCCTATAATAAAACGGAGAGGAAGATAAACAAAAGTCACCAATTTACTATGATTAGGTAATTTGTCTCTTTCAATTATTTATTTATTTATTTATTTATTCAAGTTTTATTTAAAATAGAGGGTAGGTACATTCAGTTTAACAAAACTGCTTTCCAAGTACGCCCTCTAGAACGACATGACAAGTATAAGATACAAGTATAAAAATACAAGGAATATATAAAAAAAAAATATATATATATATAACATTCATCAAAACTAAACATTGACACATTTGACATAATATAGAGTACAAACATATATAACATAAGACAAATAATTATACCGGTAGAGGGAAATAAGAACGGAGATTCGACTATAATAAATGCTTTGCCAATTGGCATCCGCGCTTAAATATTTAAATAGATTTGGTTGATTGAATTGAGGGAGGAAGTTTATTAAATAGGGTACTTGCTTTATATGAGAATGATCTTTTCTTGAATTCGGTTTTGGGGTATGGGATGTCAAGTAGAGCATTTAAGGAATAGCGGGTACAGTAGTTGGAGGTGCGATAATTTATAAGTGATTTTAAATAAGTTGGGGCCATGACATTTATAATTTTAAAAGCTAATAAACAGTAGTGATATTTTAATCTTTGTTCGACCGATTGCCAATTTAAAGTCGTAAGAAGCGTGCATTGTGGTGTGTCGTAATCTTTATTTAAAATCGATCTCGCAAATCTATTTTGTAACTTTTGCAGTTTCGATATATTTGTCTTTGAGCAGTTTCCCCAAGCAGTACAACAATAGTCGATATGTGGTAGAATTAATGCAAAATAGAGATTTACAAGAGTTTCACGGGGTATTACGAAATCAGATGTGTATGAATTCAATTCGGATCGATGTAACATGAATTGTTGAAATAAACATAAAACGTGTCGGCAATGCTGATTCGGTCAATCTGCACGTTCGTCAGAGCAAACGGGTTGAAATTAAATAAACGCTAGCCATTGTTTGCGTGACAAAAGGATACAATGCGAATATGCCGATTAATACCAGTATAATAGTAAACGAGGGAAACTTGGAATCGTTATTTGTTTTAAGCCGTTCTTTCATGAGTTACATGTGAAATAAATTCAAAGAACCTAAGAGTTACGATTGATCGGAAATAATCGCAACTCAACGATTGAAGGTTCATTTACCCGACGACTCACGATCGTCATTCGATCGTCATTCGATCGCAACTATTTTTTGAGCTGTGGAGTCCGTACCTATTAGTATTACCGACTGGCTTTTCTTTCTGCTCCTTCTTCAACTATTCCTTTCTTAATAACTACGGAGCGGATATACTTGTGTAAATCGGGAAAGAGCTTCATTTATGGAGAGAGGACTTGACCCCAATTTTTATTTCCATTGAAATAATTTTAGGCCGTTGATCACTTAAAACCCCGGTACTGTACAAGTCGTTCGATTACCAACATGTCATTATGTGAAAGGTCACGAGAAAGTTGCATTCATGAAATGACTTTCAGGGCGAAAAAAGCAGGCGATCATGTCATGCCTTTTGGGCGTAACTACGTTCAATGTTATGAACAAATTCATTTTCTGCTACTTAGAACGTGGCTTAAATTAAAAGATCGAAAGATCGGTTAACTGTTCGTGGTTGTTTGATTAATCGGCAGTTTTCACTCGGGTGACTGATGATCACAATAAACTTCAAACGAACCACTTTCCACTAGAGCAGTAAAATTCATTTATGGTGGTTGATATCATCGTACAAATGTCTTTCTTGATCCCGCCCCCCCCCCCCCCCGAGTCGATAAATTCCCTCCAGTTATCAGCAGAAAATATTTTCTGATTTGCCGACAGCGTTTATACTCGACTTGAAGCAAACTTTACGTAGAGAGGGAGAGAGCGAGAGAAGGGAGGGGGGAGAGCGAGAGAAGGGAGGGGGGAGGCAGATGACGTATCGGCTGTATAAGCAGTGGGGTTTTTTTTTTTTGGGGGGGGGGGGAGGGGGAATAACCAGTTCCTGCATCTTTTCGACACCAAAGTGGCATACCGTATACCCAAGTACATAACCTACGAAAAAAGTTCGCACACCTTTTCACTTTACGTGTATACGAGCCTGAAGGCCTCCCGAAACTTATTTATTCGTCCATTTTTTACAAAGCGGTTGTCAGAAAAATGTCGGAACCGTACACCCCCCCCCCCCTCAAACACACAAACTTATGGCTACAAGTTAACGACCAGTTTTAGAAACGCCCCCCTCTCAAAAAATGAAATGGAAGCTCTTATTACCAATCATGTGTAAGAAAATATTTTGTCTAATACGTAATGATTCAAATTTTGCCGAGACCCCGCCTACTAATTGATACATTTAGTAAAATATATCTATTTGGACCTGATAGATATAACGCACGTGTCGCGTAGTCTCATATACATCTTTCTGTGTACAGTGCTTGTAACTTTACCAAGACTGGGCCAAATTTCTTATCATTTTGATGATTCCAGAACCTTGGCACTACACAACAATAATTATGCTAGATGATCAATCTTTTCTGACCGATTCCACAACGTTTCTTTCATAATGCAATCGCGTGACCATAACTGGTCTTTATCTTTAAACAAACGTGATTAACGACGAGACAATGTGCCCAAATGTATCCACAGATCGATAATCAAGGCAGCTAAAACAACAGAATATCATTAGTACTGCTCTAGATGTTTCCAGTGCCAAAATAAGGAGAGTTTCCTATCTATGCAACACATGCGCTTTCCTTCCGTAAATCATTGAATCACATTAAACTGACTCACCAAATAGTGCCAAAGACTGGGACATGTTCTAGAATGTTTTCACTTTGTACGGACCACATACATCAAGGCCAATAACTTATTGAGAGTAATTATTTTATTACATAATCAAGGGAATGATTTTATTTCAATAGACAAAACATTTGTAACGAAAAACGAGAACATTGCAAACTTGAAGTTAAATAATTTAATTAAAATAGACTCGTTCTAAACATCTGGGCCACTAATTTATCAACATTTGTTATGATGAATAAAATGGAACGGACTAAACAATCAAAATACTGTTAACAAGAGTCGTTCCGTTATTACTTATTTTCATACAGTATTTATAATAACAAAATCCTTCTTTAAGGAGTTAGATTAATTGGTTAGATTAATTTTTTTAAAGAAAAAGAAAAGCATAGAGTTCGACAAGTCAAAGCTTATGCCACGATAGGGTTTCTCTCTGCCTCTCTGTTTCCCTATCATATGCAAAGTGATCACGTGAGCAAGAGGGCCGCGTTTTCTTCTTTCGAGGAGGATACAAAAAATCCCTTTCCTTTCGTCGGGTTACTATATTTGTCCTTTCTGCGATATCGTGGGGGCCCGTTTTCAATATGGAGAGTGGTGCATCAGGCGATTAAGAAGAAAGATGGTCATTCTCAGAAGACACACTAATGTCCCTTGGCAAGACATTAATCTACATTTGCCACTCCATAGCCCAAAGACAAAATGGTAGGAAGACCAAATTTGTTTTTAAAGAAATTTTCATATGCCCTCACGGTGACCACAATAGTAGGAATACTTCCCAGTGAGTGGAAGTGGTTGCATACTGCGAGCGTGAATGACCGGGCACCGGGGTAATATCTGTAAAGCGCTTGAAGATAATACTCCGTGTCAAGCGGTATCCAGTTTAAATATTACAAAGAATAAAGATGATAGTACTGACCTCTACACAGCTGGACCAGACCCCCGAGGATAATAATCACCAAGCCGGATACTTTAGCTGCAGTGAAGAATACCTGTACACGGGTCGTCCATCGAACACTCACGCAGTTGAGGTAGTATACCGCACCTGTTTTGGGGGACGGGTATGGTAAGAGGAGCGAAGGGCGTGGTGGATGGGTGTGGTGCATGGGTGTGGTGGAGAGATGTAATTGCGGGGTGTGGTGGAGGGGTGTGGTAGAGGGGTGTGGTAGAGCGGTGTAATATGTGGATGGGTGTGGTGGAGGGGCATGGTGGAGGGATGTTTTGAGCGGTTTCACGATAAGAACATTGAAGTGGAGAGGGAAATTTGTTTAAAAAATATTTCAAGGATAAGGATGTGTGTGACATGGGGGAATGCATGTAATTTATTCCAACAAGAAAATATAATGGGAATTTATAATATATTTCGGGTGACAAAGCTCATTCGAAATATCAGGAAGGAAAACAGGAAGAGGCATTTTAAACAATAGGTGTAAGAAGCAACGACCGTAGGCAAAATAAACGGAAGTACAAAATGAATGTCGATCGAGAGTACAATTGGGAGGGGTCATAGTTGTTAGCAAAGGTGAAATAAGTGACAATTCAAGGTGGCAAAACGATCACGTGAACACCGTGAGGGGTCAAACAGACGCAACGGAAAAAGAGGGCGAGGAGAGAGTGGGGAGAGGGAGAGTGGGGAGAGGGAGAGTGGGGAGAGGGAGAGTGGGGAGAGGGAGGGTGGGGGGAGAAGTCCATACGCAGATAAGGAGGAAACAAAATGAAAGCCAAACATTACAATGAGATGCATATACAGCATGTGAGAAACACGATAACCATTTAGTTCTGAATTGTGTTTCGTTTTAAATTTTTCACGATCAAAGTGAAATGTTTCTTTACGAGGTTCTACTATGTCTTTACTTGATTGTCCACTGGTCATGTTGAAAAACATGCTCCAATTTCTTTTGAACCACAACTGGTCATGGATTCCTCCTTATTTATCAATTATATATATATATCATATTACATGAATAAAATTGATTCATTATAGACAGTTTGCAGTCAGCTACAACTCTTCAGATAAGAGGAACATAGGCTTCACAAATATACAACACAAGAGTGAAGAGTATCGTACACTGTATACGTAAAACAACAAAGAATTGTCCCCGAAGCCTAAAACAAACGATTATTGCGAAATTCACTGATAATAAATAACTTAATATTTGAACAATATAAGTTTGGCAGACGGACATGTATAAAATGAAAATGAGATCTCAAATTCCCAATACAACTAAGAAACTCAAATGGTGTAGACTGTTTTTATTTGATAACGTACACAGAATAACGATGGTGAATAGCTGGATAGCGGTCTGCGGGAGGTCATCACAGTTAGCTAAGAACGGGCTCACGAGGTACTGCGATGCGATCAGGATGATGATGGCGTACTCGCCCGGGTAGCTGATAAACAGACTCATCCACATGCGGATGAAGGCGACGAAGGGACCCCATGCTTGGAGGATGTAGGCGAAGTCGCCCCCGGACAACGGGATGGTGGTCGAGAGCTCGACGAAGCACAATGCACCCATGCTTGAGAAGATGCCGCATATGATCCAAGCCAGAAAGGAATAGCCGATGACGCCATCCGTGTATACTAGAATCACCTGAAATACATCGAAAAACGGAACAATAATTAGTAGAGGAGGTCGCAAAACTGCGGATTTTAGTTTAAAAAGTTGTGATTTTTCTCGTGTTAAACAAAAACAATAGGCACCTTGATTGTTAAAAGAGATTCATTACTCAGGAATTAAACTAGTTATTTATAGGTTCATAACTTGTATAGTGGTCGAGTGGATATGTCACTGGACTGTGGATCACAGGGAGGTCCGCGGTTCGAGTCCCGCCGCGGGACTAATGTCCTTTGTCAGGACATTAATCTACATTTGCCACACTCGACCTGGTGGACTGTGCGCTGATAACGGCTACCGGATACTAAAGCTAAGGTAATGATTTCCAAAGCTCTTTGGTAGCGCATAGGGACATTAATATATTGTGACAATGATAATGCGCTATACATTGTACAAGAACGGAATGATATTATTATAACTCTTTATTCATGTGATACTATTCTCATGACGCTAATATTGCGAACAGGAAGAGTATCATCTTGCTCGATCAGCATCTAACATACCGTGAACATGCATAATAGAATTTTGATGTTTTCAGAGTTGACCCTTGCATTGACTCTAAGGTCGACGGTTTAAGCGGAGAATGCAGAGATATATGTATAAGTGCAATTTTTTTTGGTTTTTTTAAGTATACTGTACATGTGCGCAATGTCGAAAACAATAATTTTCTGAATAGAACTTCAACAGAGTGAATCGAGTTACAAATGTTCAAGATTTAATTTTATAGATGATCCCCAAGCGGTACTGTCACCTATCCCACATTGCATTTGATTTAAATTACAGTAGGTCCATGGTTGTTCCACACACGAACTTTCCTTGATAGTGATACGGGATAATATAGGTCATCAATAGTGTGCAAGGTCACAGCGCAGACGACCCCCTACGAGTGAATACTCGAATAGATATCGATTATCTTCTGGCGTGTACTCATACAGGGGGACGTCAGCAATGTGTTTGTACTTTTTGGCGGTGGATGGCTAATTGCCTGGCTGCTTTCCACAGTGGCGCAATGAAATAACAAATCGTATCTTATCACACTCGCGAATTCTTATCGCCATGATAATTTGATCGTTTTCAATTTTCTTGACAGTTCCAAGCGGCTGATCATCGAAACATCACAGAAGAGATGTCTTTCTTTAAATCTAAAGGAGATAACAATTAAATTCTAATTGGTGTGTAGATCTAGTACAGTCTACCAACATGAGTTTATATCATCCCTCGGCTGGTATAGGTCTCTCATCCCGATTTCTTTTTAATTGTCTGAATTTACTTCTCCTTTCAAATCATTTAACTATTGGGAAAATGAGTTTTATTGTAATTCTGAATGGCTATTACAACAGTATGGAATATTAAGAACAAGTTGATCTACGATGTGATTGGTGTCCAGCCCAAGAACTATAGTCCATCGTAACAAACCCCAGTCCACTGCCCCCTCATGCCCACATGGCGTGAAAATAATACCTGTAGTATTTGGCTCATGTTCAAGTGCGTCATTGCATGCATTCTAATGTGACAGCAATATTTAGACTCGGGATTCTTCCTATACTGAAATACCCCTTCACCTGTGCGTAGTAGGATAGTACACGACTCAGACGAACCAAAAAGATTTATAAGTTTAACATAGGTGTATGAGGCGGAGGGGAGCTGAGGGGGTTTGCTGCCTTCTCTCGCCCCTATATGTATTTGAAATCTTATAGAGTATCTCTTGAAGAAATTATAATGTGTATATAAAGAAATGTTAATTGTTTTGGCTCGCTTTGCTCCTTCGGAAAATTCTGAAATTTGAAATTTTAATATTCGACAAGAGAGAGACCAGCCTATTTATAACAGAGTTCTACATTTATTATTTTCCTCAAAAAAACTAACAAAATATACACCGAGTCTTCAAAACTTGGAAAAATATATGCCAAAGTCAAACGAAACAGGACTCATCATGAATAGTATTTTTTTTAAATTGAAGGAAAAGAGAAAAGAGAGTCCCCAACTTCTTCGAGTCTTCGTGTTGGTGCTTTATAGACATAATTTTCAGCAACATTTTGCTGATCCACAAAATCTTTAACAATAGTCGAGATTTTATTTCACTGCCAAAAGTCAAGGATACATACAGGCTAATGTCAAAATTCTTCGTCGCGGCCCAGCGGGTATTACAATAATTACAAAACGACAAGGGATGATAATCCCAAGATTAATGTACTCATACGTGGCTCCTTGAAATCAGGAAAACATTCGTCATGTAAGTTCGTTGAACCCGCCATGTGAAAGAGAGTTAATACATGTTTTGTACCTAAACATTCTCCAACAGGCTATTTTCGTAATGTATTCAAATTCAGTGCCTCTTTACAAATTATTTCATCAACATGTTATGAATAATTGTATTTCAATACTCAGAATGCGAATTGCATACATAACGTGTTGTTAGGTAGGGTGAGGTAAGTCATAATGTTTGTCCTACCTAGCAACAATTAATGTATGCAACTCAATTTCTGACTATTGAAATACAACTCTTTAAAACAGGTGAATGAAATAATTTGCAACATGGCGCTTTAATTTTTAACAGAGATTGGTTATGCATTAAATTTGATTACATTACGAAAATGGTCTATGCATGATTGTATGGTCTTATCAGATAATAATGAAAAATATATTTTGAAGGTCAGTCATCTGAACTCAAATTTCTGGGTCAACTATCGTCATTTTCTCTTTGTATTCGTAATACTGCAACATTTCCTGCGGAACAATAACATTGAGGGGCTCGATGGGAAATTGAATTAGATGACACGGAGCATTATGCACAAAATATTTCGAACGTCGCAGCAGAAACCGGTGCAATGAAACACGACCAGAGTCCCAGACAGAGAGAACAAATCTGGTCTATACCAGAATTTTCCGGATAATAATGCACTGTTGCACCTGTTTTCAGTTGAATTTCACATTGTTATGTACATGTAACTATGAAAGTTTTTCAATATTTTTCAGCTCGTATTTCATCAAATACACGCATCACGTTTGGACTTCGCTGCGTAGAGTTAACGTTTATCATAGAACAGATTACGTGTACTATCTATGCACAAAGCAATGAACTTTTGAACTAAAATCAAAAGTAGTCTGAAAATTCTCTTCGAATGTCAAAATATTTAAATTGTCAATATAATCATAGCCTAGTTTCATGTCTGCTACTGTCTGGCTCTTCATAGGAAACGTGTAGACTAAATACTGATTCATTCCACTGTTATCTTATGTTGCCCCTCTCATACTTAAATAAATTGGGTAACAATAATAATGATCTGTGACCCGAAGATGCTTCCTCATTAAAGATAAAGATCAGTTATGGTCATGCGATTGCATTGTGAAAGAAACGGTGTGGAATCGATCAGAACAGGTTGATCATCTAGCATAATATAAGTATTGGTGTGTACTGCAAGGTTCTGGAATCATCAAAATGATAAGAATTTGGCCCAGTCTTGGTTAAGTTACAAGCACTGTACACATTAAGATGTATATGGGACTACCCCCACACGTGCGCGACACGTGCGTTATATCTATCAGGTCCAAATAGATATAATTATGTACCAAATATATCAATTAGTAGGCGGTTTCCCGGCAAAATTTGTATCATCACATATTAGTCAAAACATATTCTTTCACACGATTTGTAATTAGAGCTTCCATTTCATTTTTTGAGAGGGGGACGTTTCCAAAACTGCACCGTTAAAGGACATAGACAAGATAAGAGCATCCTAGGAGGCTTGTACGAGCTACTTACGATGTATGCCGATTAACTACGAGTCGAACCAAATTCATGGAACTAGACTAGATTATAAGCTATTTGAATGTTTGCTACATTCAGGTAATATCCCCCCCCCCCCCCATTAATAACGAGTCACGCGGAGCTCAGGGAACTAGAGACAAGAGTACGAGCGCCGCAAGAACTTCTTGCGAATACAGCCGAGTTTGCTACGTCCGCATCTCGATTAACCACGAGTCATATTGAGCTCAATGAACTGAGAGAATATCAGCCGGGGGGGGGGGGGCGATCCCTGTTACACCCACAAATGTAATAACGCCCACAAATGTAATAACACTTTACCCACAAATGTAATAACACTTTACCCACAAATGTAATAACACTTTACCCACATATGTAATAATTTCACCCACAAATGCAATAACCACTTTACCCACAAATGTAATAATTTTGAATCACCCACAAATGTAATAATGACTTTACCCACAAATGTAATAAATTTGAAGTGATATTTTGTCGAATTTGTTCAAAACTAAAACCCTGTAATAAAGCATGGGTATGGCGCGCAGTCTTTACTCCAGACCCTTTATTTCAAAAATTTAAAAAAATCTTCAAAACTAAGACCCCATAATCCTTTTCCTGTGGAATTACATGAGAATAGAGCGTAGTCTTTCTTCCTGACCCGGTTATTCAAAAGTAAAAAAAAAAAAAAAAAAAAACAAACTTTTAAACTAAGACCCCACCATCTTCCAAACTAAGACCCGATAATAAAGCATGGGTTTAGAGTGTAGTTTTTCTTCCAGACCTGGTTATTTCAAAACTTTTTAAAAATCTTCAAAACTAAGACCCCATCATCTTATTCCTGTGAGAGAACATGAGTATTGAGCGTAGTCTTTCCTCCAGACCCGGTTATTCAAAAGTTAAAAGTTAAAAAAACCTTTTAAACTAAGACCCCTCCATCTTCCAAATAAAGACCCGGTAATAAAGCATGGGATTAGAGCGTAGTCTTTACTTCAGACTCGGTTATTTAAAAAAATAAAAAAATCTTCAAACTTAGACCTCATCATCTCATTCCTGTGGAATAACATGGGTATAGAGCGTAGTCTTTCCTCCAGACCCGGTTATTTCAAAAGAAATAGAAATTTAAACAAATCTTCGAAACTAAGACCCACCATCTTATTCCTCTTTTTTTTTCATTTAAAAATAAATTACATTATTACATATGTGGATACAACACGTCCCAAATAAATGATTGGTCGGCGGTCACACGAACTGACGAATCAGTCAAAATGGTCCATATATCACACAGAGGAGGAACTGATTCGATGGTTCGTTGACCGTCGACGATTTTTTAATCATGTAAATATTCTAACGCCCACAAATATCCTGGAATTCAATGTTCGTAGAAAAAAAAGTAATCGAATAAATGACCTTAAATGTATTTAAATATTGACGCTGATTGTTTTATGCATGTGATTATGAAATATGTTCACGATATGTAACATATATATATATATATATATGTACGCTATTAGTGACAATGAAACGTTGGATTGCGATGTTATATTTTCATGAGTGCGTGAATGAATTACCTTTCTTCATGTGATGAACGTATCAATTACTTATACTTATAATAAATTTCGTTCTCATGAATGTACCGCGTACCAATTGGTAGTCTTCAGTATAAGTAATATTTGTGGGTAAAGTGGTTATTACATTTGTGGGTGAAATTATTACATTTGTGGGTAAAGTGTTTTTACATTTTTGGGTGTTATTACATTTGTGGGTAAAGTGTTATTACATTTGTGGGCGTTATTACATTTGTGGGTGTAACAATCCTCCCTCCCCTAAATAAAAATTCGGGGGTGTGCCCCCCCCCCCCGATCGCCATCCCTGAGCTGAGGTAATGTAAGACTGACTTTACACGAGCCGCCACAAGCTATACCGTGTTGCACTTTAGGACTCAAACTATATCTTCGTGAATAAGTATGAGTTATTTGTACAACTCTTGTCGAGCAATATTGCTTCGTGAATCATCCACGAGGTGAACTTAACTCGCTCGGACCCCCACTCAGTAAAGTGTGGCAGGAACATAAATGCTACTCTTTCGCGATGTTACTTGAGACATCACATGAGATCTGAAGTTCAACTTCAAGCCATACAATGTTGTAAACCAATGCCTGCTTAACCAAGTGTCGTAGGGCTGTCGGACTTACATTACACGAGCAGCCACACACTTTACATGAGCAGTCACAAGTGTACAGGGAATCAGGGATCACTTACTTCTTAGTCGGTATAATTCAATTTCATTGATACCTGTGAAACACATTCCTTGCGGGTGATCGGGTAACATCATAGGCGTGATGTCACGTCGCAAAGTGGCATGTGTCGACTTAAAGATCATTCGTTTAAGATTTGCCCATCTCGCAAAAATCAATTTCGACCAAGAAAACGCTGGGAGCGTGTATGCTTCTTACATTTTTGAACAATTATTATCAGGGGCGTAAATCCCGGGGGGGGGGGGGGGATGGGGGGGGGGGCTGCATCCCCCCCCCCCCGGTTTGAAGTAGGGGGGATGACCTGTACAATCATCCCCCTCCCCTGATATTACAACAAAAAAAAGAGGAAAAAAAGGAAGAAGAAGAAGAAGAAAAAAATGTGATTGTTTCAATTGCAGCATAATGCATGAGAATTTGTTTATGTATAGCCTACACGTATACAGTATGTCACGCGGGAGGGGAAACTGAATTCAGACGAGAATTAAGAGTCGAGAACAGTACACCCAATCGTCCGCTTTCTCTTATAATTTAAGGAAACGTCAAGGCTTCGCGCGAGAGGGGGAAACTGAATTCAGATAAATATGGCTTATTAAGAGTCGAAAACGGTGCAACGAATCGTCTTCTTTCTATAATAATTAAATCAAACGTTTAAGCTTTTCGCGCTTCGCGCGGGAAAGGGAAACTGAATTCAGACGGGAATTAAGAGTCGAAAACAGTACACCCAATCGTCTGCTTTCTCTAATAATTTAAGGAAACGTCAAGGCTTCCGCGCTTCGCGCGAAAGGGGGAAACTGAATTCAGATAAATATGGCTTATTAAGAATCGAAAACGGTGCAACGAATCGTCTTCTTTCTATAATAATTTAATGAAACGTCAAAACTTCCGCGCTTTGCGCGGGAGGGGTAAACCGAATTCAGACAAAGATTAAGAGTCGAGCACGGTTTAACAAATCGTCTACTTTCTCCTATAATTTAATGAAATGCCAAAACTTCCGCGCGGGAGGGGGGAGGGGGAACTGAATTCAGACACGGATTTACAGTCGAGAACGATACAGCAAATCGTCTCCTTTTTATAATAATTTAATGAAACGCCAAAGATTTCGCGCTTCGCGCGGGAGGGGGGGGGGGATTCATTCAGACAAGGGTTAACAGTAGAGAACGGTACAATAAATCGTCTTCTTTTACTAATAATTTGACGAAACGTCTAAGCTTCCGCGCTTCGCGCGGTAGGCCTATCACCCACACACATGAGCGAGCGAGCGTGTGCGTGTGTGTGTGTTGTGTGTGTGTGTGCGCGCGATCGCGCGCGCTTGCGTAAATTAGTGTGGGCGTGTGCTCCTGCTAGTATGTGATGGCTATCGCCGATCATCCCCCCACTCTTCGGTACGGATTTACGCCCCTGATTATTATTCATTGCAATTAATAATCATATTGATTCCGTATCGTATATTTTCTACCGAAATTAATTTGACTCATGTTTACTTTATTCTAATTTTCTTTAATTTCTCTTCACTATACTTTCTGACGGGTGAACCCTAAAGCTAAAGGAGGGGTATACTTAAGATTTCAAGGAAGATACAATGCATTTGCGTCTTGTAAAATGTAAATTTAAATGAAATTGCGCACAAATGTTCATCTCTATTATAAAGTAGAACATAGTGTTCTCACTTTCTCTATCGTTATATTACTCTTAGGAAAACTAACGGACATCAATAAGCGGTCTTTTACACAGCCCTCAAAAACACGAACATAAACGGGCGGTACAAAACAAGACTGGCACATTTAGACTTCCTTAGATGCTCAAAATAATGTTTGTCTCTCGCATTGTTCAATTTCAATATAATCACACATCGGCGGTCATCAATTTTGATTTGCTTAAACGCGATGAGCTTAGGTTCATGAGAATTTCAGACAACGAACATTATATACCTTAGATTTTTAAAATATTAAAAAATGGTACCTACCTGCGGCGATACAAAGATTCCCGAGCCAATGATGATTCCAACCACCATGGCAATACAACCAAAGATACCGACTTTCCTCTTGAGCACCACCTCTGGTTCTCCTTCTTGTAGGTCAGTCATGGTTTCATTGGGTGTTCCTGCAGAGGGTGCAGGGGGTACAGCATCGCCACCGGGTCCCGCGTCTGCTCGGTCCGCTGAGGTACCATCTGGGCCTGGGGCCATTGCACGTATCTAGCTATGGATATAATATGCGGGTTGGTTCTTCCAGGTGTTCAGTAAATCAGTTTGAGTCTTCAAGGATTGGTGATAATACCTCGGCTTAACTTCAGATGAGTGTGTTTGCTCGGTCCGTACGTTATGATCGAGCTACCTGTTTACAATGAGAGAATGTTACATATTTAAGAGTACAGTACTAGCATAAAAACACGACTAAAATACTTATCACATTCGGTGATCACAGCACCTGTGATATCAAGTGGAAAACATCCATACAGCTGTTTAATGTTCGAATCATGACTACTAAAGTACCACCAACTTCTTGGTACTAACTACGTGTATTGGTGAGGTCAAGAGTCCTCCTTGGTGCAGGTGCGGACTGCTACAAACCACCGAACATACATGTACGTCAGACCAGACTGTTTACACAAGACATCGAATATAGACTGACAATGACAGATGCATACCAGCCAGCAGGATGCAATATAAAGCGGGCATGAGGACACTACATTACCCTTCTTTCCGAGACATCGTTGTGAATGATAGAATATTCAAAGGTACGTATGTATGCATACATCAGAAGCTAAGTTGTACGAAACATACCGCGAGAGATTCACTCTCTCCAAAGCCAGACAGGTCACCTAGCGGGCATTCTCTGCATGCGCTGTTCCCACGTGTTATGTGGTCAAATCAATTGTACTATCCATTGTATGTATACTGACCGACCAAATCAATCTCGTCTCAAACAGCGCTCAGCTCAAGGTCATCTTGTAAATGTAAATCGCCATGAAAAAGAGTTATGAGGATAAATCTGGCAATTTGGAGTGGAATTATGTATCCCTGCATGTATACGTACATGATTGTAATGTATGACCATGTTTCCAGTTGTTGGGCAAAGGTAAATCATTTGCGAATGAATCTATCGATGTGTGGAGAAACATGAAGAAAAGGTCATCAGACAGTACTGGAGATGGTGCACATCCGTGAATAAGCCTACAGACCTGGGTAATTTATTATCAGTCAGAATTTGGAAGTTGACGTTGAGGCCAACGCTCAATCTAATTTCATTATAATCTTACATTTACTTAGTGGATTTTGCATGGTGGGAAAACGAAAAATATGAAAACCAATTCTGGGGGGTGTTTCACAAAGATTCTAAGTCAAGTTTAACTCTACAGTAAGTTGGACTTAAAAACTATAAAGAGACATTCGTAGCATTATAATGAAATATATTCAAAAGCAAAATTTCAAGTATTTTAGACTTTTCATAAATTCCCCATCAAGAACATGAAATCTCCCATGCTAATATAAAATATGAATGATATGAATCAACATTTTATGCCTTTAAAAAAATCTTTTACAAAATATTTTCAAAGATGCTAATGGCTTTCCATAAATGTTAAGTCCAACTTAGAGATAAGTTCAACTTAGGATCTTTGTGACCCCCCCCCCCCCCCACCAGGTCATAGGTGAAGCAGTTAACGATTAAGATGACTTGAGCAGCTGACCAGAGTCAGTCAATAGCTGGGTCCGTAACCATGGTAACCTCGTACTCATGGTGTTGAAAAACGTTCTCCCCCTTCACTGCCCCCGTTTGGATATTTATCAACCCCCTTTCACGATCATCATTATAGCCACGACATACAGTATAACGATATAGCACGAGGTATTAAAATCTATCCTGCTTACAGAGCGAAAGGATTTCCCAGTTCTCTCTATAGAAGTGGGATGTACCGTGTCTGGAGTAAGGTGAACTACTCACTGGAAATACAAGGATGGCAGAGGATGTAAACTCCATACTCAAGACTCGTTAGGTTTTCTTGGAAGTACAACTTTACCTTGAAAAAGGGTCGAGTAAAACAGTTTAGTGTCGTATTATTTTAATGTTTATCTTTTAAACCAGAATGCTCTGAATTATCAATGACATGAGCAGAAAGGGGAAAAGTCACTGGAAAATTTGAATTGATTCCAGCTGCAGCAGATTGTGCCATTCATGAGCAGGGCGATAATTGTTCATTAAGTATATTATATTTCATTATATGTTAACAACTGTAAAAAATAAAAATAATTGATGTCAATTTGAGGAGAAAAGCTGATTCTTTTACACCTTTCGAAACTCTGAAATGCCTACGGTAAAAAAATATATATATAAGACTATGATGTTGGCTCATCGCATGCAGTAAGCAGATGGCATACTTTTTTGTAATAGTTTATGACCAGGTTTTGCAGATTCGCTCTACAAATGAACTGTGTCCTCTTTATATCATAGTTCACACCAGCACATAATGACTTTTAAGTGAAACCCTACCTCCTAGTCCATTTCCGAAAGACATGCTGTTAAAAAACAAATGAGATCGTTATAAGCAGAGTTGTGTTATCATTTACAACAGGCGCAAATTACTTAGATACTGTACATAATTATTGTATAGCATAATTATTTTGATAGTGTCATAGGTGAATTCGGAACAATGAACACATCGACTTCCAGCATTTCCCAAATGCCTTTGACAGTGTTGACTTATACTTTTCTGTGTGGCAAGACTCACACGACCATGAGCCAATAGCCACTTCGTATGATCGTGCCATCATTGCCATGAATTCATCAGGCGGATTCATTCTACGAACAGATAACATTGTCATCTGACGATAGTACATATATTTTATATAAGAGTAATTTTTAGATCGGACAATGAACTTCAGAAATAGTAATATAGTAGAACAGGTGTCACATGCATATTCACCTTTTTACATAATAGCAGTGAAGGGATGTTCCTTTGTCTACCTGAAAAACTGTATATTTTGTCCGATCTCTTTGTCGGTCATGTTCATAGTGAGTGCCCCTTGTGAAAATTTCCAAGCACTGCCTAATCACACGCAGCTCAATTTATATCATGGCAGTGACACGTTTGTGATCCCCTCCCCTCCCCCCCCCCCCCAAAAAAAAAATGGCTTCCATGCCAAGTCCCCATTTTCAACAGAATAGGAAATTTAAGCTTTTATAGATTGGAGTATAAGATCAGTCAAATTCATATCTCGATACATTAGATGATAGATACAGATCCCGATTATAAATGCTTGGTCTCTTCTTTCTGATTGTAAACAACGATGTCAACGCTGTGATGTTATCTTCTTCCAAATGAAATATATTGAGTCTTCATCATGAGGTGTATCGGTCTAAACCATTTCGTTACACCTCTCGTTATACATAGATGAATGAATGAAGAAATTTATTACCCAAAAAAGATCTTGATACACGAACAGTGAACAATGGAAATGTATTTCTTTGAAAATAACACTTAGTCTAGCTAGATAGCAATACTGCTAATAGGGTGCGGCATTCGTGTAATAGTTGTCGAAAAAATTGACACACCATGAAACAAAACAAACAGACGAACGAACAAACAAAAAGGGGACCGGCTAATAATGCGTGAGATAAGCTAAGGTGCCGATAGCCAAGGAACTCTCGTAGTAAAAAAAAAAAATGGGTTCCTGGTTTCAAGAGATTGGTATATCATTTTATAGTAATTATGGTTTTAAAGTAGAATTACATGTAGTTAGCGCTTTAACTATCTCGAGAAGCAAGTAAGACGAGAGTGAAACTAATGGAGGATGTGGTAGTATTTACAGTTCTAAAATCCGTTTGAAGTAATCTCCTTCTCTCTCTCTTTCTCTCTAATCAGCGATGCATGTTCATAACACCGAAGCGCGCCAAGCTATACACCATTCCCGCCAAATCCTTTGAACTGGGCTCTTAAGGTTACGCAATACTAGACAGGGACAATACAATAATGGACACTTCCTCAATCGGAAAAGGGGGCTCGTTTTCTCATTGTACCCAACTAAAATGGCATGCTGTGAAGCATTTGTTCAACAATTGGCAGTTTGGCACCGTGTATTCAATTTTACGATGCATTGAGGGTTCACTGCACTGTTTCACACAATGTACGAGACATCGAAGGCGCTTTAAACTAATGGGTCTCCAATACACGAGAATTCAAAGGAATAGAATCATAGACCATAAATGTTGCTCATTCATGATGGCCCATGTTCAGAAATACAGCGGTCTATACACTTTATAACATGTTTATTACCACGATTGCTCTCCATAAATGACTGTCGATCATGATTAAAGGTAAAGACCAGTTATGGTCATGCGATTGCATTGTGAAAGAAATGTTGTGGAATCGATCAGAAAAGGTTGATCATCTAGCATCTAGCATCTGCAAGGTTCTGGAATCATCAAAATGATAAGAAATTTGGCCCATTCTTCGTAAAGTTACAAGCACTATACACAGAAAGATGTATATGGGACTACCCTATATCTCTCACAGACCATGAGAGAAACACATTTACCAAATCTATGAATTAGTAGGCGGTTTCCCGGCAAATTTTTTATCATCATGTATTATTCAAAACATATTCTTTCACATGATTGGTAATGAGAGCTTCCGTTTCATTTTTTGAAACTGGGGCGTTTCCAATACTGGTCTTTACCTTTAACACATTAGTCTAACTTGTCTTAGTGGCCAGCTCTCTATAAAGGCCATCCGTGGGTAGATAGTTCGTCTCCCTCGAGAAAGAAATGTGTGTGATAGACCTGTCTGCATGGAAAGGCTTCCAACCTACAAAGTCATGCAAAGTGGCCACTTTTTGTTTCCTTTGGGTGACGTTTAGGTTTGGTTAATATACCATATTTGATGGGGAAACAAGGGTACATTTATCAAGAGGCCCAAAAGGTGGACAAATTGAGGGTAAAAGGGTGAGTCGTATAACCCTCTCTCATAATCTTTCTCATCGTTTTTGTTGGGGAGGGCGACATTTGCATGTGGATGGCAATGAGGGCATAATAATATGACATCGCTACTCTGTAAAATGATATCAGTGGACAGTGGCAATTACAGGAAGGGTCATTAGAGTGTATCAATTGCATAGGCTTCAGTGAGATTACAGAATTGGGATTGTTTTGTTTTCATGCCCCAAATAATTGGCCCATCTTTGAGAGGAGCGTTGGAGTTGCGGTTTGCCAGATCTTGGTGCCTGGCAAAAACCCATAAATCTCTCTGGGCAGCTTTTCCCGAAACCGTCCTGAGAACAAGTTCACCGACATCGATTTTGTTGTTGTTGCTATTTTGAACCCCCGTAAGTGATGTTTTCCTGGCATCTCCTATCACAATGGAGACCATAAAAAGCATGATAACGTCTTTTTAAATCAAGTAACAGTTTAATACACAGTTATATCCAGAGTTATCATGTGTTTGGTTAAGTTACCAGATGAGTTGAATATTCTTTTCACAATATTTGCACTTAAAAGTTTCTCTCCAGTGTGCATTCAGGTGGGGGGAGTTAAACCCCCTAACCCCCCCCCCCCCCCCCCCTCCCCCGTAGATCCTCCACTTGGGGGAGGGGATCGCCCCAATCCACCCCTCTCTCTCCCGTAAGTAACTACCACACAGTGTAAACCCACGATGGTAAAATAGAAAGTACACCAATTCACGAGGCCAAGTTCATCGTAGGGGGAGCGCTCTAAAATAATCCTGGCATCATGCCAAACTGATTGAGGCTCATATTATTTCATCATGCATAACTCATCTGAGATGGATGGAACCTGACGACATTCATGATGCGTCACGCGGCATCTCTCTGGTGGTGGTATAATTTTCTCACAAATGTATATTATTGTATATGTTCCATGGATGATGGAACGCCGACAGTATATGTACTTGTACGCTTCGGTTTGTATAGTAATTGCCCAAACTAGTCGAGTCTACCGGTACTCCTTTTTGCACAAATCTGAATTCAGGCAAGAATATATCTGTTCAATCGTCACGGGATGACTGAATACTGAATATGAAAAATGTCGCTGTTACATCGTATGCTGTCTGAGATTTTTATTTTATTTTAAAGATACATTATCTACGATCTGGCAACGAAAAGTATGAGTATGGGGGGGGGGGGGGTGCTAATTAGCTATTCATCATGGATGAAATAATGGTACATAGGTGGTGCTGCAATATACAAATATATTCATCCTTGGACCTTGAGTCCTTTCTCTGTATGCAGGGCTGAATAATTAATTTATCTCACAATGAAAATGTGCATTACCAGACCAGCTAGCTGGCCTGATGTTTCCATAGTAATAACAAACAATGTTTATAATGTTCATTTTGAAAAACACCTTTCCAAGAGATACACTCTACATATTAAACATGTGGACGGTTGCTCCACTGAGAAGTCTTGCTCCACTGACCATGCACCTCTGCAGAGGGGGAGACTGACAAATGTCAGTTTTATTAAAGAATTTCCCATACCACACAGATTGACAGATACTTCTGTCTAGTACTAGTAGTAGTAGTACTAGTAGACTCTAGACTACTAGGAGGGCTAGCCTTGTACCAACAATAATCAAGAACAACAGTCAAAGGCGTATGGGCACATTTTCACAAGGGGAGCTGTAATTTGACTATTTTTGTGGTTAAAAATAACAAGATTATGGACATGTAAATCTTGCCAATTAACATGATGAAGTTATTTTTAGTAACTTAAAGTTCAAGTTCACTTTATTCAATACTTTCATAAAAATATACAAAGGAAAACAAACATATAAAAGTTTAAATGTAAAAATACATGTATCAGTATATAACATGAGGATAACACAAGTGGAGAAGACATGATGAACAAGGGGAAACATTTTAAACAAGTACATTAATGAAAGACTCTCTCTACGACTCTAGGCTAGTCACGAGTCTTTCTCGTCTTGCGCTCAAAAAAGACGATAGACTCTCGACTCTCGAGAGACGAGATCTCTAAAAGTCTAATTTTGTAATTAAGACTACAGACACCCACACGTTCACATGTCCAAAATATTTGTTATTTTGTACCTCGATTTTCTCTTTACCCCCCATGAATATTTTATTATGATATTTGTAAAAGTGACCCAACTCTACGTACAATGACGATCATGTATTAGCTGCTAGCTATACAATTACAAGTATACATGTAACGCAACGTTCATCTCACCGGGTGGACCTACCTAGTGGTACCTCTGTACAGTGAATACCGGTTCTGTCCGCTTTCGTTCTCACGACTGCACGTGTTTGTCCCACGCAATGTAGCTCGAGATTTCTCTCGATAACCCCAAAATCAAGGGCCAAATTCACCACATTAGCAGCGGGTAGCAACTGAAATGTCCGAGTGATCCTCATGAATCGAGGAATTCACTTCTTCTCCCTAAATTATCACCGCTCTTGGACAAATTTCATTCGTAAACGTCTTGTCCTCGAGATGAAGAATACTACGCATATGGTTTGTCAACAATGCATCGACAGTACAGAGCGCGCGCCGTGCATGTTATTCATTCATTCATTCATCATTCTTTCTCTTTCGTGTTGCGGTGTGAGGCCGTTGGTCGATTAGTATATTTTATTTTCTTTCTTGCTTTAATAGTCGAATTTTCAATATTTGTTAACTTCATATATCATATGTTACATCGATATATAAAAATATCTCCTTTTTGTTTATCCGTAGTAAATTTTAATTGTAAAACACTATCCTATGTTTACAATATTCACCCTCATAATATAATGGATTCGTCCATTACTACTAAAGGCGGGATCATTGGATTAATCTACATACCGGTACATACGTCACAAAGCAAATACATTACCAGCCAAAATTCCAAGGCAAATACACGTGGTACAATGTTTTGTTCGTAGAGTACAGAAATGGAAATACATTCGCGTAAGTTGCCGTAGATTACACCCAAAGCCTTTTGCAACACAAACAGAATATCTACCTCTAGATATTTTCTTCATTCATTTCTTTGATTTACAGAATGATGAAAAACTGCAAGCTAACTTTAAAAGAAAGTATTACTTCTTTACCGCAGTTATTTTCTACTTTGTCTGGATATTTCTGATATTCAGTTAATATATAACGCCATATGCTTCGGCGAGGTCATTTTAATAATGTACTTTTGTCTCACGGTTGTGCCAGGTGCCAACCAGAGGTCATACAGCAAACAACTTTATATTCCGAGGTATATCACTGAGAAAGTTTTTTTTTCAAATAACAATAACAATTTTCATAAAGCGCAACATATCCATCTCTATGAATGAAAACCCTGGAATAGTTTAAATGAAGATCTAGTTATAATGCACCCAGTATCTTCACTTTTTTTAAACGGCCCGGACAGTAATGGAGATAAGTAAACCTGTCAATTTAAGTTCAATTCGAAAAACCTACTGACTTTTTGTGATTGCTTTTGATGATTAACGTATTTTGTTCACACTGTTTGATGTATATTTCATAATATTGTGTATTCTAATTTGTAGGTTTGTCATTGTATTTTGTTCTTATAGCGCGATTAGAGACTTCGATGGAAAGCGCTTTATATCTATTAGTAAGCACCATTCTATTGAGTACTATTATTTTTATGATTGAGGGTATAATCAGGGCTCGAATAATTTTTTTGTCCACGGGGCTCTTCCCCCCCCCCCCCCCCCCCAAAAAAAGAGCCCCCGTGAGCGTCCTCACGGGGGCTCTTTTAGTACTGACGGGGGCTCTTTTTTTATACAAATATCCATTGAATTGGTACCTATGATACTCCTCAATTATTTGCTATTTCATCATTATCATTTTAATCAGCATTTCCCCTCTTACAAATTTACAAGCTACATAGCTGTTACTGACTTTCATTCTGTGATGACATTCTCTCGATTTCTTCCCGTTCTGCACATTATTTCCTCCTCATTATTGGGAGCAACATTTACATTCTTTCTTTACTGAGCCGCGTAGCGGCGAGGCGATTTTGTGTGTGTGCTATCTTGGACAGGCGCGGATCCACGGGCCGATTCTACCGGCCGCCCCCCCCCCCCTCCTAGCCTCCCAAACCGGTAAAAAATAGGATAGTAACGTAAATTTTACCTTAAGAAATAAAATAAAAACGCCCCCTTACCTGCCAGTGACACAAATGCGACATCAAAATATTTGTGCTTCTCTGACCGTTATTAAATGCCTAAAACCCCTGAACCCCCCACCAATTTACGCTCACTACCTGATCGTAAATACTTTAGCCCCCACTTTGATAAACGTTCCGCGGGGCCTGTGTATATAATACGCATACAACACTGATCTTTATGATGTCTTTAACGTGAAATATCTTCTTCACCCCTTGCAAACGAGAAAGAAAACAAAGTCATTAAAAGGAATTAAGCGACAAAAAATGACTGTGATTCAAATTGATGCAAGGATTGTTTTTTGAATAAGCACTGCTATTCACCCGAATCTTCTTTGTAAAAACAACAGTACTTTTACAAATCTCAGCCATGCTTACTGAGTTGAGACGTTCCATTCAATGTAAAATACACTTCTCCTAATCTGACCTAATCTATCAGTATTAGTATGAGCCAATATATTATTCTTTATTCAGTTCAGTATAATGCTTTTCCTCAAAAATAGTTTCGCTATTTTTGTTAGGGTTGAGACGCTAAGAAATGTTTTCAAATGTACATTACACAAACCCTGATCCATTGCAAAATGATGGTGGTTCTCTCTCTCTCTCTATCTCTCTTTATTTCAATCATGCATTATCAACTACATAAAGCAGCAACCAAAAACTTAGGGTTATCTGAGATAGGTGAAAGTAAGAGTTAAAAAGAAAGTCATGCTAAAACGGCACTTCACCTCCCCTCCTGAACAAAATGAAATAAATTAGTGGTCCTCCTCTCCAGCATCCCCCCTCCCCCGCTTTAATATTTACCGGCCGACTGAGTCGGCGCAAAAATGTTCCCCAAAAACTGGACCCCCCCCAAAAAAAAAATATATATATATTATGTGCATTTATCTAGCCCCCCGCCCCCTCCGCTCATTGGCGCCGATTCGCCGCTAAATATTTTCTCAAGATTTGGGCCCCCCCCCCCTCTTGCCGCCGGCTGGATCCGCCCCTGATTTTGGACCCCCGTAAGTGATGTTTTCCTGGCATCTACTTACATGCGAAGCATCGTCCACGAGCTTTTTTTTGTTGCTATTTTGAACCCCCGTATTGTTTTCCTGGCATCTACTAACATCTTACTGTGTGTCTCGATCTATTTATGGCGTTTTTTCTATATGCACATCACATTTTCACTTGGCAGCCCAAGGAGCCCAAAGAGGTTGGTTAAACCCCCTACCCCCCCCCCCCCCGTAGATCTGCCCAGGTTACCATATCATTCCACGACATCTTGGTCTTCTTCTTCTTCTCAATAGGGACTTTTAGATTTGCGTGGACGTGGACGTGGACGCGGACGTGTCACGTCCTTTTATTAGGCACTGGCAGTCACATGTGACGTCCTTTTAAGCACTGGCAGTGCCTTATAATGAGGTCACACGTTGCAGTCCATGTTCTCATCGTGCAAATCTAAAAGTCCCTAATATTAATTTACTGGTCGAGGTTCATTATTTGCTGGTCATTTGAAATCACCAGATTTCAGCGGGTTTACGCTTTCACAACAAAAAACTTCTCCATGACCATCATGGCCCTGGGAAGCGGGGGTGCTGGGGGTGCTGCAGCACCCCCGGAATTTTTCCAGGGGGGGCATAGCACCCCCTGCAAATTTTTTCGGTATGATATATTTACTGTATCAGGGGCGTACGCAGGGGGGGGGGGGGTTTGGGGGTTCAACCCCCCCCCCCCCCCTTTGGTATTTTTTATGTGTGTAAACCCCCCTAAAAAAAGCTAAACCCCCCCCCCCCTCCCCTTTGGTTTTTTTTTTTTTTTTTAATTATAAAAAAAAAATATAAAAAAATATGCCCACGGCTGACCTAAAAAAGGTGACCTTACCCCCCCCCCCCCCCCCCAACGAAGAAATATGTCGAGACCAAAAAAAAAAAAAAGTGTCCGCTTACCCCCCCCCCCCCCCCCCCCCCCCCCCCCCCCCTGACGGGGACGGTTATATAGCTCACGGGGGCGAATCGCCCACCGCCCCCGTGTATTTTGAGCGCTGGGTATAATGTTTAATCGGTCTGCTGTCGGTCTAGAGTAAGTTTTGTCGGTGTGACTGAGGTATGTAGAAATTAATATAGAGGGTTCAAAAGAATCCATAAGTATCAAGTATAAAAAGCCCCCCCCCCCCCCACCCCACATCAGGATTGCTTACTTTCATGTTTAATTAACCGCCTGACCATAATAGCTCATTCTATTCGCTTTACAGATGTACACGAATTGAAACTCAATTCATAATTAACTTAAATCTAGCTCCATATCTCGCTTTAGAACAAATCAAACGTTCCATATTTAAGCAAGAAGGCATCATTGATTGGGTATAGGCAGGCTGTCTTCTCGTTTTTCTTCCCTTTCTTTGTATTGATTTTCATAGGTGTGTTTGTGGGCCCGTGCCGTGTGCATTATTATGAGGTGGATACCTGATGTACATAGTTGATGGTATATATACTTTTTTTTTTTTATATATATAAATATATTTATATCTTGAAATTTTATTTCTTTTGTAAATGTATTTCATATTTTTACAAGCACATTGGCTTCTTAGAGGTATAGGCTACTGGCTTATTATGTATTCTGTTATTTTGTATTTGATTTTTTTTTAATGATGCCAAATAACTTGAATTATGATAAATAGGCTTATCAAATTTCTCACTTGTATATGGCTGAACTTTTTTTTTTTACTGACATACCAAAACATAAAGTGAGATTATGTTGAGATGGCGCTATTGCAGAAAGGTAGAGCGATCCTATACGGAATGGACGCATACATTTTCCCCGAAAATTTTGCTTTCATACATGGATTTATGGTAGGTTCAGGGGCGGATCCAGCCGGCGAGGGTGGTGGTCCAGGGGGGGGGGGGGCAATTCATGAGAAAATATTTAGAGGCGAATATGTGAAGCGGGCGTGGGGGGATGAGCACAATTTATTTTTTTACTCAATACACCTCCCTCCCCCTTGAGCGAAAAAAGAAATGTTACTTCTTTTTTTGCCTGGGGTGGGGGCCCGGCTTACAGTGATTGTTGAAAAAGGGTGTGCTGGCATGGCCTCCACCCCCCCCCCCCTGGATTCGCCACTTGGTGTGATCTTATTCAATCCACGATGCACTGAGTGGATTCATCGTTTCCAAGAATAAAATCAGAACGGGGAAGGTGACAGATTGATTTTGTTTTTTCAGTACCGTGATAGTAAAATGATACTGCGGGCCACCGATGATGGTGCTGGTCAGGCGCGGATCCACATGGCGGGTAGGGGGGGGGGGCGATGGACCCGGCCCCCACCCCCTGGCAAATGAACATATAAAACAAAGATTTTGATCACTGTGTTTATTGAATCAATTAATCTCTAGTTGATATTGTAAATCCAAAATTGTGAGTTGGACTAACGTATTGACTTTTCAACTCATTGATACTCGTTGATATCATTCATATTACTTTCATTTAGCCCTTGGCTTATGTCGTATGCATGGACTGGCAACCAATGGCACAGCCACTCCAGGTGGGCATATAGGAAAATCTTTTATTTATAACGCAAGTTCATTTTTGTTTTATTAAATGCACTAACGTCGATCTTCGACAATATTAGTAGGCCTTTGAATCGTAAGAAATATGAAGGGGAAAAAATGCCCCGTCGTGTTATGAGAAGAATTAAATTTATTATGGTACCAATTATAGTAAAAAGTTAAATCTATGTATAAAATTACTAAATTAGTATATTATTAGTATATTGCTTTCTGGAGATCGAGACTAATCAAGATACTTGTTAATTTTTTTTCCCGGTCAAAGGTCATTCACATGTTCTGCTGATCAGCGGAAGAAAATACTTACTGCCAGAGATCCTGATACAAATGGGAGTTTCTGTGCCTAAATCCATGAGGAGAAAATTATATGATCATGGCAACTACTAGGACACTTTTCATCGTGCTTATTTGGCTTTCATTGTTGTATTTTGGAGGAATATATCTTTTCACGAAGGGCTTCCTTTTGACTCGAATCGAGATTGCTGAAAGGAGCGAAAATGTGTGTGCAAACCCCGCCGGAGCAACGGGCGTGCGGCATGGCAGTGATAAGGGTAAATCAGCTGCAGAGTGCACGCACCAAGTCCGATTCAAAAGAGCTGTGGTAATGCTAGTTGATGCATTGAGATACGATTTTGCAGTTTTTAACAAGAGCCTCCCATCAACAGAAGCTGCTCCTTTTCAAAATAAATTGCCAATAATCCACGAAACGGTTACAAACTATCCGGAACAATCTGTCTTGTTTAAGGCGCTGGCTGACCCTCCCACCACAACTTTACAGCGATTGAAAGGGCTCATAACTGGAAGCCTTCCAACATTTGTAGATGCTGGGCAGAACTTTGCGAGCTTTGAAATCTCAGAAGACAACATCGTTGATCAATTTGTGCAAGCAGGAAAGCGGGTTACGTTCATGGGAGATGATACATGGACGAGCCTTTTCAATAATAAGTTCAATAAAGCATTTCCCTTTCCGTCATTCAATGTGAAGGACTTGCACTCCGTGGATGAGGGAATTCTGACAAAACTTCTGCCAGAAATTAGAAAGAAAGATTGGGATGTAGTGATTGCTCATTTCTTGGGGGTGGATCATTGCGGCCATTCTCTTGGTCCGTACCATCCTTCGATGGGAAAGAAGTTGACTCAGATAAACTCTGTGATTAAGTAAGATCATAGTTGGAGATGTGGGCATCGTTTCACGAAACCATCATAGATAGAAGTTCACTGAAATCCCATTGAAATGCTTGCCAAGATTAATATACAGGTGTACTCGTTTCATTGTGAAGTTGGCGAACTTGTACTTTTGATGGTTTTGTGAGATGCTGCAATGACCACATAAATTGCTTGTATGCATACAGTTGGTGCTATTGTAACTTAGTAAACCAATCTAGTGTGAATAATTGGACAGATTGTGAAACTGAAATAATTAAGCTTTTAAGGTAATTTAATATAATCAAAATGTAGATTAAACTGTATGTTTGATTACGGGTGAAATTTGAAACAAAGGAGCATAGTTCAAAGATATTAAAGTCCCACCTTTGAAAAAGTAGTATACACTGTACTAGTAATTAATCTGAATAAATCTCATGCCTTTCATCAATCACAAATTTGCGGTTACTTACAAATTTAATACACACTTTATATAACCTCAACTATATAAGACAGAGAGCCAAGTCTGAAATCACATTATTTAATTTTTTTATTGAGACACTATGTACAGTGTATACACCTTCACAGCACCTTAAGCAGTATGAGAATACACCCGAAGGTGGCCTGTACTTGTAACAAAAAAGAAAGATGTAGAATGTGTCATTAAAGATGAAGTTGAGTTCTGGTCATGCGATTTCATTGTGAAAGAAACGGTGTGGAATCGATCAGAGAAGGTTGATCATCTAGCATATAAGAATTTGTGTGTATTGCAAGGTTCTGGAATCATCAAAATGATAAGAAATTGGCCAAGTCTTGGTAAAGTTACAAACACTGTACACAGAAAGATGTATATGGGACTACACGAACACGTGGCGTAAAAAACCTACCCCCCGAGTTTTACGATGTACATGACATATTTAGAATATGAAGGCATTTGAAGAGCCATGCTTTTCAGGGAACATTGTCTTATCTGATGTTCTTCCACACTTGCATAATAAGAATGATAACGCTCACAAATTATTTTTCACCTCTTCCCAGAACTCAACTTTCTCTTTAAGCTATGAAGAAGTTGGAGATTTTAGTGAGCATTCCAAAACAAATTACATAAATCCCTAATCCATCTGTAATTTAAAGGTTTTCTTATCATATTTGAAAACAGGTCTGTAATGCAGAGCTTGGATAAAGACACCATCTTGTTTGTTCTTGGTGATCATGGAATGACGAGATCAGGAGATCACGGAGGGGACAGTCAGGAAGAAATCTCTACAGCACTGTTCATATACAGCCCCAAAATGATCATTGCTAGAAGTGATATCAGGGCAAAGGTAGGTAGACATTGCTTCTTGGTAATTTTTAGTGATTTTTGTTTCTTCTTGCATGTACTGCCAAACAAGTTTAACTAATTTTATGCTGCCTTTATTCAAAATATAAGGTCCTCAAAATTAACTTTCAGCAGACAATGTCGAGTTTCAATTCTTATTGTCTTCAATAATTGAGTTTTGCTTTAGATATTTCCATTGGTAGAGCCTATACAGTATGCCTTCCCACAAATGTGCCCCCCCCCCCCTCCCCTCTTTATGAGTGTGAATTATTTGCTGATTTTATTTCGAACTTGAAGTCAAACAATAAAATTCTTTAGTGGGATGTACCACTAAAGGATCTTCATTAGCCTATTGTTATGTTTTTATCATCTGATTACATACTGACAGAGTTTCTGTACCATCTCAAACCATCAAACATGTCTGGTTAAAGCAATTTCTAAAGTTACCTCCAAAACAATGGAGGAATATATTGATAAAACTTCATATTTTCTCATTCACAGAGGATACCAGATGTTGTGTCTCAGATTGACTTTGTCCCAACCCTCTCTCTCCTGCTGGGTATCTCAATTCCATTCTCCAATCTGGGAGCCATCATTTCTCCTCTCTTTACACTTGCCCCTCCATCTGAAGCACTCGGCTCAAAGGACAACTGGCAGCAAATTAATCACAGATTAGTTGCATCCAGAACCAATGCCAAACAGGTAGGTCTGTACCTATAACATTTCCATTTCGTATTCCATCTTTTTGTTTGCACAATGTTCTCCTAAGTCTCCTGGGCTTACTCTGTGAACATGATATTAAATTAATTTTTATTGACCTCTGTTATCGAGTTCAAAATATGATTATTAAAAACCATTTATAGCAAGCATCAAAGATGTTTCGATTCCAGTCATCATAATATCATGCCAGCTGCTGCAAACTATATATATTAGGGTAGACAAATTATGTAAAACTGATGTTAGATTACAGGCAGGGTAATGAAGTTATGGTACACTGCTGTATTCATAATTTCCAGGATTTTGCATCTCTATTCTAAAAATCCAAATAGTTCCTCCATTTCAACTATTATGAGGGCTATGTGAACTGAAATGCGAAACAAAGTTTGAGACAATGCATTTATTCTTCTAGCTGCTTTAAGTGATGTAACACCGGTTTTTCCCTGTCACCTAAGGGTGTATTCTTACAACTCTTAAGGTACATGAATATAAGTTTTTGCAATATCCCATTACTGAAAAGAGTCAATCAATCATACTTGTTTTCTTTATTCAGATTCATCGTTACATCACGACCTACAAAGAAGTAGCTGGGGATTTCCCTGCTGAAGTCTATTCTGAACTAGAAGCTCTCTATCAGAAAGCTGAAGGCCAGATGAACCGCTTGGAAGCTCTCATGGATGCTGATACAATGTCAGAGGTCACAGAGGAGTCTCTGCTTGATCTGGAAGAGCGCTTCAGGGACTACATCCTAGGAGTGAAGGAGATGTGCCGCAGTGTCTGGGCCAAGTTCGAGATGGTCTATGTCTACCAAGGTCTTGGTCTTGTGATACTGACAATCATCATGGCTGTGGTGATCGTCACCTTACAGCATTATACCGAGCCAGAAAAGATGGATGATCTTCTGCAAGGACTCACCAAGCAGCTGGTCACATGGGCAATGTGCTCTACTGGTGCTGGCTTCTTGCTCTCACAGAGTACCATGCTGTCACCAGCCACTAGTTTGATCTTCATCCCATGCTTCACATCTATTCTTGTCATGGTGCTTCATCTTTTCTCGGAGGTATCCAATGTCAGCATATCTAGGTTATTGGGGTCTTTAACTATTACTTCTGTTTTTCAGTCTATTTTAGTAATGTCACCGATATTTTTACACAGTGCTTTCATGACATCAGACAGTCATGTGATCAACGAGGGACGAGCAATAGTGTTCTTTGTAAAATCAGTGATAACATTTTATGTGTTAGTGTTTTCACTTCAAAACTACAAGTCATTTTATTCTGACAAAGAGCATGGATATGTGAAGGGGAGCTTCAAATTGAAAAAGTTTATATCGAGTCCAGCTATGTGGATGGTCGTGCTTGGACTCGCAGCTTTAGTGTGTGTAAGATGTAGCAGTCTGTTTGTCTCCTGTCGTGAAGAGCAGTATTGGTGCACTCCGTCCATTTTCATGCAACCCTTGTCTCTGATACCTTCAGAACAGTCCAATTTACGGAGCTACAGATTCCTACTCTCCATTGCTTCCATTGCCGCTCTTCCATCTGTCCTCATCTACCACCTGTCACAACAAGGTAACCTGAGTGACCTGTCTGGTCAGGTGTACTCCATTCGCTATGCAATCCCGCTGGCTAGTGTCTGCATCTGTATGTTCTGGGGACAACAGGCGCTTCCTGAGAAGCTTCGAGAACATTCTCCAGAATGGCAACAAGTAGTGTTCCCTCAGATCGCCTACGTCATGATCGCGGTGGCCGCCATCTTGCAGTGGGCATTTCCTCTAAACCTTCTGATTGTGAAGAGACCCCCAAAATCTGCACAAGAAATCCTTGATTCTGATGGCGCAGACTCTGAGGAACAACCTCCATTGGTGTATGGACTCGGAACAGTCTTCAGTGCCACTTACTTGCATATTCTCGTCTCGATGGTTCTCTTACTTTCTCTTTTGAATGCTGATGGGATGGCTACCTCTGTGTTCCTCATGGTGGTTGAGGCAGTTCTTTTCTTGGAGATTTATTCTGCTACAAGGAGAAAACAATTGACAGCCTTGAGAGCCATGCCAGAATTATACAAAATGGGTGAGTAAACGCCATGTACAGGGTCAGCCAAACAAATTAAATTGTTGTCCAATCTTGAATAAGCTACATCAAAAAGAAGAAGTCTGGTTGCTTTACTTCTAATTTGCAAAATAGACACAAAAACTTCTATATTCATGTTTGTGAAATGAAGATTATTCCTCTGTTTTAGAAGTATAAGTATTTAGTATGTTTTATTGTACCTGTTGAGGATGTAATCAGTACCTGTTGTTATGTCATAAACTCTTTGCTGTTTTACAGAGCAATTAGAAATAACATTATACATGATACCTTTCCAACAAAATTGTGTTGTATGATTTTTAAACATTCTATCAAATTTAAAGTAATTCCTTCTTATAGGAATATTTCCTGTAAATCAACACAAAATTTAAGTCAATTTAGAATGAAAGGACTAGTACAATATGGTGCATGGTTGATTTCTTTCACCTTTAAAAAAAATCTCATCTCATCCCAAATTGTCCAGGATTCTACATAGTGCCATGGTATGTAGTAGGTGTGTGGTCTCTCATGGCCTCACAGTACTTCTTTGCTACTGGTCACCAGGCAACATTCACTGCTATCAAGTTTGATTCAGCTTTCATCGGATTTAATGGAGACTTCCCTCGTTACCTATACTTCATCCCAGCTGCATTAGTTAGTCTCAATACCTTTGGCTCACAGGTAAGGTATTCTTGCTCCTATTTTATTAATAACAGGGGGGTGTTTCACAAAGATCCTAAGTTTAACTTATCTCTAAGTTTGACTTAAAACTTATGGATAGTGCTGTAAGTCAGACGCTATGTTCGTGTTCGGTTCGGTTCGGCAGAGTTCGGCAATTTTTCACCCGAACTTGGTTCGGTTTGGGGTTCGGTAATATAATAGCAAGCCACGGCGGTCGGCACTGGGCGGGCCGGCCGGCCTGCCGGGCTCGACCAGCACGGAGGACTTCTGCACACTGCTTCCGACCAGCACGAATTTCACATTATGAAACTGCTCTAAACGTAATTATTTGTGAAGAAAAATACTACTTACATTCGTATTTCCGTCTTGAATCGTGTTTTATTTTCAATTTTAAAAGAATCATGTTTTCTATTTGTCAATAAATGATATTTTTTAAAGATTTTCCGAGACGGTTGTTGTCTAATGTTAGAGTCATGAAAGCTGCCATCTTGAATAGAGACTCATGCAGGCTCGTCAATAACTGTTTTTTATAAGTTTTTATTTTTAATAGGAAAAATATAAAATCCCTATTTTTCCTTAATAAATAAATACCATACTATAATATATATTTATTTCATTATTTATATTGTAAAATTTGTCCGATATTGTTACAATTAAAATATTATTTTTTTATTGAATGGGTTTACTTTCAGCTGAACTTGTTTTGATAACGCACATGTATTCTTGTTTATGGCTTGCGATCGCGACGTAGCGTGGTCAGGATTTGGGATTTAAATGGCGCCAATGAAGTCGCGCCCACCACTGGATAGGCATAAATCACAAAGGCGAAAAATGGGAAAAAAGTAAATATAAAATGAGCAATCATGACATAAAAATTAGGTACAAAATGACAAGTTTATTAGCTTGCAAAAACGTTTTCATTTTTCTGCCGAACATCCGAACCAGGCCTTTGCGTTCGGTTCAGTTCGATTCGGTTCGGTTCGGAAGTGCCATGTTCGGCGAACTTCCGTTCGGTTCGGCGGTTCGGCTACAGCACTAGACTACTTATGGAAAGCCGTCAGCATCTTTGAAAATATTTTTTAAACATTATTTTAAAAGGCATAAAATGTTGGATTTAAATCATTCATATTTTCTATTATCAAGGAGATTGTATGCTCTTGATAATAGAAAATATGAATGATTTAAATTACTTGAATTTTTACTTTTGAATATATTTTATTCTAAGGCTACAAATGGCTCTTCATAATATTTAAGTCCAACTTAAAGATAAGTTCAACTTAGAATCCTTGTGAAACACCCCCAGTTTACACTTGATGAAAAAAAAAAGGTGAATAGTTAATTCCTTTTTTTTTCTGAAGTAGCTCTTCTTCACAGCCATGCTTCCTCTGATCCTAGTGTAGCCCTTCATCCACAGTCTTTGGTTAACAGGAAATGTGTGTTGCGCAATGATGAAACAGCAGGAAAAGCTTAAATTTCACAACAATTTAGACCTGGGCCCCATTTCACAAAACTTGTCATCAGTGAGAAATCCTTGCTTCTGATTAATTATCAGCAGATTTGTCACTGATTTTTGTCATTTTTCATTGAAAAAAGGCTTTCTGAAACGGGTCCCAGGTGTTCACTTCCTGTTCTAAAATGCCTTAAAGAATACCAATCACCTGAAGAAAAAGAATGTGTGTAGCTAGAATGTATCAAAGTCAACCTTTAAAAAATGTACCTGGAAATTTAAAGGTAGATGGTTAAGGAGTAATAAGAAAATAAAGGATAATATAAGGGCTTACACGGTTCCTTCCGTGTGAGCCCTAACAATAGCCCGACCAATATGTGGTGTACCTATGGTAAAATGTCTTAATCTACAATTTTCTTTTACATTCTCTATTTTTATCCTTTTTGCAGATTTTCTTTGCTGCTATGCTTCCCCTGATCCTGATCTGGCCCTTCACTCGTGGTCTCTGGGTGACAGGAAACAAGGTGATCCAGGAGGATGAGCAGCAGGGTGAACTCAACCTTCATACTAACTCAGATCAAGCTATGAGGGCGCTCTTTCAGATCTGTACCATGTTCCTAGTCTTCCAGGCTTGTGATGTAAGTATGAGCATTCTACCATCAAATACGTGTGAACTCATGGCCAATATTTTACTAAAATATAAACCTTGTGCTGGGCTTAAAGCCTGTCTGCACTACTTGTATCTACTTGCGCCCTCTATATAGCAAAAAAATGCCTAAGCGGTACTTGTTGGTCCCCATGATCCCCTTTTTATGCCTCCGCCACCGAAGGTGGTGCCGGAGGCATCATGTTTTCGGGTTGTCCGTCCGTACGTCCGTCCGTACATCCGTCCCGTTTGACCGTTATCACAATATCTCAAGAACCATTTAAGATTTAAACTTAAGACTCGGGAATAGTATTTATCACCATAGGAAGACGATCTGATTAGATTTTGGAGTACGTAGGTCAAAGGTCACAGGTCACAGAGGTCAACTTATGAAATTCCTTGTATTGAGTTTGTTAGCGCGATATCTCAAGAACCATTTGAGATTTAAACTTCAAACTTAAGGATAGTATGTATCACCATAGGAAGACGATCTGATTAGATTTTGGAGCACGTATGTCAAAGGTTACAGGTCACAGAGGTCAACTTATGAAATTCCATACATTGAGATTGTTATCATGATATCTCAAGAACCACTGGAGATTTAAACTTCAAACTTAGTGGTAGTGTGTATCACTATAGGAAAACAATCTGATTACATTTTGGAGCACGTAGGTCAAAGGTCAAGGGTCATAGAGGTCAACTTATGAAATTCCATACATTGAGATTGTTATCATGATATCTCAAGAACCATTGGAGATGTAAAAACTTCAAACTTAAGGATAGTATGTATCACCATAGGAAGACGATCTGATTAGATTTTGAGCACGTAGGTCAAAGGTCAAGGGTCACAGAGGTCAACTTATGAAATTCCATACATTGAGATTGTTATCATAATATCTCAAGAACCACTGGAGATTTAAACTTCAAACTTAATGATAGTGTGTATCACCATAGGAAGACAATCTGATTAGATTTTGGAGCACGTAGGTCAAAGGTCAAGGGTCACAGAGGTCAACTTATGAAATTCCATACATTGAGATCGTTATCGCGATATCTCAAGAACCACTGGAGAATTTTCACTTCAAACTTAATGATAGTATGTATCACCATATCATAATATCTCAAGAACCACTGGAGATTTAAACTTCAAACTTAATGATAGTGTGTATCACCATAGGAAGACAATCTGATTAGATTTTGGAGCACGTAGGTCAAAGGTCAAGGGTCACAGAGGTCAACTTATGAAATTCCATACATTGAGATTGTTATCATGATATCTCAAGAACCACTGGAGATTTAAACTCCAAACTTGTTTAAATTGCTCTATGGCGGAGGCATCATTTTCGACTGCGCGCAGTCAAAATTCCATCTAGTTCTTAAGTAAATTGAGAGCTGATATGATGAGATAACCAACTGTCAGTGACCACGGCAGAGAGGACTAATCCATCCTGGCCAAACTAGTGCAGACAGGCTTTAAGCTTTTGTTTAAAATCAGGTTTAACAAAGGAAGTTGTCTGAGGTCTACATTTTCTTTTGCTAAATGTGATCTTAGCCCCAGGGTTGTGTGTAACTGAAGTAGGTGAATTGAGTCCCGAGTGTGCCCTATGCCCTCCTGGGCCTACATCCCAATGTTCCAATGAAAATCCAACCCTAACATCACTATGAATCAACACCAATGGAACATAAGATTACAAAGACACCCTATTTGACTACAATCATTCTCCTGATCAGTTTCATATGTCATAGAACCAACCAGTGACACATGGTTAGTTTTTGGATTTGGACAGATGGTGTAAATCTTGATTGTAGCATGTCTTTATGCTGTCTCTGATTACAAGTTGTGTCTAACTATGTTACATTGACAGATAATGATAATGGATACCTTAACCACACTAAGTTATCATAAATAGATAGATATTTAGGTTAGGTAGATACAACCACTTTTCACCAACAACAACAAAAAAGGGGAAAAAGGAATGCTAAGAGGGACCACAGAAAGTACAAAAAAATTGAAATTGGGGAAATTTTTGGCAAGGCAATCCAAGCATGTGGGCGAACAGATATACAAAATATATATTTGACAACATACCGGTAAACAACTAAATGTTCATGTTTGCAGATTAAGGTGATAGGTAAGAACAGTGCCACAAATTTTTTTCTATGTGTATTAGAGATATGAGAAAGAACTACCACAACAGTTATCTCGGGGATCATTACCTCTGACCCAGGCATTACTCTTCTAGGATAATCACCATTTACACAATTACTCAACTAGAAGGGTTTTCACTAATGCACTGTATGGTAGTGTTGAATAGTAGAACAATGGAATGTCAACAAGATCAGGTCACTTCCTGTCGACATACAAGCAGCTGTGTTTTGACAGTCCATGGTTTTCTGAATGGAGTGACGACTACTCTGGTGTTCTACAGAGACCAAACAAATGTCATCTGTTTGGAGCCACAAGGTTGCTAACACAAGGTTGCTAACACAAGGTTGCTAACACTGTGTTAGAGTATAGAGTACCGAAGTGCTAATGTCATATTCCCTAATTCCATCATTATAATGAAGCATACTGATATTAATACTTTTCTGTACAATACTTATACTTTTTCCATCAACAATGTACATTTTATTCCTTCTCTCTCTCTCTCTCTCTCTCTCTCTCTCTCTCTCTCTCTCTCTCTCTCTCGTTGATGGACCCAGCTTGTAGGTACCATGGTGGCAGCAGCGGTCCTTCGTCGTCATCTGATGGCCTGGAATGTCTTTGCTCCAAGGTTTATCTTCCAGGGCGTGGCCTTTGGTGTCACCGTCCCAACCGTCCTCATCACATTCCTCTTCTTTGCCTACATGCAGAGATGTCTGGCAGGGTGGATTAACAGAATCCCATCTTAAAGGGACTTGGTAACATTGTTCAGATGAAATAAAATGTTGCTAACGTAGATCTATACCTCAATGCTAGATGTACAATTAAAGATAATCTGAAGTTTGAGTGAAAACAGACCAATATTAATGATAAAAATTGGGAAAAACTGATCTGATCAATTCCTTTATTCTCCTAACTATATTATTACAATTTAATTACATTTTAGGTGAATGTAAATTGTCACAAAGCAATGAACTGGCTCTATATACCATTCCAGACATTTAAGTGTTGAAAATTTTGTAATAGCCTGTCTGTCTTATTTTCATGGAAAAACGGTTGGGAAAATTAAAAAATGGTTGGGAAAATTTAATGTTAGAGGGTGTCGCACAGTGACGCCTTCAAAGGAAACCATACATATCTCTGTGGTTTGATAATTTTGTCAGGATTTTTTCATGTTAGAGGCCTAGAGGGTTAGTACAGTAGAAGGAATATAAAAAGTAACATTTATATAAAAATTACACAATTTTTTCATCAACCTTCAACAATGTTACCGAGTCACTTTAAGTATGCAATATAGAGATGAGCAGATGTAGTCAAACTTGGCCATCAACATGATATGTCACTTAATTTACTAGCAAACTTTATGATAGGATATTCAAGAAATAGATTCAGACTCTGTTGACTCTGTTTACGGTAACAATAATAATGATAGTATGTCTTGTTTACCCAGGGTAGCCTCAGCAGTATTAATACTGTTCTCCCTGGGGGCACTGCATTCATATTTTAGCCTGTCTCAACTGTTAAATGAAGAGAAAAGACGTACCGGTGTTATTTCTTGATGAAAGTAACAGTAGAATGCTGTTCTCCACAAAGTGAGGTCAAGCTCATGCAATAGCTAGACTCTTTGATTATGTTAGAGGGGTAACCATCATCCTTTTCAGTGCAGGGACTGCCAGGTGTGCTAAATACAGGCCTGAATGTAGTATCTTTCCTTTAATACTTTGTGAGCCTGCCCACAATATTATGACCCTCGTTGACTATTTATATCATTTGTAAAATTGATTATGTAATATCATCTGGAGGGAGTAAGTACCTTTAAAAAATCTTTGTTTTGCTTCAGGAAAAAAACCCTGCTATGTGTAGTTCGAAATCTTGGGGCAGCCGCAGCATTTCTTTTTGAAGGTATGAAAAGGTGAAGGTCGTCAAAGAGCAAATGGTAAAATCAGGTCTTTAAATATGATGGTTCGAGGCTTTCACTTGTTTATTTCATTATCATATTTTCTTCAATTATGCAACATAAAGGGGACTTTCTATCTATATTACACAAACTTAAATTGTGCATTCAGACTGTATTTGTATATCACAGTTTGAAAGAACAAATTTGGTAAAATCATGTCCAAAGCCAAAACAGCCTTTATACATGCTCTGCCATAGAGCAAATTATCAGCAATAAATGTCTGGTAGCTTGCCTGTCTTTTCAGGTTCTTACTTTCAAAATGTTGTCTGAAAATTGAAATAGAAGTAGCTACAACTAAAAGGTGCCGTTTATAAACAGATTACAGGCTTGATTTTATACGGGTTTTCCCATGCTGACTGTCTTTCCTGAAATGTCAACCAAAATTGTTTTGGTACTATTTTACATTGATTTTATGAAAGTCACTTTATTTGATTGAAGTTTGGTTATAAATCATACTTAAAAGTTCAGACAAATTATTATCATTCTGTTAAAAGAGTATTTCAACTTTTGTTATTATAATTTACCATGCTATCTCTTTCTTGTTTGCTTATGAAATTGAAAACACCATATCAAACTTGCCATTTGACAAATCTTATCTTTGGGAAATATTTTACCTGTTGGGTTGTTACATCAGTCCTATTACCTAATGTTTATTTGCTAGAATTATGTATGCTGTATAAATTGAATAGATAGTCTGTAATTATCAACAAAGGTGACGAAACAAAGGGAAATTTGTATGTAAATATCTCTGTACATTAAAAAATGTGAAGTTACTTATGACACTGAAATGTTATATGACAATTATATGGGTGTGTGATAGAGAGGTTTTTCAAATATGTGCATGATTTGTTAATTCTTAAATTTTTTGAAATGATGAAGGGATATAATGATATAAGAATTTTACATTGTTTGATGAACCACTGACATAATACTTTTTAAAAATGTATACAAATAGTCAAATACTTTGGAGCAGACATAAAGTAAGACAACAGTTTACATTTGACGCTTGTATCCCATTTGTTTACGAGCATTTTGATTTTTTGCATTACAACTTAATGTGAGTGAGAAAACAGGCGAGGGGAAGGGGGAGAGAGAGATAGAAAGAAAGGGAAGGGAGAAAAGGAGGAGAGAGACAGATGTCTCTATCTCCCTCTCTCTCCCTGGTAAATGCTACCTCACTAACATGGGAGTCTTTTATTAGATTTAATACACTAATAGGGCGTTGCAAGAAAGTTGCAAGAAATTGCAAACCCCCCCCCCCCCCAGTCAGTGTCTTGCGATTAATGGCAAATTTGCAATTGATTGCATCTCAACTTTCTTGCAACGCCCCATTAGTAAGAGAGGGGGGAAGGGGGAGTATAAAAGCTAGATCTAGTTAACTTAATTTAATTGTTAAAACTTTAATCCTAACAAAGTGCTAGGAAATTTAGAAGACTAGTGGGATGTTACAAAAAAGTTGAGTTGCAATTGATTGCAAATATCAGTTGCAAATTTTGCAACATGCAATCAATCGCAACTTTCTTGCAACGCCCCGTTAAAACATGGCACCAAATAAACTTCCAATATTTCAATTTAATAACAAACAGACCTATCCCCTATCCACTCTCCCAAACATTGATTCCCCACAAAATACCACATATCAATAACTAAAAAGTCATAAATATTCTCTTAATTTCTTGTACTTAAAGGCACACTGTCCTACTTGTAGCTACTTGCTCCATCTATATAGAAAACTTCCCCAATCGGTGCATGTTGGTCCCCAATGATCCTCTTTTTCTTATGTTAAATGAGAGCAGAGTTAATGAGATAGCCACCTGTCACAGTGACCGTGCTGGCTCGCTGGGTGGTCTAATCCCTTCTAGCTGAAGTAGTAAAGCCCTGGTAAAGCCTGCCTTTAAATTCCTTCTTAAGACTTAGAAATATATTTGTATTTCAAGCCTTTAAGATTAACATTTAACTGAATATACAATTTTAAAAAATTGACGTCATTTCACGTCATGCACATGCAGCCAAAAGTAATTTGTATTGGAGTTAAAATTTTAATCCATTAGACTAGAATGTTAAGTATTTTTGATAGTCTTGTTTTGTTTTAAATCCATAAGTTTTTTCCCCAGTTTGAAACTCTTTGACTTAAAAAAAAATTGGATTAAAAAAGAGTGCTATAAATTAAGAGATTAAGTTATGAGATGTTGAAAAACAAACAACTACATGTATGATCCTAAGGAGTAACCGACCATTCCTCTGTTACCAATATGATAATTACCCATCGGGATGACAAAGTCCTGTTTTTTCGAAAAATAGGAAGGATGAGGCCCTTTTTTTTTTTTCTTTCTTTCAAAATGGCCACTTGGTACATTTTCCATGACAGTCGGGCTATTTTTCAAGTTTGCCGCCGACATTAAAAAAAAAACAAATTTTGAAATCAGAAATAGATCCATTTTAACAGTGTTTTTCATGATTTAAAAAAAAAAAAAAAAAAAAATATGAGGCGGCCCCCAAAAAGGAAGCGGGCGAGGACGCTAAACATGTATATTTTTTTTTACATGGCCTAATTCATCCTAAGCTATTTTTGATTATCTTTCGGATGATTTGATAAGAGGATGATAATTTTCCTAATGGATATTATCCTTGGGGAAATCGATCAAGAGCTGGCGGGCCTTATTCAAGATGAGTAATTGATAACAGCGGATCGCAAGTTTATAAAATATTTGACAAGGGGGGGGGGGGATGTCATGAAATTCAACAAATTTTAACTGCCTTATTTTTACAAGCTAAAGAAAACGAAAATAATTCCTCTAATTTTGCCCCTGGCAGCAGTGTCAGGCGCGTACGCAGGGGGGTGTTTGGGAGTTTAACCCCCCCCCCCCTTTGTTTGTTTGTTTTTTGGTTTTTTTAAATGATAAAAAAAAAAAAAAAAAAAAAAAAAAAAAATTATTCCCATGGCTGACCTAAAAAAAGGCGACCTTACCCCCCCCCCCCCCCCCCCCCCCAAACGGAGTAAAATGTCAAATTTTCAAATTTCGAGACCAAAAAAAAAAAAAAAAAAAAAAAAAAAATATTCCCATGGCTGACCTGAAAAAGGCGACCTTACCCCCCCCCCCCCCCCCCCCCCAAACGGAGCAAAATGTCAAATTTTCAAATTTCGAGACCAAAAAAAAAAAAAAAAAAAAAAAAAGTGTCCTCTTACCCCCCTTCTTCTTCTTCTTCTTATATTTTCTTATCTTCTTCTTCTTCTTCTTCTTCTTCTTCTTCTTCTTCTTCTTCTTCTTCTTCTTCCTCTTCTTCTTCTTCTTCTTCTTCTTCTTCTTCTTCTTCTTCTTCTTCTTCTTCTTCTTCTTCTTCTTCTTCTTCTTCTTCTTCTTCTTCTTCTTCTTTTAATTCTAAACACTGCCCCTATTTAATTCCCCTACCTTCCCCTAATTTGCCGGACCTCATCAAACGTATGAGAACACACAAAATCAAAGAAAATGATAAACCGAGAAACCGGAGCGCAAGTTCGGAGCTCTCTTCCACCTGTCGGTGAACTCGCACCACTGAACCACATACGGTCGCCTAGCAACTCTACGCCTCTCTCTCCTTTACTGGACCTTGCCAATCTACGGCATCCAATGATTATTTTTTGATTTATTTTATAAAGCACTTTTAAGACAATCAAAAGTAATTATAATATATTTCTGTGGTATATTTATATAATACTTGATGACATTTTTAATAAAAGCATGACTCTGCTATTTAAACAAATACGTGCCTAGGCTGTTACTAAAGATAATTGATTGCAGTATGCACTGTACTGCATGCATGCAGCAATGCAATGGATCTGCTTGCGCTAGCTCGCTCGATATATTTAGCTTGTTGATTATTTGCACGTATTGTTCAATGGAGGCCGATGCGATGGCGGCTCGGAGACGACGGGGGAGCACTGGAATCACTCATCCTTGAAGCTTCAACATTGATTAGGTGAGTAGTCATTGGTGCAAATACATCTTGGTTACGATACCTTTGTCTGTCTCAGATCAATTGATTTTGTTTGTTGAATTTAGTTTAATATCGAATGAAATACAAAGGAGTGTAACGAGTTACGGTACCGGGGGAGTTATTCCATTCAAACGTGTATTGAAATTTGAATGCATGACTGTGTAGTGTAGTGCCAGTGCTGTCACATAACTTGGTCATAGACCTGGCCTGGCCTTATAGCTTAGGATATGTGGATAAGAACCTAGATCCGATTATTGGAGTTGGATTTTGATACTTTGCATAAATTGCTGAAGTTGAATTAACTTGAAAGATGATGAACCATGGTCCTGGATCAAATTACCGGTAGATCTTTGCAGATCTGTTGTTGGCGTTGTGTGTTGTACGATTGTTCACAAATTGATTGCAGAGCCTGGCGCTGAAAACACCAGTTGTAGTTTTGTGTTTTCTTTTATGTGAGGGTAGACTGATACAGCCGGACATTGTCAAACCATGACATGACTAGTATCATAAGACAAGGAAATCTTAAAGATGAAATAGACTGACCGAGGCCTGGACAATTTAATTTGATTGAAGAATATCTTGGTTTCTAATTTATTGTTTTTTCATGCACGGTGATGGTTATTGTCCTTGACATCGTATCTTTGTTTCACTAGTCTTGTAATCAAAACATCAAGATGTTCTCGTAAGTACTGTTCACTAGATCTGTATCACTTCTTATGAATCCTTGTTTTTTTATGGGTTTTTACTTTTTAACCATGCACGTTGTTTCATTTTTATTTCTGTTGTGTTTTGGCTTTTGCTTTCAGTCTTATTTTGAGTTTCCAGTTTTGACATTTCACGAAAAGTACATGGTGACAGAAGATCAGCTTATTCTGTCTTGATATCAATTGGTTGGTCAATAAATGCACAATTCCAATAGAACAAATGCATATTAAAGAGAATAAGTGTTGATCTCATCATAGAGAGAGAAAAAATAAAAAGGAAGAGCAGAGACAACTTTCAATTGAAATGTAAATTTCAAATGTTCAAGTATCAAAATAAATGTTATTTTGTTAATTTGGATTTTTCAGTACATTTGCTGAAAGTCCTGATAATGGAATCTGGGTTATCATAATGAAGTTATAGAGGATTTCAAATCATATCTGCGTCTGTTATTATTTGTTACCTTCAAGTAGATCTACTGTTTCTTATGTGGGTAATTTAATGGAAATGTGGTACTTTCCTAGTCACATGACCATTCATTGACACTCATGAATGGGAAGTCCCCTCTAATATTAATAATAATAATAATAATAATAATAAAAGCGGTGCTTAAAAAGCGCTTACCACCAAAGTCTCTAAGCGAAAATTTGAATAAATGTAGAAATAAGAGAGGAACTGGTTGATGACCTTTTTTTTTTAAAATGACATTGATATTTTGAAGTTTCAAAATTTCTCCCTTAATTGTTAATGGTAGGAATTGTTTTTCTAGCACCTTTCCACATGTCTTGTGTGTAAACTGAGAAGTGTTTAAAAACATTGAAATACTTGAGTTTTATTTTCATAGTGTAGTTATTTTGGTATGAGGATACATGTACATGTAATACACAAAATATTCTTTTTGACCAAAAATAGACATTGATAATCCTTTAGCAAACATTTGAAAAATAGACCACAAAGGAAATCTTAAGCAGTCTTCAAAAATTAAGAATCAAAGCTTTTATATTATTTATGGATTTGTTTCAAAGTTCACTGACAACTTTTTCTTATTTTACACTGTTATTGGAATCAAGTTGATGTAGGGTAGACTTCCCTTTGTGAGGAAATCATTGTGTGTGACAAGCTTCTTCTTCTTTTTTCTTTCCACAATTACTTTATGCATGCCAGGGTTGATTTTTTAAATGATTTGCCTGTACTTCCTGTTATACAAGTGCTCTATTTCAACATAGAGCAAAAATTCAGACTCCTTTTATATTACATGTACATGTAGTTGAAGGTTTTTTGAAGAACATCAGGAATCAAGGAAATTAGACTTTGTATCACTGCCATACAAGATCGGCCAATTTAGTTATAATGGTAATTTGATTTTAAATTCATGATAAAAAAGGGTATTCCTAATTAAATGAATATAATTTCAATTCAAATCATATTTCCAAATTCCAATATCAATTAAAACATTGTAAAAAACAGTCAATGGGCAATAAATACATTACAAAACTATGATATTTCAATCACACGATCATTAAGAAGAGTACCCCCCCCCCCCCCCCCCACTGAGCAAATTTGCGACTGGCGCGATTTTCAAATTGGGACCCCCCCCAAAAAAAAAAAAAAAAAAAAAAAAATGTCGTCTTACCTCCCCCCCACCGCTTATTCAGCGGCTGGCTAAGTCGTTGCTATTTTTGGGGGACCATAAAAAGAAATATATATGTCCTCTTATCCCACGTGTGCCCCCTTGTGTGCCCCCCTGGTAAGAAATTCCTGGATCCGCCCCTGACAACTAGTATAATACACAATTCAGTATCAACAGACTACATAAATAACATAGTGGATAATTGGAAAATGGTGAACACAATGAAAGCCAGGTTTGTGGCTTGTTCAGGGTGTGTTCACCTAGTTTGTGTACCGGTATTTGTTTGTTTTTACATTATTATTATAAAATTTATGCCTGCTCAGATCCACAAGGCAAGAGACCGAGAAGGACGAGTTTGCCAAAGAGCGGGCCATCATGAATGACCTCGACGACAACGGATGGAGTCACATCCATCATGCTGCTTACCATGGCTACATCAAGTCCATCGAGAAGTTTGTGGGAGCCAGCGAAGACCAGCTGGAGTTCCCTACCAACGATGATAAGCTGATGACCCCGATCCTCCTGGCTGTTGATAGCGGCAAGCTGGACACTGTGGAGTGTCTTGTGAAGCTCGGTTCTGATCTGCGTTATCAAAACACCCAAAACCAGGGTCCTGTCGAGATCGCCGCTTTGAAGCAGTACATCGATATCCTGGAGTTCTTCATCAAGCATGACCACAAGGAGCTGCCGGTATGGCCGAAGCTGATGAAGTTCATGGGTTCAGATATGGATGAGGAGGCAGAAGCAGCTGGGAAGATGCTCGTCTTGTTGACAAAGCCTTTAGAAGATGTATTGAATCCATACTGGGAACCTATCGTGCAGAATGGTGGGGTTCCGGTCATGATGAAGGTGATCAAGTCCATGGTTTGTGACAAAGCAAAGCTGTATGCCTTCACCATCCTCTTGAACATCATCGAAGCAAAGGTTGTGAAGGAACAGATAGTGAAAGCAGCAGGCATCCCGACAGCATTGAAGATGATAACTAATCCTGACAGAGAGATTGTCTATGCCTCTTCATGCATCTTGTGTCATTTATCCATGGTTAAAGAGTACATTGACAGTATGGTGCAGAATGGTGCAATTCCAATCTTGGTCAAACTGTGGCAATCCAGCAATGATACAGACATCCTTGTGCAAGTAACAGAGACTATCTCCCAGATTGCAAGCGCTAATGCCGAGTATCAAAAAACAATAGGGAACTCATCGGGTGCACTGACAGCTGTTGTTGGACTGTTTGAAAACCGCTCACCAAATTCAAAGTCACTCTTGCTGGCACTCACGAGGGCTGTAAGCAATATTGTACAGAAGGATGAGGAAAATCAGAACATGTTTGTTGACGAGGGGGGATCATCTGCTCTGATATCCCTGGCTAATGTGAAGTACCATGAACTCCAGCTGAGTGCTATCAGTGCCATACACATGTTAGCGCAGGACAATCCCCACACTCAGAAGGTCATCTTAGAAGAAGGTGGTGTCATCCCTCTCATGCAGCTCCTCAAGAGAAGCGGTTCACCCAACGTCCATGTCTGCACAGCCAGTGCTCTCTGGGCACTTGCGGGAGAAGACATCGACGAGAGGCGCTCCATGGCCAGCATGATAGGTGTCAATCTTCTCATAGACTTCTTAAATGCTCAAGCTGAAAATGATATTCTGCATTACATTGGAGCTGAAGGATTAGCTGTCCTTGCCCAAGGAGCTCTCAACAAACAGGACACTATCGCTAATGCTAATGGAGTTCAACCATTGGTCAGGCTGTTGCGTTCACCAAAGGAGCACATTGTCCTCAGCACGATAAGGGCCTTGAGACATCTTTGCATAGGAATTGGTTTCATACCACATGTGAAGAACCAGGCAACCATTCTTGGGGCTAGAGGGATACGGTATCTGGTTGCCCTCATGGTACATTCTAGGAATGAGTTGGTCAGAGTGGAGTCTGCATTGAGTCTTGGTTACTGCAGCATCGGTGAGTAACAGAAAAAGACAAATTAATTAACTTGTTGGTCAAAATCATTAACTTTATATCAGGGATCCTTTCAGTAGAGAAAAGGACAGAAGTATAGATAAGGGTTAACTTTAATTCAAACAAGATTTACAGATTAGATTTTCTATATTACAACACCTATAAATTCAAACCAGTTCTTGACCAGTTGTAGATTGTAGACTGCCATTTTCACATAGCATGCACTTCCACTGGGCTTAGTCCAGAGCCTGTGGCTCAGTCTGTGATTTTGGATACCTAAAGCGAATTTTGTGTGTGATTGTATCCTCATAAATGAATGCAGCAACCTTCTGATAGATTCTGAAACACTGTGATGCATGGAATTAATTTCTGTTTTTTTCTTCCACTTTATTATCATTATCCTCTCAATACAGGCAATGCTGAGGTGATGACTGATATCAGTGAGAATGTAGACTTTGATTACATTCATATCCTACGTAGACTTCACTCCAGTGATAACCTTGTTCGATTGCTTGCTGGGGGAGCACTGGCTGCCTTCGCATATAACAATGTCACACAACAGAAAGAGATTGCTGAGTCAGGAGGCATCCGTTATCATTCCTTCGTCCCGTTCCTGGAGTCCAATGACGAGTTCTTCCGCTGTAACGCCGCCTTTCAGGTTTGTCATTAATCAATTAATGTTTCAATTAATGAAGCGCATTTAAATTGTTAGTCTAATTCGGCTACTTACATTATGAATTTGTAACTCTACGGACATGGTAGAACCATCAGGCAGGTGAAATAGTTTTCCATGAAGAAAGTACTCTTTCAAGAAGATAAAGGACTTGCGGCTTACCCATGGAGCGGAAAATAGGGTACCCCCTTCACAACTTTTGGATGTTAGCTTCAGAGTCATCCCATGTGGAGTCATTTGAATCATGTTCTAAATATCATTTTTGAACCACATGCTCTTCTTTAAATCTCATTTGATATAAAAGACAGATAGTAAACTTTATTGGTATAAATTATTTGTTTGGATGATCCAACATGCTGTAACTATGTATGCCGTGGGCTTGGCTTCTTCAAAGTTAAAGCGGCAGGGCTGCGGTTGCTATCAGGTTAAATTTTGGGTTAGGTATAGTGTCTGTTCCAGCGTTGTAGTCCGGAAATCGAACTTTCTAAAATTCAGAAATGATTGACTCAGCATATGTTTGAACAATATCTCCCTACACTTTTTCTTGTCTTGAACATCCTCCTCATTTAGAACAACCTTACTGCTTACTTTCTATATTCTTCTTATATATTATTATATTCGTATTATATTCTTCTATATCCTTATATAGATAATTAATCTCATTTGCTCCTCCTGATAGGTTGTGGTCTTGGCACGCATCATCCCTGATGAGGACCAGGCTACAACGTCAGCTATCGGTATCAAGCTACTGGTAGACCTCATTCAACAGTCCAAGAATCCTCTCATCCTAGCTCTCACAGCAGAATGCATAGCAAGGCTTGCTCACACTAGAGCTGGTATGAACACCTCTGTGTAGATTTGATAATACGTGGAGGTGTCGCGGTACAGTGGTTCATTCACTTGACTCGCAATTAAAAGGTTTAGGGTTCATATCCCAGCTCGGCAGTAACATCGTTTGGCAAGACGTTTATCCACATTTGCCACTCTCCACCCTGGGGTTAATGGGTACCTGGCAATTGCTGGGGTAATAATAATTGCAGACACCATAATGGCTAGCATATTGACAAACCACTTTTATACAATTGCACATTAAACTATAGGATGTGATGTGATTTTAGGATACTAAAAACTTTCAAAGACTCCAATTTTAGTTATCTTAGACATACTATTCAACCTAAGCAGGAAAGTTTTTATGCAACAAGCATATAGCATAGTCTTCATCTGGTTCCTGATTTGAATCAACAAGAGCTTTAAAGGTACTATGTCCCATTTGAAAGACAGTACTAATTTAGAACTTTCCTCAAATTAACTAGTAAAGCAATTACAGCATATCACCTGTAGATATATCTCAGTAGGAACTAGATCTACAAAACATACTATATTTGTATCCTGTACTTTTATTTGTTGTCCTGTTAATAATTTGAAATGTATTTTCTTTGTAGGTGTTCCTGCTGCGGTTGTATCAATCCAGTCTGTAGACGTCTTGTGTCAGTTGATGCTGGCTGAGAATGAGCAGGTTCGAGGGTCTGCTGCCATAGCGCTGGGGTATCTCAGCTTTAATCACAAAGCAGAAAGAGAGATGCTCAACAGGTTAGTTTGATCTTACTCATGTTTCTCTTCTCCGCCCCATACATCTTTTCCCTATTTCTCTTTCTTTCTTTTCCTCTTTACTTCTCATCTTCCCCCTTTTCCTTGACTCTTTCTCTCCTACTTTTACCATTCCTCTCCTTCTGTTCCTCCACCTGGGCCCCGTTGCATAAAACTTACCATTGATGGTAACTTTGCCATCAATGGCAACTACCATGGTAACAGGGCTCAACAGCCAATCAAAACCAAGATTTCCATGGTAGTTGCCATTGATGGCAAAGTTATCATCAATGGTAAGTTTTGTGCAACTGGCCCTGTTCTTTGGTTTCTCTCTTTTCTTCCTCCTGCTCCTGCTCCTCTCCTTCCTCTATCCCTCTCTCCTCAAGCTCCCCACCCACATTCCTCTTTTCAGTCTGCCCTCTTCTTTATCCTCCTCCTCTTCTTCCTTCTCCTCCTCCTCTTCCTTCTCCTCCTCCTCTTCCTTCTCCTCCTCCTCTTCCTTCTCCTTCCTTTCTTCTCCTTCCTTCCTCTATCCTTCTCTCCATTTCTCTTTACTAACCTTGCTCCTCTGATACCACATTTACTTATTATTGATGTATCTTCCTTTTATAATCATAAACGGTATCACAAGAACATTATTTTTGTTTCCAAAAGAAAATACAGCCTAATAAGGATCGCTATTGTCGTACAGGTATGCGTGAGAGTAGATCACACACAGCAGGGATACTCCTCAAGTAGTGGACTTGATGACATCTTGTGTTCTTGTTTCTATGAAATAGTTTAGGACTGTAGAAGAAATGATAAGAAATAAATAGAAATCTATAAATGATTGTTTTCATTGGTAATTTCAAAATCGCAGTTTAATTTAAATGTGCTAGTTCATCATAAAAAAGCAGAAGAGATGATAGAATAAGCCAGTATACGGTTGCAGTCTGAGCATGAGCAGATAAAGGTCATTGCAGAACAAATTGTGAAATACACGGAGACAAAATACTGGATACCTGCTCATGAAAGTTATGTAATCATTAATCATTTATGCGCAAGCATGATACACAGGTGGAAGTATTCTTTGAAAAGGGGAAACAAGGGCTATTTATGTAGCAGCTTGATCGCTGTAGGAGGGATCATTTCAAAATGTACAAAGTGGGACCTCTTCATGTTTTGAAGATCTGTGGATATTCAGGGTCATTTGGGACATGTGCTAACCGTGAACTGGTCTATTTCCCTATAGATACCCATCCCTTTATCATCCTTTCCGTCTCTATCTCCGTCTCTATCTCTGTCTCACACCAGGTGTAGACAAGATCCCTACCTCTTCAAGGTGTTGAAGTACTACACTCAGAACTACAGACTCTCTCAAGCATTCCTGGAGGCTTGGAAGCATTATCAACACATCGGCCTTCCTCCAATAGAGTAAGTAGCATACTAAGCTGTCACAGATATTTTTTTCTTTACCTGACTTCTAAGAAAGCTAGTACAGTCGAACCTGTCTAAAGCGACCGCCCAAGGAAAACACAAAAAGTGGTCTTTGTAGACAGGTGGTCTGTGTAGACAGGTTAGTACATGTTTCAATTAGAAACCATGTTCAAGGGAAACAAAAAATGTGGTCTTTGTAGACAGGTGGTCACTAAAGCAGGTTTGACTGTATTTGCTTGTAAATTAGCAACCAGTTGAGTTGAATCAAGGTAAGAATTCTGGAGAGATAAGAATTCTGGAGAGACTTTGCATCTTGAATGGGTGATTTGGAACAAAATGATTTATTTTTTTAAGGTTGAGAATTATTCTGTATTTTCAAGATTTTTTATTGGTGATCTGTTGCCAGGGATTTGCATTAATGGTATAGGTAAGTATGTCATAGATCAGAAGTTTGTATTTATAGAGGTATTTTCCTTTACATTCGCAACACTTTTTGATTGACTTCTACTTATACCCTATAATTCATTTCTGCTATTCACAGCACTGCACAGAAGCCATGTCTGGTCGGTAAGAAGAATATGCCATTCCTGAGCAATATCAAGAATCCAAATGGTAAGTTTTACACTCATCTTATATCAAGAGATCTCAAATATATCCTTAAACGGATAACTAAATATTACATATATGATAACAGCTTGGGCTTTTAAACTCTAGTAAAGGCACTTTCATGAAATTAATTGATGGTAATCTGTTCCTACATTGTTTCTACAAAGTAGATTTTGTATTTGCATTGGCATTTGTATTAAGTGATCTATCTCTAAAAAATGTACACATTTTAAAAACATTTTTCAGATATTTTCTCAAAATTTGAGGGAGAAATATAACAAATTTGGAGTAATTATTAGTATTATGTTAAAAAATATAGTGCTCAGGGGCTTCATCATAAATATAAACTCAAATTGCAGTTGTATTTGAAGTTAAATGGCTTTTGTGCTGAGTGAAAATTGAAAGGATGTATGCAATTGTATTCCGTAGTTACATTTATTCATGTATTGAATGCAAAGGAGCTTTTATGTCTGTATTTAACCATGTTTGCCCCCAATCCTTTAATTTAATGAAATATATATATATCATGTGCTCTCCCAACTCTCAATATTGCATGTGCAGCTCTAGATGGGTAAGTTACTCCCTCAATAATAATTTCACATACGTGTATGATATCACCTCACTAATCACACCATGAGAGCTTACTTCATTCCATCGGGGCTTCGTGTCTTCAGGTTACACTGGCTTATGTGAATAATCAAGCCATAATTTCTGAAGGGTCGAGTGTAATGTTTGTGAAATACACCTGTCTTATCGCCAAAGTGTTAGGTCCAGTTTTACCGACACGTTCCGAGAAACCTATTGCAAATCTATGAAAGAAAATCACATCTTGACCCGCCACTTTAATACGAGATATAATTTTTCACAAAATATGTATAGTCTAACGACGTGGAGTACCTGACCTTTTGTGAATATGGGTTTAATGTTTTCACGTAAAGTTTGTGTGACCCGACCCGACACGACGATCTGATTGAATGAAGTAAGGTCACTATGAGTGTTTGCTATTGTTTTATATTCGTAGTGTGTATTTATTCATTCCACTTTAACTCTTTGGCTCATATTCATGAAAGCATACTAAATTCTGTTGAGGCTTAAACCCTGTAGAAGTGGGTTGACTTGGTCTGCTGATGAATGGGGGCAGTAAACTGTATACCTCTTTATTACCATAATGCTTTAACTATTTGTTGATCTATTTTTTGTGGGTTGGGGGCTACATATTCTGCAATCATGAACAATATCCAGTTCAGGTACTAACAGATTGCTGTTTGCAGCTGGTCACACCAGCAGTCCCTCCTTGTAAGGAGAGTCCCAAATAGGCCAAATTCGCTGCTGCTCAGATGATGTTATGTAATTATCACTAATCTATTAAAAAATATATTGTAACTAAACATTTCTAACACATGTCACAGATGAAATATGTGAAGAAACAAGTCATGTCAATGTGAAATAAAGTTTTCATTTTCATTTCATGACTTGATTAATTTCATTTAATTAATGACTCTTGGCATCTCATATATCAGTTTACTAGGTTAAGCCAGGTTTCACTTAGTCGGCCTTTATGAATATGAGCCTTCGTGAATACACCAAGTATTGAATTAACTTCAATGTTTAAGCATTTGTGAACTTAACATATGTTTGATGTATATTGTATGCAGTACAATAGTAAGCTCTTTGTCAGGTTGTATTAAAGCTTGTCTGTACTAGTTTGGGCAGGGGGATTAGACCTCCCTGCAAGGTCACCGACAGGTAGTTATCTCTTCAAATCAGCTCTTAATTAACATATAAGAAAGAGGGGGTCATGGGGGACCAACAGGCACCGATTAGGCATTGTTTGCTATATAGAGGGCACAAGTAGCTATAAGTAATACAGTGGGGCTTTAAGGCAGTATAAAAATGAAAGTATTGCCTCTACACCCCGAATACCCGAAAACCAGAACCTTTGTAGTGCCTAAAACTTCCAGAAACTTCTGCAGTACCGGTAGGCCTGATTACTAATGTGTTCAAGTTATGCAAGTTTCTCTCCAGATTCCATGGTTACTATTATATTCGCCTGCTGTACACAATTGCATTTCTTTAGATGAAAACAGCTTTGCGTACATTAAATGTTGCTATGTCTGGCAAGCTTTTGAGTTGTCAGGAGAAAATTTTCTTCAAGAAATATGCATAAAATTAGTAAACAGGTCTAGTCATTGAGATTTGTTAGCTTCATGTCATGAAACATGGAATAATCATAACATAAAATGTTAGCATTGTGCAAAATGTTCTGGTTGTACAGCGCATGGATTTTACTTACAGAGCTTCAGTTGTTAATGTTTTATGTCAGCTTTGTGACTGTAAGTGTGCTGAGATTGCATTTTGCTTTGTAGATGTGTTTAAAAAGAAGGCTGTTACTGGTTATTTTGCTGACTATTCATTAGATTCTAGAGCTCTACAGTTCAACAATCATGTCAAATATTCACTTCAATTCCCTTCCACAACTGAAACTTGGGATAATACTTCTATTCCAAAATTTGATCTACTCAAATTTGGCGTTGTCAAAGAGATGGCAGTTCTACTGTATTTGTTTCTGTTTGAAAATAGAAATGAGTGCTGCTTTTGAACAGCTTATTGTATTTTGAGTTGTGCAGTGTGTGCTGTATTATTCAAAGAGTGCTTATGCCATATCCAGATTAGTTTCTTGAGATTAACATAGATACAATGATATAGTCTACTTACTGTTGAGTAGAGAAGAGAGACAGAGACAGAGACAGGGAGAGAGAGAGAGGGGAGGGGGAAGGGGGCGCAATTCAAACCTTTCCCTGGAATGATGCGAGAGAGAGAGAGAGAGAGAGACAGACAGACAGACAGACAGACAGACAGAAAGAGAGGAAGTGGGAAGGGGGCAATTCAAACCTACAAGATCAGTCATCATCATAAATTTTGACCAGGGGTAAATCAATTATTGCTGAGAATACTTGTCTCACTTATAAAGGATTTCAGCAATGCAATAATGTTAACACATATACGTAAATCTACATTTAATTCATATATTATTGATTGTGTTTTGGTGTTGAAGTGCAGATACATTTTTAGGTGTACATAAATGTTTGTAGATGTGTAGATTCATATTGTAGATAGATTTTATAGCATATTATATTTCATTTTAACTCAAATATATGCAATATCTTCAGAAAGATGTTAAGATCCTTCTAGAGTTTTGCGAACTGGAAGACATCATTCAGATTCCTTTATCTACTACTAATAAAACATATTACACATATTTCATTATTGTGTAGAACATATTCAATAGTGATAGGAAATACTCTATGATCAGTTAACTATTTACATATAACAAGACTTTTAACGATAGCTCATCAAACTGACCATGTTAACTAGTAGAATAAATGATACATTTTGCATTTAATCTTCCCCAGACCACTTTCAGCTTCTTAAAATACCTTTAAACAGTAACATAACTTCATGATCAATTGTAATTGGAAGTTCACCTATGACCTTTGAAACAGTATCCTCATTCAAAACATTAAAGGGATCCGGTAACTTTGTCTCAGATTCTGAAATAAAATTCTGGATTTAGCTCATGATGCAATGATATTTATAAACCTTTAGGTCAGTCAGGAACCCCATGACTTTTACAAGCCGATCGCCTGTCTGATTATCAAGATTTTTATGATTGGAATTACAAATTTTGAAAACCGTTCGCCTGACGGTTTTCATAACACTACAGTCTATTGGGGAAAACGAGTATGGTAAAACCGGTCACTCAAAGATTTTTACTTTTTTGAGGCATTTCTTGATCGTTTTGAAGCGGGATTTTTTTAGGGCTTCAATATTACAACATATCACATACACTGATAACACGTAGGGCCGTGTATCTCAGATTTAACATTGTTAAACGATCCCTTTAACCACTTGATTGGTTGAAGTTATCAAGACTTTTATTGCATAAGATCCTGCATTCCTTGTGAAATCAACCTTCCTACACAACCGCTACTGAAAATTATAGTCACAGAGACAACATTGTGACAGTATTTCAGCGCTGTTTTGACATTGAATTTTCTGAAATCTTATTTAACTCAACTGCTATGAAAGATGATATAATGGTTCAAGGTACGTAACAATGGGTCGTATGGCTGGAAGTCCTATCCTAGGAACCTTTAACGGACTTAGAATGCCTTGATAAAGAGCCACAATGATATCTTGAATCCATGACCTTGCAGTTGTAAGACCATGTTAGACCAACTGAGCTGTTGTCACACCACCGCATGGCATAGAGATAATTGTTACAACATCGTACAGTGGTCAAACAACATTTCTAACGCTGGATCATTTTTGATGATACAGTCAAACCTGTCTATAGCGACTGCCCTAGGGAAACACAAAAAGTGGTCTTTGTAGACAAGTTCCTTTAGTACATGTTTCAATGAGAAACCATTTTCAAGGGAAACAAAAAAATGTGGTCTTTGTAGACAGGTGGTCACTATAGAGAGGTTTGACTGTACATTCATGTCATCACATGATCTTGTATACCATTTCTCCTTGACAGCCCTTAGTCATCCAAACCATGTTTCTTGTCCTTCTCTTCGCAGGACGTCGGTTCACGATACTGAGCTCTGGGGAGCTGAGTGGGCTGAGTCACCATCCAAGTTCGCCCATGAACCCGTCGAATATCAACTATCCTGATGATCATGCTACCGTCTCGACTGACAATCCAACCCCAACCAACAGAGGGGGCAGTGTCACGTTCGCCAGTGGGATGGAGTCCCGTAACCAAGGTAGCAGCGTAAGTAATTACTCTCATAGAGTGCCCTCTACTGGTAGCTCGCATCACAAGCAGTGGAGTCACCCGTCAACGGCAAAGAGTCTTATCTCTGAGATCTCTGCAGGTGGAGTAGATTTATGACGTGACACATGATGATAGCCAACTCTTTGATGGGAATTCGATCACTCACTTGTACCAGATTATCTCATGTAATGTTTGTCGATAATATCAATCATGATCTTGTTTTTAAAGTTTAGTTGGAGGGGCTAGCTGTCATAAAATGAAGATTAAGATCTCTTTTTTAAATCACCTTACATTATAATTATCTCCAACCAGGTGTTAAATGGGTACCTGGTAGGATGCGACCGTCATTGTCGGTCAAACAGTTTATGAGCGTCAAGTAACGCCTGGCTGGAATGCTCCCCAGGGAGTGTAGATTGTGCACACAGTGTGTGCGGGCAAGTATTGAATCCAATGACTAGGGTAATAGTATATCTGTAAAGCGCTTAGAGACATCACAGATTTATTAAGCGCTATATAAAATCAGGATAGTATTATTATTATTATGATGTCAACTCTATGAGAATGATTTTAAAATAGTAGTCAATTGCTTATTAGGTGGAGAGGACCAAATTCCTTGAACGTGTGCTCTTTTTGTAGATGAATGACATTAATCGATCAGTCATGATTTATTAAAGATAAAGTTGAGTTCTGGTGATGTGATTGCATTTTGAAAGAAATTGTGTGGAAAAATTTGGAAAAGGTAGATCTTGCAGCACAAGTATTGGTGTACACTTCTGTGAGGGGTTGTAACCACCAAAATTATAAGAATTTGCTGTACTCAGAAATGTGTATATGGGACTGCACAAACATGCGGAATGTGTTTTGGCCCACAGCACTTCAGCTATTTCATGCCAAATTTTTGAATATGAGGGCATTTGAATAATCATGTTTTCACACTAAAATAAAAAGATGAAAAAATTCAAAAATGTTTTGTCCACCTTTCCCAGAACTCAACTTTTTCTTCAATAGAACACTCATGGTCATATATTTATATGAAGAGTGTCCTTGTATGGTTGGGTAGTGCTTTTAAAGTGCGGGTGCTAGCTAGCTGAAAACAACACGAAACATACAAGAGTAAAGGTATACACCCTTTGTATATTTCCAGAATTTACGTCAGTTGATAAAAAGCAATAGATACTTGGTAATGCCTTAATGTGTATTTAATATTTTTCGAAATTGGAAACTAGCAATATAGAATGTATGTACTGCTTTTTATATAAAAATTTCCAGGAATCTTCATTATTGTAATGCTAGAGACAGATTTTTGATGAATGTGTCATATCCAAATTAGCTTAATTTAAGTTTATTGATTTATAAAACAGTCTTTAGGAAACGAGCCTCTGCCATTAGAGATGGTAAGGTGGTGTTATAGTATTATCAATCCGTCCATCAATCTATTCATTCAAAAGTGCTTTAATTGTTTTACAATGGACAATTCAACAATTTTTGTAAAGCTGTATATTCATGATTTTATGCAGGTATTCTAAATTTAAAATGTCAGCATGAGAAATAAATCACATGCTAAATAAGTGTAAAAGGAACTTTGGAGTAGGCTATTCAAAACATTTTCATTAAATTTGTATGCACAGGAGGTAATAATTTAATAATATTTAGCTTCTATATAGCGCTTAATAAATGGTAATTCATTTGTTTTCCTTTGTGCTCTTAAATTAGTATCAATTTGAATGCCTCATAGTTTTGGAAGATGATTTTATGTATTTTTTTCAAAATGGAAATGATATTTTTTGTTGATTGGTCTAATTTAAACATTGTGCTTCATTTTGCATGTCTGTCCATCCGTCCATGCGATTCAATGTGATTAAGTTAGTGAATGTGTGTAGGAATGATCAGAATCATTGCTTCATTTTATCAGTTTGCTGATTTGCCATCGTAAAGAAGAATATACTTTTAATAAATGCTCACGGTGCAAATCTCATGCAACTGTTTTGTGAATCAAGTGAAATTGATATTAACTTGACAAATCAGTTGATCATTTTCTTCCAAATGTTAAAAGTCTATTTTTCAAATATATAACAAGTTTACTGTGTCTTTTAAAACAAAAGGTCTTTGGATTGCAGCTTTGACAATAATGATTTTAAACAAAAGGAACCAATTTCAACTAGTATGCACAAATCTTTCATATTGCTGTTTCTTGGAACTCAATAGCTTTAAAATGATCATTCTATATTGGAAATGTGCTGCATTTTTTAATGAGAGAATTTAATACGAATTTTATCAACGCACAAATGCATATATTTATAAGGTTTTTACATACATATATTATCAAATGTATATACAATGTACATGCATGCTGTTTGTTTACATTGTACCATTCTTCTAAGAGGTAATGGTTATTGATTTTACTTAAGAATTTTTATTGTGATACTTTAAATATAATGTATTACATTCCAATCTTTGTTTAGATAGTGTGTGAATTAATGAAAAGACAGCGGAGAGGGAGTTCTTACAGGGGTTCCCCTACCATACAGGATTTAAAATATCAATTTCAAATATAAGGCCATTGTCAATACTGTGTTGACATAACCATGATAACTGTGACAACCAGACCATTGTTTTTTTATAGCAGATTTAATGCATCATGTAATTCATTTTAAGGGATGTTTCATAAGAAAAAAATTCATACACAAACTAATGTAGCTTGCTTAAAGAGAAGGTTGAGTTCTAGCTGGGAAAGGTGAAAAATAATTTGTGAGTGTTTTCACTCTTTTTATGTTAGTGTGGAAGAGTATCATAGAATTTTTTTTTTTAAATACTCGAAATATGGCATGGAATAGCGGAACTGTTTTGGGCCACGGCCAAATCACATTCCGCATGTTTGTGGAGTCCTATATACATATTTCTATGTACAACAATGTCTTATCATTTTGATGATTACAGCCCCTCACAGTGTACACTAATACCTATGTGCTACATGATCTACCTTTTCCAATTTTTTCCACACAATTTCTTTCACAATGCAATCACATGATCAGAACTCAACCTTATCTTTAACTTGGACATTTGCTATGAATAGCAAGAACGGCTATTCAAAAAGTTCTATACTTATGCGCTGAGGCTTGTCGGCAAACACAAACTGCCAACTACCTTGAGGCTAACAATATCCTTTCTGTTCTCTCAATAATCTGGTTTTGCTTTGTAAGAAGAGTCCTTTTTAGTGAAATGTGATGAAATGCACATTGGTACTCCCATTATTGTCCAATCCAGAGTGTTTATGATGATAGAAAACAAAAATCGCACAGAATGGAATATGATATATATGTATATATATATTGCTGACACGCACAACTTTTGTACTGCATGATAAACAATTTGGAAACTTTAAAGCCACTGCTGGTATTCCAGTCAATACTTATGTCAGAAATATGAGTATTTCACTTAGTTTTCAGCTTACCCGGTAGATAAAATACTTAGCGAACTGTGGTATTCAGTTGAAGCTTGTGGCTTGGTATTTTACCCTAGATTTAAGACAGCTTACGACCAGACTTCAGCCAATTATTTTGGAGGTTTGATTGGCATTCATGGTTTTCAAACCCAGTCGCCTTAAACTGCTCAATTAAATTAGCGTGCATGCAATGCAACTTGTTCAATTACACATTGATGTCATAATGCTTATCAGTAAGTATTTTACTTTAAAGTCGGCTTACTATAGTAAAATGCTCAGATGTGATACATTTTACTTGGCCAAGTAAAATGCGAAGTAACATACTGACTTAATCCACGTACTGAATTCAATGTTGCCCCAGTTTCTCTAGAAAGATCATGATTACTGTAACTTGAGACTATACCGGTAGATGTTAATACGTATATAATTTGAAGTGTGCATGACGTAGATTTGCATGGTGTGTTTTTATTCTGATATTACTAAACTATCCATACTTTTTTTAGATCATGTACTATTGGAAATTGACATTCTGAAGTTTAGTTTACCAATGACGTCTTTGAGACACAGTTGTTTTTATGATTGCAAACTGCAGCCACTGTCATGACATGTTGATTTGCAAATGCAGTGAATTAGGAATCTTAACCTTTTCTAGACTTAGTTATGAAACATAGATCTATCAAAAAGATTTTCTTTTGTTCCATCTCTTTTAGATCATGTAACAGGGTGGTATTCTGAAAACTATGTTATATTTTTGTTAAAGGTTTGTGTTCAGGTATTGTCATGACAATTTGAAATCTTCGAGAAGATGTTTATTTTAATGTTTTGGGGGCTTGCTCAGTCGTATATACATAGACAATAATCAGCGGGTTGTCCTAATGTAGATTTCTAAAGGCAATTGATCTAAATCTTACCAACATAATATATTTTCAGATTTTCAATTTTTCAGAATACCATCCTGGACATTGTGTTGCATGTATATATTTTCATCCCTTGTTGAAGGGGATTTATAGAAATATATTTATTGAAAGTTTTATATTCATGCTTTACCAAAGGTACATTCTTACCATGACTCTGAAATGTAAATACTAAATAGTAAATGTGTTACTATCATGTAGTAAAAATAAACTTTGATTTGTCCTTACGTGAAATTGTCATTGAAGCATTCTTTCAATTTGTTTACCCCCCCCCCCTCTTGTCTGTCCGTCTCTCTCTATTTGTACTTCTTGCTCTTGTTTCTCTCTCCCTCACATCTATCTATCTTTCTCCCCTCTCTCTATCTCTCTTTCTCCCCCTCCCCTCTCCCCCTCCCTCACATCTATCTATCTTTCTCCCCTCTCTCTGTCTCTCTTTCTCCCCTCTCTATGTCTCTCTCTCTCCCCCTCCCCTCTCTCTGTCTCTCTTTCTCCCCCTCCCCTCTCTCTGTCTCTCTTTCTCCCCCTCCCCTCTCTCTGTCTCTCTTTCTCCCCCTCCCCTCTCTCTGTCTCTCTTTCTCCCCCTCCCCTCTCTCTGTCTCTCTTTCTCCCCCTCCCCTCTCTCTGTCTCTCTTTTTCCCCCTCCCCTCTCTCTGTCTCTCTATCTCTCTTTCTCCCCTCCTCTCTCTCTCTCTCTTTCTCCCCTCCTCTCTCTCTCTCTCTCTTTCTCCCCTCCTCTCTCTCTCTCTCTCTGTTCATTGTATTCACTTTATCTTTCATCTCTGTGTGTATCTTTAAGGGAATATTTTCCATAAATTCAGCTAGATAGAAATAGGAATGGTGAAGAAGGTCATGATGTTACTTTGTATATAAAAGACCGACTTTGACTCGGTATCCAAGGTGAAGTCATTGTCGGAGCAGGAGCAGTTCTAAAAGAATGGGGTGGGGGGGAGGGAGGTGGGGGTGCTTGGGGGTTTCTTGCATTCACTTTCTACATGTGCTTCGCTTAAATCCCTTTCTAATCAGGAAAGATCGAGTAGACACGCCAGCTACATATTCCTTAACCCATTGACTACTGAATGTTCTCAGTCCCATAGACTTAATACAGAATCCACCCTGTTCTCATACGCAGTGGGGTCATAGTCTGACACTACCAGGGCAGAGTGCACCAAGGCGATCACAAAGTAATACAGGAAACTAATATTTGCAGATTCAAACTTGATGATATCGATCTCTGATTAGACAATATACAAACATTTGTACTGTTTACATATATGCTTGTCAATGTGATTACAGGATGACAGTCGATGTACAAAATGTCATTGACATTTAGCATTGAGCGGTGGGAAGGTGGAGGAGGGGGAGGAGGGGGAGGGGGGAGGAGGGGGAGGGGGAGGAGGGGGAGGGGAGGGGGGGTTGCATTTATTGTCTTTTACATGTCTTGGGTTCAATTACCATAGTGACTTTAGTAACGGCAAAAATACTTGTTTTACATGACGGGTCTGTAGTGAAATAATAAACCATACAATCACAACTTTGTACACAAACACTCAATATTGCTTTATTGAAATAACAATCCCATTTTTATTCAAAGAACACAATCCCTTTTTAGAGAAGAGAAACGAATATAAATATTTTCAATTCCATGCATATCTATGAAAGGCAACTGCAAGAAACAGTCATTCAACTGAGAAAAAGATACTACATGTACTTTTAAAAAATACCATGTACTGTACACAGTCAAATCATGGCAAAAATGGCATAATAGCCCCTCTAAAGTGTTGGGAGCCCCACAAATTTGATGGCAAAATTTCACTTGAATTGTATGGTACCGGTAATGTGAAAAGAGGATGTCATTTCAGACGCAAGGATTTTAAAAACAAATGTGTTAGATATTGAATATTGATAAAAGAATACAAATTTATGTTTTCTGCGTACAACACAAAATGCAAATTATGTATTCTTTTATCAGTATTTGTCTTCAAACACATTTTTTTGTTGGGAGGGGGGGGGGGGTTCTTTGTAAAAGTGCGTCTTAAATGACATCCTCTTTCACACTATGATACAGTTTAAAGGAGGGTGGAGAAAAAAAAATATTACAATCAATTAAATTCAACAAATTTAGAATATTAACACTTTATAAACAAGATTCAATTCAATTAATGATTTGAAAACACCACTGACACTGAAAAACAATCATTTAAACAAGCCTTCACGAGCGACTCAAAGCGAGAATGTGAAGGCGATCGTTTTCGGTCTAAGGGCTGTGACGTAAGAGGGAAGACACGATGCCATCCTAATATTATGCAGCCATGGAGGTGCTACACAAATAGCCTTTATTTGCCCTTTTCCAAGAATACTTCCATCTGTGTATCCTGGAGTGCACTGCTTGTGCATAAATGAATAATGATTACCGGTACATAACTTTCATGAGCACGTACATGTATCCAGTTTTCTGTCTCCGTGTATTTCACGATTCGGTCTGCAATGACTTTTATCTGCTCATGCTCAGACTGCAACTATGAACTGGCTTTTTAGCAGCAGGTCTTCCCTCTTACATGTACGTCACACAAGTCCCAGACGTAAAAACAGAGTTGCACAGCGGACAGAATTTAGAGTTGCCAATCGGTCACTTCAAATGAAGATTTCTTGGCTAGATGACAATGTTTGGCTTTATATACATACATGCAAAATGTATCCAAATCTGACAAATCTTCTCCAATTTTGCCATCAAATTTGTGAGGCTCCTAACACTTTAGAGGGGCTTTATCCTTACAGCATTTTAGTGCTCCAAAATATACAAATCTCACCAAATAATAACTGATAAGTATCTATTGCCTTCACACACCAATATATTACCTAAATGCCACCACACACTTCACAAAAACACACTATGAGTCAGAGTGTAATTTGAAAGAAATTACAATAGAATTAAATATAATTCAAAAATGTCAATTCTATTTGAAGTCCTGAGAATTAATATGAACATGTAAAACTTGCATGGTATTTCAAGCCTTTAAGCTGAGAAATGCTAAATACACAGGTTTACTGGAAAACTAAAAAGTCAGTTATTCATGCTCAGGGAGTGGAGAATGTGCATACATTGTGTGCAGGTAAGCCTGAATCAGATGACCGGGTAATAATATATCTGTAAAGCACTTAGACACATTGTTGTATCGATGTATTGGGCACTTTATAACAGGAATATTATTATTATCATTATTATTCAATATTACTATCCATAAGTCGATTTGAGACTTCAGAGAGGAAGAACTCACATTTTTTCTCAATTATGTACCGGTATACAATCGCATTGTAATTTCTTTAAAAAAGAAATCATTGTCCATTTGTAAGGTGTGCAGTATCCCTATTACTGCCCAGATTTTATTAGATGTTTTACGATGGTTATAATATTATCCTTTGAATAATATTAACAGCTGTATGAATATATAAAAGGTTTCTTAGCCTGAAGGAGAGAAACTTCAAATAATATCAGGCACATGAAATATCAATAAACCTGTAGACATATGTAAGAGCTTTCTGCTGTAAAAATTGACATCATCAAGTAAGTTGAGAGCAGTGAAAAGTACAAAGCCCACTTTCAAAGGTTTTGTAGAAACAACACTGATTAAAGTTCCAGAAGACAAGCCATTTTTTACATACACCTGTACATCAATTTCTGTAAGATCTTTGAATTGATTGACTAAAATAATCAGTTTTCCCAAACTTATATTAGCTCCCTCTTATGTAACATTAGAAAATTAGTTTAGTATGAATACATATCAAAGAATAATAAGCATACCGGTATATCACCATATTTGAATAACTGAATAAATCTTTCAAAGATAGTGTATGAGGTATCTGTATCTTCTTTTCCTGGAAAATATATTTCTAATTTGGAGGAAAATAAACTGTTACAAACAATACATTAAAATTTACATATGGTGGAAACAAATGAAAAAGAATTGATTTTGAACATCACCAAGCTGTTTGGTGTTTGTCAAACATGGTCAAATACAATCTTCATCATCAACTCCAAATCTTTGTTTTAATTCAAATACCTTAAAATTATGAAATCTTTCATTCTAATATTTTCATGACCTCTGTTTCTGTATGGTACAATACACACATTTTGTGATTCAACCATTTCATTGCAATATGTCACACTAGCGAATCTAGACAAGAATTTGTGAAGTTTTAGAGTAGTGCATAATACTTTTTGTAAACATCATTCTTGGATCTGTATAACAGGCCTGAGAAAATCTTGGACAAGGCTTGTTTGGATCAAATATTTAGTTTGGAATGGTGTGAATATTATGGGGCAAGTCCAACGTATTTGGTAATTTGGTGCCCTATACAAATGATTACCAAAATTGTTGACTTCTGAAATTTAACTATTAATCACCAAGTGACTAAACATGTCATTTTATTTCATATTTCCTCTGATATCCTGTAAGGCTATCAATTAAATACAGTCAATCTGAAATGTGGTCAGTAATGTGTCGGACGAGATAGCTTGGACTTGCCCACTGACAAGTGACAAGCATCTGTGAGAACTTGCATAGTATTACACTGTAACACTGCATTGTATTCTTATTTTTAAAAGGAATTCCACTATAAATACAAATGTACTATTTAAATAAGTATCAGCTGACTGAGAAAAGTACATATTCCAGTTCAGGTGCAAAAAAGAATAACTTTTATTTTCACATAAACAAACATAGTTATAAACAAAAACTACAAGGCCTAGAAAATGGTTTCTTTATTGAAAGTTGTTTATTTCATTTGGAAACTCTATAAAGCATACTATGGAATGACCCCAAGAAATTATTCTGCTACTTAAAGAAGTTTTAGAATACCATCATTTGCTAAGCCTGCAGAATTCTGACAAGCATGAGAAAACTTGATAGCATTCCAACTTAGTGTGGGGGGGGGGGGGGCGCTGATCATTCATCTAAAAGTATCACTTGATGAAAAATAATGTACATCATCACACACACACGTTCAGGTTCAAGAGTCAAAATAAATTACTGTGACAGTCATGTCATCTCTGTGCTGTCTTGCAATGGCATCTGGAAGGCTCAGAACCTCCGCAAGTTTGTTCAGATCAAAGTCATTTCCAACTCCACAAAGTGAATAGCGAATAAGATGTGTGGCAGAATTGGTATCTAGCGACTTGAGAATATCCATTCTCTCTTTGAGGTCTTTCATGACATCTTTCAGAGCTGCACCTTCCTGGACACCATAGCTGCTTGAGGCTTTCATTGATTTCATGTGCTCTCCAACGAGCTGAACGGCTTTATCAGAACTTAGCATATCCCAGAGGCCATCTGAAGCGAGAATGAGGAACTTGTCGTTGGAGGTCAACCTATGGTGGGTCACTTCTGGTGTCGTTATAAGGTACGGTGGTGTGTGGAAGCTCTTGGGTGGGAGATAACCAATGAAGGTACGCATCAATGTCCGCTGCATCTCAGCAGTCCACTTAAAACGAATGTTTCCAAAGGCTCTGAGAGGCATCAGCTCACCAAGCAATCGTCCATTCTTGATGACAGTCGTAGATTCGTGGGATGGGTGGCCTCCCTTTATTCGATTCACTTCATCTAGATTCTGCACATTGTGGTCTACTGTTAAAGGGATAGATTCCCAGGCTCCATACCCTTTACTACGTCCTAACACAGCTCGACAATCACCTACATTAGCAACATAGAGATCTTGATCATTCACATAGGCAACACAAGCACATGAACCAGTGACAGCAGTTAGCACAGGTTCAATACCAAGCGGTTCGGTAGTGGCTCGCATTGCTTCTGTTGAGAAATCATTGTCCAAGCGATCAAACGCAGTTTTAAGGACATCTGCAGTATCATCATCATCCAAAACATCAACTGATAAATTTGCTTGGACATATTTGATCAAGCTTTCCTTGTACAGGTCTGCAGTAGCCTGTAGTTTGTATTCATTTGGATGCCGATGCCACTTCACCAAATCATTCATCTCTCCACTTTGAAGTCGAGCAAGGGCCTTTGGAAGAGTTTGGAAAGGAAGTGTTTCTGCTACTATGTAATTGAATAGACGTTCTGAAATGGCTTGAGCACAGGCCGTTCCACCGTGTCCATCAAAGACTCCAAAAAGCACTCCATTGGTGAACATACACTCTGCAATGGCTCTACGGTCCTCTCCAGGCTTGTTAGAGAAGAGTTGATTGCTGTCATACCTCTGCACAGCTTGTGGTGAGGATTCCTCATCAAAGTGAACGCTTACTTCATTTTGTTGCAGGGCTTCACTCGTCTGTTCCGGGGTAAGGACCGGATTCATTCGCCATGGGTATCGAGATTGAGAGCTGGTTACTATTCTCCTACAAGTAAAACGTTCCTCAGTTAATACAGCATATCTCTTTTTCTTCTCCTTCAGTATACAGGAGATTGGTCGTGACCTCATAAAATGGATTTGCCGGCAGTTCCTCACAATGTTCGATCTCAAACTCAGTCTCACATTTTGATTTACCAAAATGGTTGAAAATGGAAAGTGTGCCATTGCTAAAAACTAAGACAATATGCTATTTCAAAACGTTCTTTTAATGTTTATATTCTTACAAATCAGCTAAGCATGTCGTTGGCAAAGTTTCAAGTTAACACAGGATACGGTCGCTGCAGCTCTGCCCGACAGCATAGCCGAAGTCAGCCCTCAACTACCGCCAAAGGTCAGGCGTACTCATCGTTGACAAAACCGATCGAATGGCAAATGTCAGCCGGATCGTATGCAGAGGGTTTGGGCCTTGGGTTGCTGCTAAATACAAAGAGATCAGCATCATGTTCCACTTGCGTTTTTCAAATGATTCTGCATGAAGTCAGTTCCCTCTGCAGTCACGGACAACACTAATTACAAATCGAGAATTCTAAAAAATAAACATTGACTCGACATGCCTGGGCTGGGATCTTTACCCAATCCGACAATTCCAAGATGATTTTATTGACCTTTAATGCATGCCCTCAACGGCAAGAAATTTATAGATTGTGAAAAACTTCAAACCTCTATACTGCCTTCAAAAAAAAAAGTTACAATTAAGATAGGAATCAGCCTCTTTCGTGTCTCTTTTTTTCCAGTGTGTGATTCTTGAATGCAGTCGGGGGAAATATCATGTTGACAAAAAATAATTTTAAAAGTACAGTTACACCCGGTAATGTTATTGTTTTTGTCGAGTTTTCACAAACTTGGCAATTTGGTAATTGCATTTGACCTTATTGCTCCACAATTTCTAACTGAAGTGAAAATGAAAAAAAATAAAAGGGTAATTTCAAATATCCATGAAATCACTCAGTCATAGGTCATAAGATGAGTACATTGTAAAGGGTAAACACAAAAAATAATTTCTGTTTGTTCTGTTTGAAGGGAGCAAGGGTCGTTTTTCTACATAGGGTTAAATAAAAAATATGTTAAAGGAAAGGAAGGCAATCATAAATTTAACCTGCAGGATCTACATGAAAAAGGAAGGAAAAAAAAATGTGCTCACTACCCCCCCCCCCCCCCCCCCCCCCAACTGAGCGACTTTTCGGCCGGCGCGATTTTCAAATTTTCGGGAGCAAAAAAAAAAAAAGTTGGGCCCCCTCCCCTAAGAAATCCTGGATCGGCGCCTGCTACATATTACAAACGTTCTTTTTAGAATAATTATATGATTGAAATGTCGACGGAGTAATGAAGCTAAAGATCCAAAATGCAGAAAGAGGTTTGGTTGCACGTAGAAATAAGCTAAGGGGAGCAAAAACACAATTTTAACATTTTCAACTTTCAGGGCGAATTATAAATAGAGATTGCTGGCCAGGAAAGAGTCGGGCGTCCTACAAATAAGGGTGAGGGAAACTTGCTGGAACAGCTAAAAACCTTTTATCCCACAACACAGGGAATCAATAAGTAAGTCACTTGAGTGTTTTTTATGATTTCCTAATATTTCAAATGTAGACATTTAGAAGGATAAATTTCCCGAATTTAATTCACTTCTAAATAATTAATTTACACATTAGACTCGATGATGAATGATGATAATAATGATAGTGGTGATGATGGAAATGATGACGAGTATTGTTGATGATGTTGTTGTCGTTGACGAATAATATTTTATGATAATTACGATGATGGTGTTGGTAGTGGTGGTGTTGTTGGTGTTATGCTGGTGATAATGATGTAGTTAGAGGTGAGGGTGACAACTTCCATGTTTATTACTATATGTCTTTATGTTTTCCAACAAATTCGCTTCCAACCACATACATCCCTTAGAACCATCATCATTATTGAGCATTATTGGCAAGACAATACCTTCCCTTTATTCCTTTAGAATTTAGAATTTTACTTCAGTGCGGAACGTGTGATAAAATGGATCGAACCCCCGCCCCCCCCCCCCCCCCCCCCCCCCAACTTGTAGACCATGAATACCATAGATTGCACGACGCGTGTTATGCGCAAAGACAACGTAACAATACTATCAAGCGTATACAAGGCATACGCGAAGGCATTGTTTCGTCATGGTCATGTGATCCAATTCCTTGTCACTGACTGGTTGAAAGTTAGGCTGCGTCATATCTTTTTTCCTTGGAAACCGCGCACTTTACTAAGGTCATAAAACCACAACAAACCAAATAACACTTTCTGATTTATCGTGCAGTGGAGAACACGTAGTGTACCTTCCTTCGAGTTTCCGAAAGCGAATTTGACGCAATTTTGCTGAAAAATTCATCTCTTTAGCTATATTTACCGACCACAATCAGCTTAGATTCTTTTAAGGTGAGTTTAAATTTATCAAATGAAAAGAAGAAAGAAAAAAAAAACATTGCCCTTAGTATTACATGTATTATGCAAAGGGTTCGCTAATCCAGCATTGGCTCTACGAGATAATAATAAAATACGTAGTAATCATTGGACGTGTTGATATAGGCCTAACGATTTACAAGAACCTGGTCCTTTTCTAGTAACGGGTAAAATATCAAGGCTTAGAGCTGGCCTTTTATTAATTTTTATAGCACAAAATATTCAATAATTATTGCTTTGATGTAGAATAAAAAAAGTGCCAACACAACATTTATACAAGGTGATTTAATCTGTAAAAACAGTGCATTTCAAAGCTTCTTGAGAGAATAACTTATTCATTGATATATGAATACAGTTCAGTTTGTTAAGTAGAGATTGTATAGTTATGAGCTGAGATGAAACATCCGAAATGAATTTGAATTTAATTTGATTTTACATCTTCAACAGCATGATGATTATCACGACTCCAACAGACATTGAAATGTCGGGTCAGAGACATCGCCGGGCAAGACGTATGAACGGTCGCCGTCAACGACTTGCTCTCGGATCGGTAGTCGATCATGAAGCTGAAATCAATACGGCCCTTGACATGGCCCAACTTGTCCCGTCCAGCTGTGCTTCTGTTCCAGCTGACAAAAACATTGACATGTCAGCTCAGAGGCAGAGACGGGCACAGCGAATGGCCATAAGATGTCAGCGTCTTAACCTGGGACCAGCGTCTGATCACGCGGCAGAAATTGCACAAGTCATCCATGACTTTTCTGCCGCGTCTTCAGACGAAGCAGCCCTCGAAGTGGGCAGCGATAGACTTTCCTTAGAGACAGCTGACATCGAGGCCGAGTTCATCAAAGACAACACAGCTAGCTCTTTTGCCTACCTCCGAGCTCGTTTCAGACTTTTGCCACAAAAACTGGCGACGAAGATTAGGAGTTGGTTTGGCAAACAACGAGACTAGACTTTTCCAATGAACAAACAATAATTGTTCCTCTGTATAATTTATATCTATGTACATAATGTATATATTCTGTAAATAAATAAGTAACTGTTTACAGGGAGAAACAATTAAAACAAAAGGACATTCTTAAAGGGAGATAACTATCCAAGTTTTTTCTTCTTCAATAACCTACAAGTTTGCCGACAATTGTCGGTAGGCCTACGCAAAATTCCGGTGACATAGGCCTACTTCTATATGGTAAAGCCCCTCTAAAGGTTTAGAGCCCCAAATTCTAAAAAAAAGTAAAGGCAAAATTTCAATTAAGTTTTATAATGATGTGAAGAGGTTTCTCATTTAACAAACATTTCTCCAAGGAATTTCAAAACCAATGTGCTTGACACGGAATATTGATGAAAGAATACAAAATTTAGGTTTTTGTGTTGTTCGCAGAAACTAAATTTTGTATTCTTTCTTCAATATTCGTCTTCAGACCTATTTATTTTGAGAATCCTTGAAGAAGTCAGTGTTAAATGACATTCTCATTCACTTCATTATACATTATTGTAGTGAATTTTTTCCCATCAAAATGTTGGGGCTCCCAATACTTTAGAGAGGCTTTAACATCGAGGCAACTGTTACTGAAGCTAAGTTCACAAAAGACAACAAAATGGCTGTCCTAAGTGGAAAATGTTAATACATGTATTAGAGTAAAATAATTTAAAAATGGACAACACGACCGCAGAGACTTTTAAAAAATCAACTCAAGGGCAATTTCAATACCCTATAGTAGTCCCATAGAAATCATGTTCAGATTATGTATAATGCGCTTTGTAATGTTCACAAATTCCAAAAAAGGGATGGGCAAGGCTATTAAATTGCGTTATATAAATTATGTTGATATTTAGAAAGTCTTTGCGGTCGTTAAAATAAAAGGAAGCAAAATAAGCAAAGAAAATGAATAACTGCTTCATCAAACATTTTATAATCTTGACCCCTTTGCATAAAACTTACCATTGATGGTAACTTTGCCATCAATGGCAACTACCATGCATGGTAAAATGGCTCAACAGACAAATTAAGGTTTCCATGGTAGTTACCATTGATGGCAAAGTTACCATCAATGGTAAGTTTTGTGCAGCGGGGCCCAGATTATAACATTTTCTTGTGATTTGGATTCCTCAAAGCAAACAACACCAATCTCAAATAAAACTTCAACTTTTGTTCTTCACTCAATAACCGATGTGTAGATTTCGTTGTTTGTCAGCATTGTTCAAATTATGGACGTTTACACTTGTGTTTGAGATCGTAGTAGGTCCATGTTGAGATACTCTATTGAAAAAACTCCACCGAAGTGATGAAAGTAGATTGAAAATGAGAGGGCTATAAAGACCAAGCCATATTGAATCGCTTTCTGTGAATATCGATCCTATATAATACAGCAAGCTGGAGTCATATAACTCTTATGAAGATGAAAATAATAATAAAGATGATGAGGATGGTGTTGATAATGATGATGATGATGATGCATGGTGATGCTGTTGACGATGAAGTTATTGTTGATAATGTTGATGATGATAATTATGACGAAGACGTTGGTAACGTCGACACATGGCGATGATGATGATGATGATGTTAAAGATGAATATGGTCATAAATAACAATGACGACAATATCAATGGCGATGACGCCAATGTTGAAGATAGTAGTTATGATGATAATGATAATAATGCTAATATAGTAACGGTGAGGTTATGGTGATGATGATGATCAGTGATCAAGGTGACGATCTTGAAGATGATGAAGGTGATGATAGTGGTGATAAAGTTTTGGCTAATGCTAATGATGAAAAAAGATGTGGATTGTTGACAAGATAAAAGATTCTGATTATCAACGACTGTAATGCTAAGTGCAAGTCACTAAAAGAGGGAACTCTTATTCAAACCTAAATCATAAATATTTAGACGTTAAAGACAGTTACACTGTGGTAGCACAATAGGGTATTGATATTGCCCGAGTAGGAAGAAGTTTTTGCGATAGTTCGAGCGCTCTGAAATGCAAAACTTTTTATATTTGAATTACGTAATACATGTATCTCATTTTCATGTTCTCACATTTCAATAAGTGAGCCACAAAGCTATTGAAAATTGTCTTTGGTTGATTTTTTTAAAGCTTTTGTAACTGTCTAACTGAGTTGGATCAAACAGGAATAGATGAAGGAGCATTATCAATTGATGGACTACGCCATCTTGCGAGCAAAGTCACAAGCGTTAGATGCACGAACACCATTATCTTTTTCGGCATCCTTTCTCAGTTACCCTGCCGCTCCGCGTTGATCCAAACTCGCAGCAGGTGCACTACGCAGGTCCGTGTACAAGAGGCCGAGATAGAGCCAACAGCAGTGCCGCACATCTGACATGATCCTTGGACTTTCATAAACTTCCGAATAACTTTGGAACTTTTTAGGAATTAGCTAAGGATATAATGCTTCAGGAACATTAAGGGCGTCAGGAACATTAATACTTTGACCGCCTGGACAGGTCATCGTGGAGGTAAAAACAGTGATATTTAACGTTGAAAGTGTTGCACCTCTTCGCTCTAACTTCAGCTTTAGCTCTCGATCAACTGGCATTGTACGGATGCTGTGCTACGAGTAAGCCGGAACTAGGCGGGCAAGAGAAAGCGTTGTGACGGGACACTCTAGGAGATCCAGCCAGGAACCCTAACTTATTTCGAGTTGTTCCGTGCCAAAGGAAATATAAAGTTGCTGGATTGACACGTTCATGCCGGTATGTAGAACATGTAGCAGTTTTATCTGTCATTTATTTTACACATTTACAGCCTTCAGGCTTCAGGGTATGGTCGAGAAGAGTAAATCTGAACTGACACTAAAACAAGTTGTGTGTTATGTGTGTGTATATTATATATCAACCTAAAAAGTTATATTTCCAACTTCTGGGTATCATTCTATTTTTTCCATCTCATTTTTATTAACTTTTCTTCAATGCTATGATATGACTCATTGTATATACATGTAGCACAATTTATTATAGGATATACTACTTAATATTTACTATGCTACAGTGCTACTACCATGACATCATTATGAAAAAGTTTATACAACAGCATAATGCAAGTTTAGCTGAAAATGGCATATCCAGCCCTCTATTTCTCTGTTTTTGTTTATTTCTTTGGACATCCTTTTGTTCTTTAATAATGTTGTTGTTCTTTCAATGTGATGCCATATGATTTTGCTTGCTTATGTAAACTGTATGTTATGTTTGTGTTTATATATATATTTTTTTTTAATTGGATATTCTTTTTATTATGACGGGGACAAAAATGCAAAAAAAATAACGTATGCTTACCCCTCCACCATGCTGTCAAGTGTAAAATATCATGAGTTGTCATTAATGACATGAAAGATGTTGTGATTCCACTATCATGAAAATTGAAAATTCATCAATTTTGAGGACTTTGTCCAGTTACATGAAGTGCAATAAAATAATAAATAAATCAATTTATTAAAGAGCCCTGTCCTTTGGTAAAAGTAGATTTTCTTTTCCTCTAATATGGAGGAATATGAAACAGCATGGAGTGTACATGTAACCATACACCAGCATCCTTTTTTCATTGACCTTTTTTTATAAGATCATGGAAATTGGAATGTACATAAGGCATACCTAGAATAAAGAATAATCAGTGACTCTGATTAGAAAAATCAGATTATTTATTGTTAAACTCATTAGTTATGACAATTTAGCTTAAAAGAGACCAGTAAATCAATGGCGGTAATCACTTTGAAAACTTGTTTACAGTTAGTTTAAATGGATAATAACTTTACATGGCATTCTTTTGGTTATGAATGGGGGTATGAAGAAAATAAAGGATAAATAAGAACCCATATTAGACTTCTGTTCAGCATGCTTGAATTTCTATCAGCATCAGCATCAGTATACGGAAGTGTGAGGTGATCCTGTTGAAACTTCCGGTTATTACATTGAGTGGTGCTTCATTCTAATGAACCTGAACTGTTTTTGCTCGCATAGGCCTAACTATTTATTTTCTTCATACTCATTGACCTGCAACCACATATATTTTTTTTTCTTGCAATATTTTGCTTTGTTTTTTATTTCAATAAGCCAGTTTCGTAATGTAACCAAATTTAATGCATACGTCTTTGTGAAGTGCCTCAATACAAATTATTTCATTCACCTGATAAGAATAATAGTATTTCAATAGTCAGAATGCAACTGCATATATTAAGTTGTTGCCAGGTTGGACAAACATTATGGCTTGACCTACCTAGCAACACTTAATATATGCAGTTGCATTCTGACTATTGAAATACTATTATTCTTATCAGGTGAATGAAATAATTTGTATTGAGGCACTTCACAAAGACGTATGCATTAAATTTGGTTACATTACGAAACTGGCTTATTGATATTCACAAATTAATTATTTAAATGATAGGTCTCTTTAGCCAGTTAAGTTTTTCCCCACCCCTGCACCACCCGCTACATGTCCTTCATCTCGTAAATACGGGCCTCCATGTAGATTGTATAGGTACCTGCTGCTAGTTGTACATCAGTACATGTAATTGGTTAATTGATTGTTTGGCATTACAGTAATTAAATGCTCGTTACGTTTATGAGGAGACTGCATCATATCAGTGCCTGGGAGATAAAAGTGCCTCCATTACAACAAGGTGTACAGTGGGGTTAATTAGATTTATTTGAACGAATCAGAAAGTAGAGAGGAAATCAGTGAGCCACTAGTGGTCAATTATGATGGCAGGGTCAGTTTGTAAATTCATTATTTCTTTAATTGCACACTCATTTGCATCTTAATAGCAGAGTAATGATACAGTGATGATACTTTAAGAATAACATGAAAATCATGAATTTAGAAATCTACTCTCGTTTGAAGATGTTCAACTTCAGCTCTGAAGATTTTAAGCCTCTATAGGGTCTTTCAAAGTGTTCTTTTGGTAAATAGATTTGCTTAAAAGTGTACAAGTGAAAATGTCAATCAACCAAGTTGATTTACATGTACATCTATGGTTTTATAGATAATTACTTTAGTTTGCTTCTATTATATTATGCACACCTATTACAAATACAGCAATATCTGATGACCTACTACCAATACTGTTTTTATTACGGTACATACATAATTACAGGTACTATTCGGTTTACTTCACACCTACTCTTACACTTTCAAACAACGTTTCATTTCGTAAATTAAATAACTGCATGATAATCATTCCATGGAACATGTGCAACATTTTCTGACTCGCTGCAATCACGTATTGCCTAAACTTGACAAATGAGTAGTTGTATTCTGTCTGGAATGATATACATGTATTTGGTTGTTGACTGAGTTTGAAGGGATAGGGCCACCCATTTCCTCCTCAGGCACACACAGCAGGGCGTCCAGGGACAGGGTCTTCACATGGGTTCAATCACATCATCTAGGTCTGCAACGTTCACATCTTATCTTTATTTTCCCCCTTTTCTATGAAAATCAAAGCGCAGAGAACCTTGTCCTCTGATAAGAAGTCACTGCAGATACGTGCACTGTGCGAAGGAGGAGGCTATGTTTTTCTTTGTCAAATTATTCCTTAGCATCATAGATTTTTCATCAAAAATACTTTCAAATAATGTACATGTTTTCTGAAATGGGATTGTTGATCAAAAGCTGATTCTCGGAATAAATGAAGAGTGTACACTTGCAAGATTATGATTACAACTTTTTTTGTTTTTGTATGTTATGTTTAATTTGGGAAATGGATCATGGATGACAAAAAGTTGTAATTAATGCTAGCCTACCGGTCCAATGTCCATGAAACATTTGAATTAGATTCCGGCCAGTAACCCCCTCTAAAATGATGAAAAGTACAATTTAGATCGTTTAGTGCTTTAATGATACAATTGCTACATTTTGTTAATGTTAGGTCCTGAATTACTCTACAAAATCCACTTGGAAGGTCGAAGATGTAAGCAAAAATCATTATGTGCTGTCACTGCTGTGTACGTTTCTTTGATCGTCTCGAAAGCATTCCAGAAAGACATTTACTAATTGCTTTTCTTTAGGGCAATCACTGTGTGAGCATACAGATTTGATGGGGAGTATCTATTGATCAGAACTCTCTTGTAATGCTATAATTGCTGTCTATTCATAAGGGGAACAGGATGAAAACCATTGTGACATGGCATTAGTCTGTTTTGTTACATCACAAACTTGTTCATGTACATTCCAATAGGGATTAGGACAAAGGGTTTCTCCCTTTTGTTACCTTTTTAATCATCTCTGTAAGAGCAGGATTATCTTGTACTTAAGATGCTGCTCTTGGCTGGGATGTCTTCCCAAGATCTAAACCTCAACCAAATTTTACAGAAACACTGCAAGGTTTCAGTGTTTCTCATACATGTACTGTGTTGTAATAGGGCGACGTGTTCAATGCAGGACTACATGTAGGATTACAATGTAACCATGTGCAAATGTAATGTAAAAAGGCGACCTACACACTTTCTACTTTCCTGAAAAAATGTAGTTATACATTGTACTTGTCAAAATAATTCTTTCTGCGGTAGCCCACTGAAGAAGTGACAAATGTATATCTGGAGAATTGGGCTATGCCAGGGAAACAAAACATAATTATATTTTCAAATGTTTACGAATGGCATTTTTAAATCTTTATTACACTTTCAAGTTTCAACTATCCTTTCTGGGAAAAACCCTCTTTTTAAGAAATGAATTTTAGAAATAGCTGTAAACTTAAGAATAAAAGTTGGATATAGAAGAAAAGGTTTATTGTAAGATTTGTTATATGATATTGATCCTTGTAAATTGTTCTTTGTTCCAAGTCACTGGTCTTCAATTATCTACTGTACATTATTATGCATCAGCAGCTCCTTTAGAACAATCAAAGTTTATGATCTGATTCTGAACATTGTCTTATAATGTCTGAAGAGCTAAATGGTAAAACTGGTAAATTGACATGAACATTTTTCAGCTACAATGAAATTTACACACATCTCTACATTTTTCTGAATTTTAAAATTCCATGTTTTGATTCGTTCTGTTTGATCAATCATTTTGAAATTATATCAATTTGAAATTGGAACCCCTCATGAAATTTTTGAAAGTTTTTTATTTCAAGTTCCAGAACAATTTTGAAATCACCTTCAGAATATGGAAGACTTTGAATACACCTGACTTAAAAGGTATTGCTGGAATGTCTTTCTTCTGCTTTGCGAGCATTCCGAGCAACCAAGCAACTGACTGTGTTTGGGTTAACAGGCTTCAGTTTTTCTCCTCCAGCTAGCGGAGAAAAATATACAACTTAAATGCAAGATGGAGGTATTATAGACGGCAGAGGAATGCCTTTTGAAAGAAACGAAAACAAGCGTACATTGTAAGCCATCTCTCCCTGTGGGTTTGTTCTCACACCTGCAATGGATTTAGGCTATAGTCTGAACTCAGGAGCAGAGGACGTTCACTTGGTGTACCCTCTGTTTCATACCTGTTCTACTGCGTGGTCTGTCAGCTTACAATCCACTCCTTGTAATGCAATCTGTATGTGACATTCTTAAAGATAAGGTTGAGTTCTGGGAAGAGGTGAAAAATAATTGTGAACTTTATCATTCTTATTATGCAAGTGTGGAAGAACATCAGATAAGACATTTTCCCTGAAAAGCATGGCTCTTCAAATGCCTTCATATTCTAAATATGTCATGTTCATCGGAAAAATTTGGGGGGGGGTAGGTTTTTTACGCCACGT